TGAACATGAAAGCGAGCAAAAGTTATAATGATATTTTCCACCGCGTGTATTGGGAATTTGGTGGATTAAAAGATTCTGGTTGGTGTAGAGAAGCCTGAATCAACCAAATTAAATGAGAGGGTGGATATGATACTGGTGCGTCGAAGCAAGTCTTTCTGTAGACTTGTAGCAAAATAAATAAGCCTCCTGCGGTTATTTACTTTTTCTGTTTTGGGTTGGGGTGGGCTTTGCTCCAACTGACAGAATTCTGTTGTTTAGTCGGCCGGAGGCTAACCCGCTTGATCTCTTGACGTAAATTGAAATCAACAAAGGTTGTAAGGAGAGTTTGGCGTGTTATCGGCTGGTTTGTTGCGTGGTACCTGCTGTGGTCGCTTCTTTTTTTCTTTTGATCTTGGTTTTTGCTCCAGTTCAATTCATCTCGAATTTTATCGGTTTCATATTGAGACAAGATTCAATGCATTAAAACTGTATACATTCATGTTTCAAAATCGAGTATGGATCGATTTGAAAGAATTTGAACTTTGTCCTAAGCTATGTGAAGAGGCAAAATTTCTTCATACCCGCCGAAAAAGAAGAATATCTTAATACTGTAATTTTCGTTTTTTTTTCCTAAATTTTCTTAATTCGATAGTCATTCTTTCTACCGTTTGTGGCAACTGTGGAATAAAAACTTTCATTTACCACAGCTTTTGTTTAAGAGAGAGAGTGATCTTTTTATTGAACATTTAATTACATCTCGCTTCAGTTATTGTGTTTACTCATCGCTTACATGAAAAATTTGTCTGAACATTGAACTCCATCAGTCATGGCACGAATAGGTTTTTGAAATGACTAACTATGGAGTAAACATTGGTCCTGTAATTTTATACAGCGCTTGTCCTCCAGGAACGTTGTTTTATTGTCCAAGACTATATTATCTCAAGTTTTCTACCCAAATCTTTCAGTATGTAAAACCAACCCAAAGAGGACAGTCGTTGTTTCTGATGAAACTCATTTTTTTTCCTTTGAAAACGATGGAAGTCTAGTGCCAAAACCGTTTTAAACCAACATTTATCTTGAATTTTTTATTTTCTATTAGACCTGACACCCACCACGCCAAAAGATTCTTCCGCGATCAGTTAACATTTCGCCTAGGAAACAAAACTTCAGTCGCGGAAATATTGACTTTCATATATTCGCCTTCAATAAAAAGAACCCTATGGGTTCTTCTCAGCGTATTCTGTGATCTGTATTGAACTATTGTCCAAGTATTAAAAGGTCCTGTTGTTTCTTGTGTTCCATTTTTGCGGAGGGTGCATCGAGAAAACCCCAACTTAACTGTGCTGAACATGTTTAGGTCATTTGTTTACTTTTTTTTTTCAATCTCCCTCTAAATGCTCACTCGAGGAACAATAATAACAAATCGGCTTTTTTTCCGATTATTTAGTGGGCAATTCTAGCCTGGTGGTGTCGTTAATATGTTCAGATAATGGGAAACCAGTTAAAGCCTTTTCCCACCATGTGTCTCGAATGCTCAAATTGTATTACAGCACTCGTAATTTTCACAAGTAAAAATGGTTAATCAATACAACGTGTTTAGATCTTGTTGAAGAAAAGCTTTTCTTTTCATTTGCGTCTAAATGACCACATACTGAGAGGAGATCTTCAGTGGCCTCCCAGAGCTGAGCTAGTATCACTTCCAATTACCTGGCTGCCCAATGGCATCTTAGACATATAATAAAAAATATATAGCCTTATGAAGAAACACTACAATACAATGGCAACTTGGTTAAACAAAAATGGCTAAATTTTGAAAAGGTCCATTGTTCGGGAAAGACTTTTGCATCACAAAAGCGAACGTTTTATTTACTTTTTTGTGTGTGCTACTCCGAACGATACCAAGACCGAGCAAAGGACGTGAGAAAAACCCCTCAGACAGCGCTAATTGTTTAACACTTCCTTGAGCATGAATCACTGCAAACGTCTTTTCAATTCGGCTAAAGCTAACAAAATATTTCCAGGAAAAAGAATCATTCCATGTGTAGAGATTGAATGGTAACGAATCGACGAATGAAAGAGGCCATCCGTACCCTGCAGTCGTGTAATATCTTTAAGTAACCCTTTGTTTCGTTTCCTATTCGCAAATGGTAGAACCCACTCAACAAACGCACTTGTAAATTACATTTCGTAATCGTAAATGGATTAGGTTTTTGGACGGTTTTGTTAATTTTAGCGGTATCCTCTAAATAATTATTTCGTTGCATGCTCATTTCATTTCGCGCTTGAATTTATCTGTTTTTTTTAATTTTTTATTTCCTTACTGCAATTATTATCACGAAACCAAGTAAGCTTTTATGCAGCCCGAAAAAAAATTCAATTAGGTAATCAATATCCATTTGATTGGCACTTCCACATGACATAAATTTATCTACGTTTTTAGACCTTTGCACCCTGTGCAAATTTTGAGCCAAGGAAAGCAAAAAATGTCAGTATATTTATCGTAACGCTCAGCAAAATCTCTTTTTATCACTATAATATTTTTCTGCCCTTCGAATTGTAGTGAATAAAGAATAGAGGAGTGAAGACTGAAAGAAAGCGGGCATTTAAAACTTTCATCTCTATTTCCTTTAGAGGCGGATACATTTTTTGCTTCACTGACGTTGAAAGACTGTATTTTTTAATTATTTCAATGAAGACAACATTCACGTAACGCCTGCAAGTTGGAGTTTGATGGCAAAATGTTGAAATATCTGAGTGTGGGAAGAAGCTGAAGACAATGATAGAAATTGTAATTCTTTTCTTAACACCTCGGCACAATTCCCTCTTATTTACCTTTTGGTTGCTGTAACAACAGCATGATGTTCTTCACAAGAATTTTCCTGAATCTTTCGTGAATGATGAACAACTTTGTGGATACAAAACATTAGCGGTTTCTTTCACTACCGACTAAATTGAGCAATACTGAGTAGGCAAAGTACACCATGATAAATTGATAGTTTGGAGCAAAACACATTTTTCCTTAAGTCTGCAGGAAAAACCAGTAATCACCTTACTCGAATAACCATTTATGTCTCTGACTGAGTTTTCTTTTGAGTGAAGTATATTTTCCTGGATTAATCACCCTCTTAAGTTTAAACAGTTCTCGCGTACTGCTCAGTGTCGCCTGATTTCGAATCACTTCGAAAATGACTTATGATTTAAAAACCGATTAACGTTTTAATTTAAAACTCATTAAATAATCCATGGCGGGGTTCAGAAAAACAGTGCTTATTGAAGTTTCGATTGAGAGAGTCTCGTCAACAAGTAGAGCAATAACACCATTTCCCTTTGCTTGAAATATCCATTCAGGGCTTTCATTTCTCAACTAGCCAAATCAAATAAGGTAGCGAGTCGTTCGGTAGGAGTTTTCTCTGAAACAATTTTAACGCATAGTAAAGAACAGCTTTTAGGTTATTCCTTTACAATTTGGATTTGAGAGGAGGAGATTTATTAAACATCAGCGAGGAAGGACTGTGTTTTCTTCAACACATAAAACCTTTCTGCGAATGGTGAAGGAGAGATTCGCACTGGATAGAAGATCAGCCCTCTTAGTGTTTCGTGTTTGTTCTTAATCATGATTCAGTTCAAATTAACAAAAGCTTCCATTTAGATTCACAAAGGTGGAGGCTAAAGAGAGAATTAGCGCAAACAAGCTATCTTAGAGTCAATGCGCGCAAACCGTAATTTTTTTTTGACTTAGCACTGAGTCAAGTTTTCACCTGGGCGCCAAAAGGAAGGAAAGGATTAAGGTTTATTTGAAATGCACAGGAATAGTAATGGTTCCAAACATTTCTTACGAGGAACGATGATTCTTGAAAGCGAACACAAAAAGGTGAGATTATGACTCATCTATTGGGAGTGACTAACGAAATAAACACATGCGTTCACAAAGGCTCGAACAAAAGCATTTCAATTTACTTTTTAACCAAACAAAACTACCACAGGGTACATTTTTACGCTAACAGTTCTTATTCGGTTACCGTCCGTAGCATGGACCCCATAAAAGACGAAGGAAGAAATAATTGTCGCAACTCGCCTCCGCGCGGTCTCACTCTATGTACAATAGTGGGTTTGCATGATGAACGACACTTTAAGGACTATTGCTCTGAATGTTAATAGAATATAATATTTGTGTACCGACATATTTGTTGTATGCTGCGCTATTTGCAAAAGGGCTAATCGGAAAAAAAGGGCATGTATACTCAACTCGTAAAATGTGCGATGTGGAGAAGCCAAATTTAAAGCAGTGATCTGGTGCTGATAGTCTTTTGTAACACCTCTGAATAGAACATGGCTTTGCTGCTCACTTTTAGAACTCTTTAGTTGCTTTTTAATTATCAACTCTGTGGGCCATAGTTACAAAGCCCTCGTACTGTGTTGTAACATGCAGTCCAAATTGTTTCTTGAGGATATTTTTCTAAGTGTTTGATTTTTCCCTCGTGTCTTAGAAATATCTAGAAAGTTCTCTTTTATTGCGCTATTCTTTTCGTAGTCCACCCCAAAAAACATGAACTTTTAACCCTGAGTTTTTCCTCTTTTTCACTGAAATTTTAATCAAGGGTGTGTAAACAATGTGAATGGACGTAAATACTTCGTGATTTACATGACAATGACAGATATTTCAGTGAAGGTGACGCAATTTTCACACAAGGAATGGAGCCAATTGGTCGTGACAATACTCGAAGTGAACGTCTTGACTTTGCATATTTAATGAGTGCACCTGCAGAACAATTAATGTAGCTTTAATTTACAAACGTCTAACACACCGATACAGCGTCAGTAAATAGTCCCTTCAAACGGCATAAATAGCGTGTGACTTTGGCACAGAACTGAATATATCCGAACGCCTTTGTCGTCAGAGGACGAGTGCGCGGAGAACGTATTGCGAAATTATCAAAGTGAACATTTGGCACAGTTTTCCTCCGCCTTAGGGATTTTCTTGCACATCTTTGCCGTTTACATTTATTTTTTCGAATTTCTAAATGTTGGATTCGGGAATGGCCGCGAAATCGAAGTTTAACGATCCACACCTGGTTAACTTATCGGATGATGGTCGTGCTGTCAGCCGAAAGGAAGATCAATCCACAGCTGGAAGTTCTCTTTTAAACTTTATGAACTTGGCGTCCGGGAACGTAAAGACCGCCTTAGAAAAACCGGCCAACTTTAAAAGGAACATTAACCACCGCAGGTATCTTCAAAAACAGCTGCGGAATTATTCAAAGCGGAAGAACGACATAACCACAAAGAAACCCAAAGACGTTCTTAAGCATAAAACTCACAGCTTACACGGTGACAAACATGGCACGTCGAGGAATTCTTCAAGGCAAGAAGGGAGTTCTAAAAGATCTGAACGGACTGTAGAAGCTGTCAACTTCGAGAAATCCTCACTTCGGGAAAGGAACCTTCCCCCTTCATTCTGGCAGGAACCTGTCATTCCAGACGGAACAGAGACGTACATGTATCCAATGTATCCCTTGCAAGCCAGGGCCGGAGAATCGGAAGACCCTTACAACCCCGTTTTCGAAAGTTACTTCGAAGGTTGGAACGAATGTTTAACAAGGGAAATCCCCGTTGAAGAACTGTCACAAAGTGGATCTGCACTTTCTGTTTCATCCGAAGAAACCAATTGTGATGATTTCATGACGGGAGAAGAACTTACTCGTAGTATTGACATTAAAGATCTGTATGTACCCGAACTTTATTTAACAGATAAAAGCCCGCTAGAGTCATCTCAAGGGGAGAGCCTTTACCTGGCACCTATCTCACCCACTCAGTATGTCCTGACTCCTACATCTTGCTCAGATCAGGCATATTTTAATTTTTCGTTTGATCACGACCCATCGGGTTTACCGCCATTTGCCATGGCTTTTCTTAGTCCGGGTACCCTAACGCAATACTAATCTTCGTTCGTCATAGATCTAATGTCACATAAAATAGGTGACAATTACGAAAAAAATTGTGGTCATAATATCAATGTCTACTCCACGGACAAGGATCACTGGGAAGGAAGTTTTCTTAAGACAACAGCTTCGTTTCGCAGGTTTTCCTGTAAATACTGCTTATTTAGATAGTTTTTACTAGAATATATTTTCATGAAACCGAGATGACTGTGCCTTTTGCAATATTTTGAAGAACGTGCAGTTTTATTGAAGAGAAGGAAAGTGACAATACTTTGGACTAACATGAGATCGAAGGTAATTAATTCGCTATTGAAATTATGCTTCCACGTCTACTCTGTGTTATAGTACTTAGAGAGGATAAATAAATCTTTGAGAAACAAACTTCAAAAGGTGGTCGGTTTATTTCTTGAAATTTTAACTGTAGTGACACGACTGGATAATTTAACCGACGAAAAAGATTATTCTTTCCCTTTTCACCTCGCCTCCGGAGTATTATACTACTAATGATTGTTGGGATGATTATTCAGTGAATAACAATTTGCGAATGAATGGTGGCACTGGCGACAAATTTTTTAGGAACTTTTGTTATTTCTGAGAGAGGAACAGAAGATATAATATTGATAGATGAAAATTCATGTTACATGATCAGCGAGAACAGTCTTTTGTTTAACTCTTATTCAGACGTTTACATAAATATGTTTGGTATTCCGGAGTAGTGATTGCAATCGATTCTTTTCTACCATGACAGCTAAGATGAAAATTTGAGAAGTGGGTGCAAACGATTATTTTTTTATGACTAAATCTAAGGAAATATGATAAAAGGTAGGTTTCCGTTTAGTCTGCTAGACTGTCAAAGCTTGATAAGCTGAAACTCACACGGAATAATTAATTAAATGATTGATTTTTGATTTTTGATTTTCTTCAAATTTCCCCTGGATGTTAAAATTGAATTTGAATTCTCAGTAAACAGGTTTTATTCCTGTTGAACAAAATGGCTCTGTGCGGTTCACCCACGTGCACGCAATATTCTGTGATATTTTGCTGTTCCGAATTTTCTTTGTCTTTATTTTGTCTGAACTAATACTCGTACCTTGCCATAACTCTATTGATCTTCGAAGTACATGTTATACACAAGATATTAAAAACGGTAATGGTACAATTTTTCCATATCCAACACATTTTATGGTTACCTTCGTCATTGTGAGAAGCTTCAAAAACATTTAGGTTTTAATTTTCAAAGGAACTGCCATAATCCCCCCCATTTTAGAGGATTGATTTTTATGTTCGCCGGCAGGTAATTCACTGAGATCACGGAACGTTCGCCGTAGGACAATGAAGAAAAATTCAAATGTGTCGTGCGTCCTGTTGTCTCAGCTATGTAGTTTACGCTTTTCACTAAGTAAAGCTGAGCAAACAAGCCATAGGATTATTAAATTGATTTTACAATGTGAGAAAAAAACCCGTATTAGGGATCGTTTTCAATAACGTGCACGCATAAAGACATCGTAGTGATCCTTCACTTTAAGAAGTGCGATTATTAAACTAAGACAAACCGAGACGTGAAACCGAGAATTATCGAGTTTAAGTCGGATATCGTCTTCCAAATATAACTAGAGAATATATGAATAAATGTCTTCCAGCTTTCTTTTAGTAAACAATAAGGGAAGACGTTACTTTTCTCAACGCGGATGTTTCACCTGTAAGCGCATGCGTTGTGAAAAGCTCTTCTCCAAATATCTATGTGATAGGACTGACTGCATGCAAGATCATGAATTAACACCTTAAGCAGCCTCCTAGAATTATATTTCCTTGGCATCGAAATCCAATGTTTGAAATCAAAATTTAATTTGAAGGAAAATGCGCCATAACAGGATAAGAAAACTAGAGGAAATAACACTTAAGATGATAACCTTTTCCGAGCACTTCCAATTCATAAACTTAATAATTATTAGGAGATTGGCATCCATTTTAAAAGTCGCTCTCAAAAACTGAATCTGTCTCAAAAATGAATCCTTGACTTGACAAATTTCTATATTCTCTTAACTAATGGCCTTGATAAGAACTTATGCCTTAAGGAGAAATGATAATATGACTATATGCAACGTTTATGTGATGTATATCGTCTGCATGGTCTTATCTCAATCCGTCCATTACACGTGCAACTCGAAATGCAAATGAGAATGTTTCTTTTAACATGATCGTGCAGTCAGAGTGATTTAGATGCTTTTTAAACCAAGTACGGAAACAACGTGCTTCGGAAAAGGTGTCGACTTTCACTGAAATCTTTCTGTTGCCTCAGCACCGATCAACAGAATTAACACTGGTTGTCTTTCAGGGATAATTTCTTGTGATGAAAAGACATCGCATTTGGGGACATCAAACATTGTAAGCTATTAGTTACTTTTATTGGATAGCTAACTGTCAAATCGCAGTCTACTTAAAGGTTCGCTGCTCAACTCGTTTTCAATTTTTGCCATGACAAGCTTTCCGTTTCCACATACTTGAACTAAGGACTTGCTATTCGCAATTAAATGTTAGAGACGAAAATGAGACAAGAAAGAACCGATTACAAGTTCCTTAACACTGTTGTTGTTTTTGTTGTTGTTTTGTTTTTGTTTTCTGGTCTTCTTGGCACAAATAGGCTTTCTTGGTATTCAATTCCCACATAAACCTCAATAGCATCTGATGACAGCTCAAACCAGTAGCGACACTGGCCTCTTTGTTCAATCTGTACCAAACCTTAGCATAGCAACGTAAGATGTCAAGATACTTTTTTTGTGGTCTGTTTTTCGAGTTTGCCTTTAACTGTAAATGTATAAGTTATCGTTCACTTTCTATTGTTGCTACGTTTAAAAGACAATGGGATGAGGAATGCACTTTTTGGGTTTATTCTAAAAACGCGATAAGAAAATTGTTTCCTTTCCCTTATTTTCAGCAAGGAGGGGATGCATAGTGGGTTTGGTATATGACTTCTTTCATATTAAGTCGGTACACCACGAATAAATCAGATCGAACTCTATTATGTCATTTAACCCACAGTCAACTCATACAGTCAGGGGATTAAATGATTATATCTAGTTTCATTATGGTTCTAGAGAAAGACAAGTTCTAAAGAGTTAAGTTGTTATGCACGGCTTCCTAACTACCCTACAGCATATTGAATGGAGTAATTTTCTTGCGTTTTCACATAAAAAGGAGCATGACATAGAAGTAGAAAAATTGGTGAAGACGGTCATTACCGTGCGCTATCTGAAAGAGCAACAAAAGAAAACGTGCTTTAGAATCTTTCCATACACAGTTGATGAATAATGCACAAAAGTACCTGTTACACAGAACACTGAAATGTGCTTTACTCAACGTGTCGTCTGAAAAATAAAATAAAATAAAAAACTAAATTAGAAACCTGCTTTTCTGAAGTTAATGTTTGATTACAGAAAGGAGACACTGCAAGAATGACGAGGCCACGTTGTATTTTGATAAAACAAAAGAGCACAGTATAATTGTTGTTCAAACAATATATGTTTTGCTATGGAGTTGAACTAATGCTGGCGCGGTTCATTCGAGACTTGAGCAAATCCCTTGGACGTGTGTTAATTTTTAAATAATTAAATTGTAGGACTTAAATAATAGCGCAAAAAATAAACATGAGTTAAGACCGGTACCAAAAACACACGTGTTTTTGTCACCGTCTCCCCCTGAATGCCTTTTTGTTCTTTACATTAGGTTTGTGAGAGACGTAACAATCATTTTCAAGAGTGCAACAGCTCAACAGCATCTGATGCACTACTTCTTAACTGTTCACACTATTTTGAGTTTTTCCCTTAAAATATTCCCATCTTAATAAAAGAACGGTCCTTATAACTGATAATGAACTGGTACCCAAGTTACGAAACAATTCACACTCATAAGGCCAAGGTAGTGCTTTCTGTTTCGACAATACAAGAAAGTATGTTCCCCTGGGCTCGCCTTTTGGTATAGTCGGTTCTAAAAGTAACTGCTTATTAAAAATAGATTCTTAGACATTTCCCACCAGTTGTGTGCATCTACAGCAGGATAGCTTTTAGGCAGTAGGGCTAAATTCGTGGTTTTGCGCAAAAGAAAGACGGAAGCTGTATATAAGTGTGGTAAGAGTGCAATTTAACAAGATTGTTTTGACTTGCAGATTTCTTCTGTTGCCAGACAGACGAAGTCACCTTACACTCATTGAAGAAGAACTGTGACTCATTTATTCAAAGTGCGACGTTAGCCATGTGCGAGAAGTGGCTACCATACAAAAACAAGACAGTGAAAGTATAGTCTTGGTAGACAGCTCGGCAGGGGGTTTGAGGCTATTATTCTCAGTAAATATAGACTATTTCAGTCCAGCTTGCTTATTCAAGTGTGATACAACAGATTATAAAATAAATAACATTTTTTAAAAATGACATATTTAATCACTTGACTGTAATGTTATAAGTAATGTTATAAGCACTTTACAATCTATCCCGCATATGATAGATACTTTCAACAAAAAGAAAGATATCATTCTGATCACACAAAAAAAATTTAACTATTTTTTTGGACGTAGTATTCATTCGCACCCTCTCTCACGGCTTTTTTTAATGTGCACTGAGCACTTAAATGTGTTATTTTATGCTAAAAAATACAGCATATAAATTTTTTGATAAACAGAGTAAGAATTTGAAATGCTCACAAAAGTTCTCCAGCAAATAAGAATTAGCGACCCATCTCAAGGGATGAATTTGGCCCACAAACACCATGCTCGTTTTTTTTTTCTTTTAGATCGAAGACATTTAAGTAACTTTTCAACGCGATAAGCAGAGGCTAAATGAGATTTGAACTAATAAACTGCTTGAGCTGAACTAAGCTTTGTGCTGATGTTATGATCTTTTAAGTTGGCCTTGTAGTTTGAAGAAATTTAAAAATAGAGCTCTTTCCTAAAAGCATGTGTGTGTTCCTGTGTGAATTCAGCCAAATGACAATTTTCCCTGCAATTTGCAGTCATCAAAATTCTTCTCGGTAAGCGCATATTCTTGGCGACGTATTGAGAGCTTTCCTTCTTCCAACTAAGACGTACGAATCTGCAAGATGAGCCAAGAAAACTATCTTTTCCTCGGCTTCTTATTCTGAATAATGTTCCATTTGTTCCCAATAATTTCCTCCACTGAATTAAGAATGATTGTCATGAATAAGATCAGTCGAATCGCGTACCAGTGAAGCTTTACTCCAAAGATAACAGATGAAAAAGATCACTGAGCAAAAAAACCAAACCAACGAGCAAACAAATAAACACAAGTGGCATGGGTGTTCCTTCTGACCAAGTACCTTACTTAAGACATTGATACTCTTAAAAATTGTACTGGTTTTCAATTACAACTGTAAATTAGGGAACTGAACATAAATTTTAATTTATGTAGAAAACTTCTTTCATTAAGGGAAAATTTTGCCTTGGGCTCTCTGTTGTTACAATTCAATTATTAAGCTAGCAGAAGACAAAGGAACTTGCTAAAAAAAAACTTAGAACCAAAGAAACTTGCCAGCAGTAATTCACGTCACTTAGTGGGTGTGAACTTTTAAATGCTTTTGTCCGTTCGTTAATGTCGTTGAATCTTTTGTTTTTCTTTGTTTTAAGACATTTTCCCTTTCGCCAGTCTGACGTCAAATAAGGCACTTTTCCTTCCTTAGGACCGCGTGTCTTGATCAGTTACCATGTGCTAAGGATAAGAGATTGCTATATTGTCTTGTTTCATGTTTTTTTAATTCTCTCTCAAAACGATACACGATATACAACCAACAAACTCAAATCAATTTGGCGACGTTCATCAACAGTTAAGTGTTTTTCTTTGTTTTTTCTTTGTGTTTCATTTTGCATCGTGTTTATCTTGTGAGAGAGCCCTTATTAGGTTTTATTGTCACGTCTATCTTTGTGTTAGTTCAATTTCCATCTTCCTTCAGTTACCAAAAATTCCCTTTCTTGCTCACTGAAAAAGTTAGGTAGAGATTTATTGGGTGGAGGCGCCACCCTGGCGGAGAGATTTTATAAAAGATTTAGTAGCATTTAATTGTATTCAAGAGGCCGGAATCAATCCGAACACATTAAATCCTTTCCGAATCATCGTTTTTCGTGTGAAAGTATTAGAAGACATTCATTGTAAAGGAAGTTTTAAAATATGGTTTTTAAGGGGAAAGACATTGAGGTACTTCGGATGTAATGGCAGTTACATGATTCAGTTACTGTCAACAAAAATGACTTGTCAGAATATTTCTAGTTTCAAGTTCGTTCATCCGATCACGACAAGAACAACGTAAAGACATCGAGAGAGGAAGCAACACTTCACTTTCAAATTACCAATCTTTATAAGTGAGAAAAAAATGGTAACGAAAAGCCCAGATTACAGTTGTTATTCTGTCCTAAAAGATTGTTTTTCGTGCACGAGTTGGATGGGTGAAAATAGCCAAAACATTTTTATTTCATGTTCTTTATCATTTTAGAAATTTGACAACTTTGATGTTCTTTGTTTATATTTTGGTCTCACACATTACCGACTTTATTGTCTACAACTTGTAAGGCTTCCACAGCCAATTGTTTCCAGCTACTTCCTAATTAACAGATCTGCACACATACACAGCAATTTACACTTCTTTCTTTAAACCAGGTCTGTAGATGAGAAAACCTCCTCGTTTTATTTTTTGTCATTATTCAACATTTGTTTAAAAATGACCATAGAGGAAGGATCTAAGTAAAGCAGTAAAAAAGAAGACAATGTCAACTCATTGTTAAATAAAGACAGGTGACGCCGTCTTTCTAGGGTTATTGTCATAACCTGACGTATTCCTCAAGGTCATAACTAGTATTCAGGACATATGGCAAGTACTTCTAACGAGAGGCAATACAAAAAAGCTGAAAAAAAAGAGAGGCGAGGCATTGAGACATCTAAAACAAAAACGTCTCAGTCTCTGTCTTTAGACGCATAACATGTTTGTTCAGTCTGAGAGACAGAAAAGCGATTAAATAAATAAAACAAAAGTATTAAACTAAAGAGGAATTAACTGGTGACACTAATCCTGCTTTGATGATAGGAGAGCGTCAAATTGTCATGAAAATCGTGAATAAATACATTTCACATTGATAACATTCCCTCCTCCCCTCAACCCTATGCAAAGTTGAATTTCGTCCATTTCATCATATTTTATTCAATTATTATTTTTTTCGTTCAATTTTTTTCGGGGAGGGAAGGGGGGCGCTTAGCGTACCAAACTTACTGTAACCATTGATTGCAGTTCTTGAACACTTCCTTTGAAGTGAGCCTGCGTATTGCTTTATATTTTGAAGTAATGTGAGTTTCCTACGCTGAAACGGAAAGGTTAATATTGTGAAAGGAATGAAGTGTGATCATTTCTATTCTACGCATCAAAAAGCCTTTTAAGGAATTTTTGGCCCCTAGTAATCGTCTCTGAATCTGATACATAACCTGTATTCGTCTAGCGGAATAAAAAAAACAAACAAACAAACTGGCCGGACCACTTTCTAGATTTTCACGGTTAACCGTAAGCTATACTGAGTAAATTTGAGTTGTTTTCCTTGATCGTTTGATCGTTTTCTCTTTTTGTTCCTGTAATTCGTAGAAATTAAACCAAAGCAAAATGATGAAGTAAGTCAGCCAGCAATGTATTATGTTATTGCAGTAGAAACTCGGTGTTTTAGGTAGTTGACGATTGAAATCAACTGGATGAAGTACGGTACAAGTTTAATGTGATTTTTATTCCCGGAATCAACCATTTCCTTTATTCATTATCATGAAAAAGCAATTTAGACACTGTTCAGTAAAATCACCCTCAATGAAAAATCACCCCATCAACAGACGTATGAAAAGAATTCGCGCACTTTTTATTTACGCATGTCATGCCATGTTTTCATATCTATCGATATAACCTGTGATCTCCTTTACAGCCGATCTTCGAAATGTCACAATATCAGTCCCAAAGGAGACTTTCTGGCTGATGAATGTTACCCACGTTTTTGTAAACCTCTTTCGAAGGAAACCCGTTTTTCACGTAAGCAAAAGCTTACATGGCTACACGAGAAAAGTTTTGTCGCCTACGCACCTCAGTGGGGAAAGTCACAAACAGTTCTCTGTAACCGCCTGTTAGTCTTATTAAGACATAATTCTAAAACTTTTTTGATTGTGTGATTGTCCTACCTATTTAGACTTTGCCATTGGTTCCGTGATAAGTTTATTACTGAACTAGCCGTACTATGTTCCCCAATGAAGGTCGACGTACAATTAGTCTCGCTTGAGCCACTCTTCTAGTCAATAACAAATTCGTAGATTCCTTCACCATCCCTGCAAACTACCTCTCCTATGGTTAAACAATTGACGCACTGAGCTCAGAAATCCATTATTACCCGATGATCCCTGGCTCTTTTGCCGAGACTTTTTGGTGAATCTAACCTGGAACACCATATTGAAAAAAACGATTTGAACGTTCTTATTGGTTAGAGCAGAAGTCTCGTAATGCGAACAGGAGAACTCGCTTGCAGTCTCCCTGGCTTCTTCTTTGCTAACACTTCTTCCTCGGCGGAGATCTTTCTTGTTACCAACCAATATAACAGGGACCTGGCACTCCCCGTCAGGCTTTCTCACCTCTTTGATGAGCTTGACAAGCTGTCTTGCCACTTCAAAACTGTAATGATCAGTGATCGAGTATACCACTATGAATCCTTCCCCATTTCTAATGTAAGAAGCTTGAGCCTGAGTGAAACAAAAATGAAAAAAATATATATATATGAACTTTTAAACGACTAGACAAATTTTCAGGTCATTTATCGTCCTATCAAATATCAAATAATTTTATGTTATGACTAGACGTTAGATGGACGCGGTGATAAGAGGTAATGTCGAGGAAACTGTCTTTACTTAATGGAAATTTGATGGAAATTTAAGGGCAGGCGTTTAATAGAGTTCTTGCTGGGGGAATACAATAGAATAACAACCCCCGCCGTTAATTTTGAGCTTAGCAAATCTAAAGGGACGATTCTTTTGGCGCTTACAGTATTTTCTACTTTACGAAGAAGCACGTTCGCTTTTAATTTCGGCCTTGAATATTTTAAACAAAGAACAGCGATCTCAGTTATACAGGGTTGGTGAAGAAATGAGCTGGTTTGGGAAGGAAGGGTGGCTATTCACAACTAGCTTATATCTCTTAACCCTTTAACCCCTAAGAGTGAATAACATCTAATTTCTCCTAACAACATCACCCCTAAATCACACATTAAGGTCATGAGAATAAAGGAGATGATCACCAACTAAAGAAGTTGATTGTTGAACAAATTCTCCTTGTCAGAACCTTAGGAAATGTCTAGAGAGTAGTATGGGGAATATGCATACTGATATTAAGGAGTAAAGGTTATGGAAACTCGGGGTATGATTGGCTCCACATTCATCAACTAAAATCAGTCAAAACCAATTCCTTACAAAAGAAGAACTGATCGTCTTTTGGGTTATTAGAAAACAAGAAGCATTTAAAACAATGGTTCCATTCATCTCCGTAAGACCCCTACGATGCATCAAAACTATGTACGTGCGAAATTAATGGAGGGTGATTACACAAATGGCTGCCCTAAGTTGTTGATTTATCGAAGGACAATGCCTTGAGCTGATAGACTTTGAGACCTCACAGTTACCCTGGAGCTTTGTCTTCTTGGCGAACCCGACGGGGCATCATCCTTTAATATAACACATACGGCAAAAGAAGCTTACTCTACTCAATGTTAGCTGGAGCTTGGAGCTTCGGCTGAGTACAACTAATCGTATAAATGAAGGTTTTATCTTAAAAGCCTACACTATACGCTAATTTCGCTAGTAATATAAGCCAAAATTATTCATGATTATAAATCCCTACATAAAACTTTCAATTACCACTATTTATCTCTCCCTATGACGGTCGTCACAAACAAAAATTAAAACATGAGTAGAACGTTATTTGTTAGATAATTACTATTTTCAGTATCTTCAGCAGAATACAGTTATGTAACAGTGACTTCCACAACCTCTCTCTCATCGGAGATCTCCTGGAATAGATAGATCAGTGTTCCATGTGCTGAAGGTCACTTACGTTGTCAATCTTATCTGACAACTTGAGTGTGGTCATAGGGGAGCTAACTGAAAGCAATGGTGTAACAGCACTTTGTGACTACAGTTAACGTAAGAGAAGCTTCGATTTTACTAGCTGCTGCTTTACTGCTTTTAAAATTCTTGTATTTTGTCGACGTTTTTGTAATACTTTCCTAGAATTTTAGCTGCCTAACACTGTCGTTGTGTACGACAGTTGTGTGGCCCTGGAAAATTCACTTTAGCATCAGTAAATCACGAGATGTTAGTCTGTTATCAGTTGAAAAGATAAATCAAACCATTAAGTAAACATCTGTTTATTTTGAAAAAAGTTGATGATAAGATTCATTTAGCAAGGAAGAATTGAACACGAGGCTACGTGATGCGATATTGACTGTCGGACAAAAGTCTTATGGCGTTACTCAGTACCCTATCTTAGTCAAAAGATCGCTAATTTGAGGCTTTAGCTATGGGTAGAATTACCTGTAAACCGAGCTCCGTGGTCGGTAAAACATCCTGTTTTTTTTTCGAGCTAGCACTTAGGAAAAACATTTTAAAACAATCAGTAAATGATGAAAGAAGAAGTGACTAAACTGCTTACATTGCTAGCAGTGTCCAGAATGTCCAGTGATACATTGCTGTCACCAACCGGCAAGGATTTCTCATAAACCATCTCTAAAAGCCAAAAATACAATAGAACCATTAGCAGGTCTAAGTTTAGTAACAGGGCGGCATGGTGGGCTTCAAAATAAGTACTTCTATTGAACCAACAACAAAAAAGGCGGTATTATACAGATTAAAGCCATTTCCTCGTGTACGAAACCTGAAACCTCCGACTTTGAACGGAAATCATTTGAGATATACAAACGGGAAGACCAACGGCCTCCAGTCATCTACCGACTGTTTTTTTTATTTTATTTTTAGTACCATTTCGTTGAATAAATTTGACATTTACTTACGCACACACAGAACTCAACCTGTGTTGAAATACTGCTGTATACATCCAGAAAAGCTGTTCAAGTCCAGGTTAGTCTAGATCGCGTTTAAGAGTATTTTCGATTAACCAACATCCTGAGAAAATCAATCATGTGTTTATCCAAAGCTCTGGTTTTCGATCCGCGTGCGAGTAAGAAGGCGTGATCGTTATTAACCCTTAAGCGGTGCACGAGCGCAAGCAAAAAAAAATCTGCTAAAGAAATTAACACTTAGAAATTATTTTTTGTACACAAACCTGTCAGAAATCAAATCAGACCGCACGACAAACTTATCCCGCTTTTCCGGACAGAAAAATATGATACCGACGACTTGCCGCAAGTTTATATTTCTACGCTGTCAGACAAACTACTTTGGATAAACTTCTTCCTCACCTAATGTTGGATCATATTCATTTAAAAATCGGCCAGTCACGAAGCGAACTACCAAAGCTGAAAGACAAAAGAGAAAAAAATATGCCAATCTTACTAATCGCTATTCAAACAAAACGAGATATTAAGGTTTGAGTAAAGCCGACAATATAAACTCTGATAACAAATCTAGAGTGACGTCTGTTCCTATCCATGAGAGAAGTTGCGGGCGAGGAATAACTATATCAGCTTTCCAGAAGGAAAGACTCGAGTGGTTCCCTCAAGAAATTTAGGAAATAAGTCCATAATTGATGATCCGTGCCAGATTAAGGATGCAATTATATTCTGCTTTCACGCCGGTTCTTTGTTCAATACATACATTGTGAAAAGAAACGATCATTACTTCCATGGTCATGAAAGAAGTTGTTCCATGCTTTATTTTCAAAAGCTTTCACAGTCACGATACTCTTTTATCTGCTGTTAATCTAATCGGAGAGCGCATCTTGATCTGTCTCAAATGTTTCGTCAATTGAAATTTTCTTGCATACTGACTAGCTTAGTGATCCATGTGTCTTGCGAAATAGAACTGCATGTTTCCTTACATTAATTCTCTAATTTAAGTTACAATAGCTGTGAATCAGCACTATTAGACGCTATGTGTTATATAATGTAACCGCTATGCATGGCCAGTTTACCTGTCTTTCCTACTCCTCCTGCTCCCAGCATAACTATGGAGTGCTTCTCGCTACAGGCAACACCCTCGGGGTCTTTATTCCCGGACTTAAACTTGCCACCCAGCAAACTTGACCGTTTCTTGAGCGATTGAAAGTCCAGCTTGGTCGGACTAAAATCGTCATTAGCAAAACTGAAACTATTGCTCCGAGTTGTAAGTGGCTTTTTATCGGAGGAGTATAGATGTCCGAGGCTTCCTCTTCTTTGTGCGTGGCCTTGGGTACTCCGCCGCTGTTGTGGTGGCGTGAAGTTTCGTGGCTGACGCATCGTAGCCGCTCCATACAACGTTCGCGGAGGAACCGTGTTTTCTCGTCTTAGCGACATGAAGGATCTATGCCTGCTGCATGATCCAATAATCTGCGTCGAGGCTCAATTAAACCGTCCAGTTGAAGCTGTTTTACCAATTTTTACGTTTGATTCTCCACGGTCCTTGTCTGTTCGCTGTGCGAGAGTATATGAGGTTAGAGGTTTCTCAGGATAATGTCAGCCAATAAATAGATCATATTGTTCAATCTGACAGGCGTTCTATTGTCATGCTCCCTTAAAACAACAAAGGACACTTTTCGACGCATACCATTTTGCGTTTCAGTATGCAAAATTCAAATGTCAAAACACTGTTATCCACTGAGGGGGTTTTGAGGATCAAGGACAGGCCAGTCAATCTTTAGGGATGTACACAATGATGTTACTCTTATGAAAGGTTACCACGCGTGCCTTTAAATTCCTTAGAGGGGACCTCACAATCTACTGATGTTGTGCTCTCAGTTGGCAAATGAAGCTTATGCTTTGTAGTTTGGTAAAAGCGAGTGGTTTCCGCTCGCAAGCTAATTAATTTGCTTTGCGTTTGTGGCTAAGACAATGGACTTATCGGATGTGTGCTAATGGAGAGCAACACTCTTTAAAAAAGAAGAAACTCTAACCACACTAGAAGTAACTTTAAGACGTAAAATTAAAGTGTGCACAGTTCCCCTCTGAAGACGCAACAAAGTCTAATAACTTCGCAACGAAAATTGCCTGAGGAGATCTTTAAAAATCCATTATCCTTTGAACTATAACGTAATTGTAACCGAAGTTAACAAACCTTCCACTCAACAGAAGACGCCCCAAAAAGCATAATTTGGAAAGATACATCGTAGAACGTGTTCGATTACATATTTTTTGTACACTCTTGGGACTAATTAGCAAAAGCTATGTGTATCTTTGGTTTCCGTCGTTTCCATCGACCAATCGTCTCACTTCCGGTGTGTCGAAAGGCTTAAATGAAGTCATAATTGTTCATACAAAGTGTTGACATAATAGACCAATTGTGTTAGTTTGATGGCCATTTTGTCGTGGCGTAAATTGCCACTTTTGAACCACTGAAATAATACCTAAACGAAGTTATTTGCACGATACACAAATGAAATGTGTCTTCAGGAAAGCACGAAATGAAGAATAGGGTTTTTCTAAAGACTAAATTATTTTCCTTACATTTAATCGTATACTGCCGAGGTAAGGTAAGTGATCTACAAGACGATGTATTATTTTCAAATACGAAAACAAAACCGTGGCAAATTACTGCGGGGCAAACAGCCAGGAAAATAACAATCTCCCGTCTGATATCACTGTGACAGATTTCTACAAACAGGTTACCTAGTAAAGAAAAAATCAGCTGTCTCTCGCTTCACTTCTGACTCAGATTTCCAGGTTTACCCGTCAGTTGTCGTTGTTTCTCAAACGCGTTACCGGCAGTCTCTTCTGATCAGAAAGCTAAACCTTTACAGACCTTTGGTCTAATTACATAGGGTAAAACAGCAAGTCACTTTTAATATCAATGGCCTCATTAATCATCTTTGCGGGAGATATCTAAACGAAATGTGGTTCTAACGACGTAAAGTATACATACGTTCTTTGTGGATTATCTACTTTTCTGAACTGTAAAATGAGAATCAAGCGAATGGCTTCTCCATCTGGATTTTCAAAATATGCCCATAAGAGCAGAGAACTTGTGGGGATTATTGTGGATCCGTACATCTCTAGAAGCAGATTTTTCGTGAGAAGATTCAGTCTGAGGTTTTGCATGGTTTCAAAATTGAAGGGTGTAACCGCCATGTAACACGGGGAAGGTAATTCAGACGCCAAAATACAAAGGATCACGGCACGGATACGGTGTAGAACATTCAGTACCTTTTAGATTCTAAATCACCATGGTTTGCGCCCTGCATAATACGATTCTCTGACCTATCGGCGATTAAATTTACTTCCTTTTCCTTTTTTAAACTAAACGCTGCGACTGGAAAGGAAGTAATCTACTATCCTTGGGAAACATATGCTTGTCTGAAGTAAGACGATGGAAACAATATATGAAGTGGAGCATTTCCAACTTCAGAATTAACATTTTGAGAAGCGGACCCGTTTCTTTCCGTTATGCGCTGATAGGGTAAATGCATGTACCTTGTGGTGAACCTCAAGTTGTTCGACTGAAGCCCTCATTACTACTATCAGGAAGATGATCTACAGTTACTTTTCTTGAATTTTTGTTTTGCCTCCTTGCCTTTTTTTTTCAGACAGAGAAAAAGTCTACTATTTTAAATAGAATGTTTACAATCTTACCTTAAGTTTTCGCGAATCAGTTGATCGAATTTATCGAATTTATCGAGCGTGAAGAAGGTCTAAGTAATTCCAGTATTTACCAGTTCTGCCTTGTTAGCTTTTTAGCTCCAATCCTGTTGCAATTGACTTTGAATCTGAAGTGGCCTGCCTTGAATGTTGATAAAACGCTGTATAATGGGTCTAGGAATTGTGATACGTGTTAAATTAACAAACATAATTTGACAGCGAGTCGACCTTTGTAGACAAGGTGTGTATTTCAGAAGTCATCGTCTGAGTTCAACAGCTATTAAAATTCTTTCAACTTGACCACGATAAGATGCTAAAATGTCTGCCAAATCAAATATTTATTTTTCCAGCGTTCTCCTGAACTCTGTCAGTACAGCATCTGCACTGAATCACGTACCAGACCAATACGCTTAAAACATTTTGGCGTCTGTACGATTGCATATCATGCTGGATTTCTTTTATAAGTCTAGACTACCACAACTTCAAAAAAATATATCAGTATAGCTATATAGGATCAGGTCTCATCGCGTTCATCCAAAGTATACAGCACCACTGAACCACGGGTAGCCTACCAAGGGGCTCCATAAAGTGGTATGATCATAATACAAGGACAAACGTGCAGGAAATAGGAGAGCAGCGAGCTCTGCGAGTCAATACTGGTGGTCTGCACGAAATAAGTGCCGCTTTCCTCATATATTTCGCCCACCAAACCGCAATGGGGAACCCATACGTAGGCAGCAAGTATCAAAGGCTTTCATATAGACAGATTGTGCATATGATTACTAAATAAAATTTTGAAGCCGAAAATTTCCCGATTATGTAAACATGTATGAAGCACAGGACTGTACAGTAGGGTGGTCGCTTTGACAAGCTCACACTCCCAGTGCCTCATTATTGCGTCGCAATTTTCTCAGAATCTCTTGAAGTTAATCTCCCTAAGAATAACTGGGAAGAGCATTTACTTCTGGTATTTAATAACTGGGAGCAGCTTTATCTAAGGTTAAAACACTGACCATCGAATGATTACCTTCTTCAGTTCACCTCTATGGTTTTGTTGAAAATATCTTGGTTATAATAACAACTCTGTGCGATGATCAAACCGACTGTTCTTTCTGTTCCAACGTTGATTGTTTTATTCAGTCACCAAATTGGCAGGTTTGTCTTACGGCGCCACTCCGACTGTAGCTTTTAAGCTGTCTATTTCCGTATTTAATGCTCTGTGTACACAACTTTGAACAGTTCCACTGTGTTACATTGTTGCCAACTTGACGCAGTTCATCGTTGGTGGACGATACTTGTGCGAGGTTTGTCCTCGAACACAATCATCGTAGTCTTGAAGTGATAATTTTTTTTCTCAATTTTCAAGTAAGTGTTTAAGAATGTATTATGTGCGAACTGATCTTGCAATAAAAAAAATTACAAGTTTGGAATTCAAAGAATTTTCATCCTAAGTTTGAAGTGATATGACAGGTGATTTGAAGCTGCATTATTTATTCAATGTCAGAGATAAAAAGTACTTTGATGACATACGTTTGTAAAGCGTGATAGCTCTCCACGTTTTTTTTTTTTAAATATAAGCGATTAGTAATTTTATTCGTTTCGCTTTGTCGTGATTGTGTCCTTCCGCATTTTTAATCAGATATTTATCTTTTATTGTCAATAAGACTGAATAAAAATTCAGCTCAGGATCTAAATGGTAACGATAAGGTGTAAGTAGGGGAAATAAAAAGCGACAGTTCTTGTCAAACCTGAATCACAAAAGGCAATGAATTATCTCTTTTAACTCCTAAAATGATCCTGAAAGTTGATCCCTATAAGCAGAGACAATACATTTCTTGGTTGGCCCTTTTATGAGAATTTAAGCTACGTGAAGACAATATCCCCAGTATGAGAGTTCTTTAAAGCCTCACCAACTCTCTGCTGACAGAATATTAGAATTGTAACTGGAATATAGTTGATTGACCACCCCTTGGACACGGTAGTAAAGGAGTTCATCTGCTTCCATTCTGTTCAGGGACCTGGTGATGACGGCTATTTCTCACCACGTGACTCGCTTTCAATCAGACGTTGTGGCCTCTGATAGGCTTAATAGCGATCCTTTACAACACATCTTGTAAGATGCCAAGGCCTGAGTCGCCTGTCTCCTTACCCTACCTCAGCTTCAGCAGAAACCTGTGTGGCTTCATAAAACTTATGCCCATTATTCACAAAGTAAATTTCAGTCCGGCTACTGTTCATATTAAAAAACTTCAGCTCGCTCACTGAAATAAACAAGGCGCGACATATCATGACTTTATTCCCATGACCGTGCTGGAAAAATCATATGACAGACCGACTCACTTCCTTATATGTAAATATCAAAATCTTTCAGGCAGTAGCGAATTTCCATAACCAGATCAATTCGGTTGACTGGCGTTAAATTAATGACCCCCAACATACAATATAACGCCTTTTAGGCGGATATCTCCATCACGATATTTCGAACCACGAACTCTAAGTAAGCTGACTTCTAAGCTCTTAGCAGGTAAAAAAAATTGGGTTCAAAGGGCAAAGTTATAGAAAAATGGCAAGATTTCCTAACGGCCTCGCCTGCTCAAAAGAATGAAATAGAATTAATCCAGAGTCGGACAGGAACATTTCCTAAGTCTTCTAACTCCTCGTCTGGTGCAACAGACAAAGTAGAAGACAAATATGTAAAATAGAAGTGGTCCAAAATCGCGCAATCTTAGCCTGTGGTTTTATCGTGTGGTTCAAATGATACTTGTAAACACACTGAACACGACTGAAGCATGATGCAACCTACATTCCCATATTTAGAGTTCTATGGCATGATATCGTTATTTCATAGCTGACGAGACAACAACTCACAGGCTGGTCGGTATGGAAATATTATCATGAATTAATGTCCTATTAAAGAACATTAAATACATGCTGGACGAACGTAATGATCAACTGAACAAGAAAGGACAAATTTCACCTTTAAAGGTGAGGCCAGACAAAAAGGTTAAGGATGGGAGGGAAGTTGACTCAGTCAACGCGTCAAGTCGATAATTAATTTAGGTGTATTATTCATAGTCATTTTCTTCTCCTGTTAAAGAAGGCTGCATGATTCTACATCGTCGTCTCCTCGCATTGTTAAAGCGAATATCTACACATTGCCACGGCGTGCATGAGGTCATGTAGATTTTTTCATATTCAGTTATCATGATTTTGATCTCCATCTCGAGCCACGCGAAATCCGCCTACTATTGTACCCACACAGAAGGGCAAAGGTCTAATTCCCGCCTTCGCGTCATACCGTGACGTCATTTTCGTATATCCGAGACAATCTCGATGTCGCTTCGTGAGATCTGTTTCGTTCTCGAATAACTATTTGTTTAGCGTGGACCGCGAAATAATCAGCGAACTAGATGTAATTCGGTGGATTTAAATTCCAACACTGTGTTGAGATGACAACTTTTTGAAACATGTGCTGAAAAAGAAGGTTTGGTCCCGCTTTGTTGGGGAAATGTGACGAAATGTGGAACCCTTTTGTGGAAAATAATGGAATGATTTGATCAAGACCGTGATACAGCTGCTCATTAAGGTGCTCGAAGTCAAGTTGTCTCTGGAAAGATTAACATCGAAGTTTAACCATGGCAAAAGATCAGGAATTACTTCAGGCGGTAAAAGCAAACGATCTTAACGCATTCAGGAAGATAGCAGCGAAAATAAAAGCGGCCAAATCAAGTAAGTGCTTTTCTTAACGCAAATATATCAAAGAAGTTTAATTCCGGTGTTTCCCTTTTGATAACGAATTCAAAATGTTCGACATAATAACCCCATTCATTTATATTTAACGAGGGTCATCGCAGAAGTTTGCTGGTGGTGACTAAACGTCATTATAGCCTTCGTGCTCTTAAGTATCGTTGTCTTTTCACGTTAAATCTGGTTTGTTTCGCAACATTTCTCGCTCACGTTCGTGTGTCTGAAAGGTGATGACGGATTCTTAGTCGCCTTCAACAACTCAAGCTGTTTATTTTGAGTAACCATTTGTACATTAGTCATGCTCTTAGAAACAGTAATTTAGCCTTTTTGTGAAACTACGAACCCTCCATTAGACAATCTTACTATCATGACTACAAATTTTGGCCGATCGGAAATTTTATTAGTGATTCAATTCTTGTTTATTGTCGTAGAGAATTTGGGAAGGATATTGAGGCCGGATGTCAAATGCACGCCAAAAAGCGAAACAATCACATATTTAGCACGAATTTCCTCTTTCATTTTGATAACATTACAAAGGACTTGTTCAGAACCTTGTCAGGTGGTTGATTATAAATGTATCTACTTCTTATCTCGCTGAATGCAAGCCTAAGTGACCAAAGAGATACTTGTATCTTGAATTCACATGATTCGATATTCACCTAATGACAAAAAAAATATTATGTAAGTTTTTAAGTGATCCAATTTGTTTTCCAGTCATCTGAATGCATCTTCGAATAATGCTTGTCTACAAATTTGCCCATTTGTTTATTTAATGGTTTGCAAATTATCAGTGAAATAGTTTGCTTTGTATTGGGATTATTCCTTTCCAGACATTTCCAACTGTTTTTTTTGTCCTCGTAGCAGTAAATCTAGACAATATAGCACAGATTTTTAACATGTTGCCTGTTTTTTACTTTGCTTGTATGGGAGACTCACATGCTCAGACCCAAAAACAGATATAGATATTGTATTTATAAATTAATAAACACAGTGCTATGTATAACAACTTAATTAACAGGATAGTCTATAACTTAATTGAGAAAATCCTATTCGACAAAAGAATGATTCTTTAAAATATTTAATGATAAACTTATTCCTTTTTAAAAGAAATCTGGTAGATGTGTATTAAGGCAAAATTGATTGGTGATTATCTTCATTTGTGACACCTTGCTGCCCTTTTAGAAAAATTATGTGCTAATATGGTAAATTAAATTCAGTGAGGTCATTTAAGCTGGTACAGACATAATTTTTTTCTGATAAATATTGTTATTCAAATATGAAAAAAAAATTGTGATGAAAAAAAAGTAAGGTATGAAGCAGTTCCTACATCTCTTGGATGAAAATATTGAGCAAATTTAATCTTTTCCTCTCCTGTTGGACTTTCTAAGATGGGTTTAAAGATATATAAAAACTGTGGATTTACATGTACTTATAAATTGATGTATCATATTATACCAATAGAAAGATTTCTCCAAAAGTATAAGAATGTGATATTCATTTACAGTGCACTGTAGAAATGATCCAGCTATTGTTATTTTAATTAGTGCATGAGTAGAAACACCATGAGGTGTCAGAAACTTTAGTGAGGTTGCGTTATAGTATAGCTCAGAGGTACTTGGCTCTAAATTCACGCAAGAAGAAAACACGCACATATGGTGTATTAGATTCATAACAAGGGAGAGATTCTGATGTTGGTGACATTACGCGGTTTTGTCCCTAGAGTTTATGGCTCTACAGTATATCTGCGGTTTGTGAATAAAAAGTGCTATGATTGTTAATGAAATATTTTTATTTAAATTACCATGAACATATGTTTTTCTTCAGAAAAAGGTGGCAAGAAATACAGTGTAAATATTCAAGATGAAGAAGGGTAAATACTTTTGTTTTATAATTTGAAAAATACAGTTTTATGTGGTCTTAAATTCTAATAATACTTATAATTCTAGTTGAAGTATATACTGAACCACTTTGATTACAACAAGCTTCTCAGTTTTCAAAGCTTCTTTGTTCTTTAATTTGTGAGAAGTGGTTAATATGTCTGTCAAATTACTTGTTTCGTTAATTGTTTTTATATATCAGCTCTATGCAATTTTACCTGAGTTGTTGACTTGTTGCTTTTTCATACCCAAAAGTTCTTTGTTTTACAAAACAGTATAACGCATAGGAAACTTATAGCACTGGATTACAAATTAAGGCACTGAAGTCTCCTTTTTTTTCATCAGTACATGCATAAAAATTGTATATGCATCGTGTACTTCCCTGCGTCTGAGCATATGAGATGTGCATGCACAATCAACTTATACATGAGGGGTACTGTAAGTTGTGTTTCATTTTTTTTTCCAGATTCACACCCACTCACCATGCATGTCTTATAGGCAGTAGTGAAATTGTCATAGCACTCATTGAGTTGGAATGTGATGTCAATGCCAAAGATAAGAAAGGTAACAATTATATTAAAATACTGATGTTTTAGCAAAATATTATGAATGTAAACAAGGTTGTTAGTTTCTAAAGAAACTGCTGCGCTGCTTTGGCTGGTAGATGAAACAATTGATATGTTATAAACTCTAGGTTGACCATTTGACCTCTATGAATGACTAGCATCTAATTTATCCTATGTTATCACCCCTAAATCATACATTTAAGCCACAAGAATAGAGGAAATGACTACCAACTAAAGAAGCTTTTGATTGTTAAACAAATTCTCCTTATCAGCACCTTAGGAAATGTAATAAGAACAGTGTGGAGAATATGGATACTGATGTTAGGGTGTAAGGGGTTGATAAAGGAGGGTATACTGCCTAATTAACCACAAGAGTAGCATTATCGATCTCTTTTTGTACATGAAGTCTCCCCTTTGTTCCTTTTTAACTCTGTCCTACAATTATAATATTCTATAGTTTAAAGGCAATTGGAAATAGTTACTTATTTTTTTCCTCTATTGAACTGTTATTTTTTGTCTTTCTCGTTTTGTAGGAATGACTCCCTTGCATTTAGCTGCCTGGTCAGGAAAAGTGGAAGTAGCAAGGTTGTTGTTAGAGGCTGGAGCAGAAGTCAACAGTTGTTCACAAAATGGAGACACACCTCTTATTTTAGCCTGTCAGCATGGAAACTCTGATGTGGTAAGTGCACAGATTTATCTTTCTGTAGCTTGGAGGAGAAGTAATGTACAGCTTGAAAGACTAATCAAAAGTGGTCCAAGAAGACTGTTCATAGCAAGGTTTGCAAAACCTGGAATGATCTAGAAAATTCTATTTTAAATATTTTGCTTTCACAAGTGGCTGCAGCTATAAATTGAAAAACCAATTTGATCTGGAAAAATTTCTGTAATATCTCACTGAAACATTATTGTGAAAGACCAAAATTGATCTTATTGAGATATTTGATCATCAATACATGTACATGTATTATTCCAATGAAACCTTTCCTCAGTTGGCTCTTGGAAGCCAACTTATGCGCTGTAGAAACGATTTATGCCAATCAACCAGAAATTATGTTTTAACCAAAATTAATATTTCTGAGGTTTGTAATCTTTAATAAATTCCAGTGAGAGCCTTAGCTCAACTAGTTTTGGGCAGTCCACTTATGCACTGTAGAAATTATAATATTTATTTTCCTCAGTTGCTTGGAAAATGTGTATAACTTCACATATTTTTTTAAGGAGCCAGTCTCAGTAATGTTAATGTCTTGCATACATTTTCTACTTCCCTAGCATCTGAACTCCCTAGACCCAAACAATCTTTGTAATGAATTCCTTTTGTAGGCTGATGTGCTTTTAGACAGGAACTGTAGTACAATGACAGTTAATAACAATGGAGAGGCAGCTTTGGACCTTGCCTGCAGATTTGGACATGTTCATGTGGGTACCACATTTCTAACCTGTTTTTGTCTTCACCTCAAAATTCCAGGAGCAATGGAAACACATTCTCCCTTCTCCTTGTAAAACCAGTACATTTTCTAGCGAATTGGATCTATGTATTAGTGAGAGGGTGGTGTACTTGGTATACATGTAACCTTGTTACAGTAATGTTGTTTAAGTAAAGAGAATTAGCAAAAATTATAAAAAAAATGGAGAAAGTCAATGCAGGATGCTAACTCTTCATCACTATGTGACTGCATTAAAAAAAACAAACAAAAACAAAACAAACAAACAAACAAAACAAGGGGGATGAGACATTTGTAAATTGTAAATCAAGTTAAATTAATTTAAGTCAGTTCTTAAGGCATATGGAACTATTTTGATCTTTTCATCATGAGGGCTTCATAATGCAGAGGGAAGGGAATTCTGAGGAGAAACAAATTTAAAAGAGTTTCTCACCTTGATAGTTATGCAGTTCTTGTAGATGGGCTCTCTTTGTGATAAAGTGTTCTTTGGTATGGTTGCACCTAGGTTGTTGAACTGTTGCTTAACACCAAAGAGGTGAGGAGTGCATTGGCCACTGGTGCAGTGCGTAAAACTGATCCACCATTGCATGCAGCTTCAAAGACAGGTCACGTAGAAATAGTCAGGTAAGATTTCAGGTAGCTGTTGTAAGTTTTGTAAACTTTTTCATGATGTCTTAGGGTTTTTGCCATGGCTACATTCAATTATTATCACTGTTATTATTATTTCTATTATTGTTAGTGTTTTTAACACCAGTCGATTATGAAAAAGTTCAGCTTCTTTTTTTAAAAATTCCACTCTGGCCATCAAGAGATGATAGAAGTTCCTGGTTTTTGGGTGCTCCTTTCAAACAGTACTAGTCATTTATAAGATTTTTTCATAATCCTCTTCACAGAATGTTATTAGAAGCTGATGCAGATATCAATCAAGTTACCAGTAATGGTTCATGCTTACATGAAGCAGCTCTCTATGGTAAAACAGATGTGGTCAACATGCTCCTTGATGTAAGTAAATCAGTCATTGCAATTTGTTTAAACATGTTTCCTGGCCACAGAGGGAGAGAATAAAGCTGTCACAAACCATATGGAAGTAGCTGTAATCTGTTTGGGCTTATCCAGGTTTTAAGTAGAAAATTATAGAGTTTGGTAGAGTGTTTATCAAAATTCTTTAGATCAGCAGCTTAGGAGTTTGAGAAGTTTTCTTATTGGTATAGAAGAGGTTCATTTTGCCCCACCCATCTTACTGTCAGTAAATCAAAAAGTTGTAAAAAGAAGTTGTGGAACAGATATCGTAAATAATGCCCTGATACATGTAAATCCTTTACCCAGGAACACAATTAAGTGATTGATGATGATGCTAAACGTATTATTTGTTATGTGTCATTCCGTTTTAGTGGGGTATCAATGCAGATATACGAAATGATGAAGGACACACGGCACTTGATATGGTTAATCTTTTCACGAGTTCAAAAGCATCAACAGCAATTAAAAAACTGTTAAAAGGTAACTTGTTTCACCAACACTTAAGGCTTGGTTTGCAAGCAAAGATTCCAATTTCTCCAAAACTATAGGGTTTGATTTATTCAGCGTTTTGAAAAGATCTAAAAGTTAGAGGAGTTTTGGGACAACTACTCTCTCTTTTAATGACCAGGGTTTTTTTAGAAAAAATTTATAGAGGACATCGGGACGGACGGGAGCATTGTCCTTTGTAGGGTTTCAACATTTACTTAACTGTGATATGACGTTCTTTGGATGATAACCCGTTCGGATAAATATTCGGCAGTTCTATTCAAAACAATTATCGTTTGTTTACCTGTTTTAGACGCAGCTTCTGCAGATAGCACTGTGTATGCCAAAGCCGTTAGGGATCATTTCAACGTGATGGACTCTACAGCCCTTCCGTTCAAGACTGGAGAAACAATCATCGTAAGACACTGAAATATAGCACTTTTCATTTGCGTTCTCTCTTTTTCTTTTGCACAGTCCACTTGGGTCTTTCAGTGTTAGAATGTTTTGTATTGTAGTCTAATAAGTCATACACCCGCCTTCTCGTCAGAAAAGGAGTGGAACCATGACGAGCCGAGTTCATGAAAAATTAATGTTTTAGATCACTAAGTGCCATTGTGCGATATTTTAAGCAGGAAAAATGAGTTAAGTAAGTGCGACGGCGATGAAATGTAGTTTCATCAATAATGAAATTCAATAACCGGCTTGAGCGTGTAACCTCTCCCTCCTTCTACATCGAGTTCTTTAACCCCCCCCCCCCTCCTCTTCAAGAAATCTCCCCCTCTTCTTAAAGAAATCTCCACGTATGGAAACCTTGGGAATGGATAAGCCTTGCTTGAGTGTGGGGGTGGGTACTTGGGCTTATCAGCGCGTTTGCAGTGTACGTGCTGTAATACTGCGCTAAGAACTCAAGTTCAGTCCGAGGTTATTATATCAGAATGTTGATCTGATCTTTCTTGTTAGTGTTGATCGTGGAAATTATATTTTATCTTCATATGAATGAAAAGTTGTTATATTTAGAAGGATGTGGATAACTTGCTGCACATCTGTGTGTTTTTATTCTGTTGAATGTTTATTTTAGGTGCTTGAACAAAACCAGAATGACCGATGGAAAGGGAAAATAAAAAGTGGAGATGTAAGGTTTTTTCAGTTTTATGACGTTCAGTGAATTTACTTTTTACTTGATTACGGGGCTCTTATTGTGGCGTTTTATTCCAGCATTAATCTCATGTGGGTATATTACGTATAAATGTTAAACGTACTTGTACAAGTATTTGTCGTGGATGCTCTCAGGATCGTTTGGAAAAGGTCAACATTGTTAGCGACAAAGTAATTGAAATATAGTTAGTTTACATAATTTCCATTTGAAATTTCAGAGGGAAAATATTGGATACTTCCCTGCTAACTTTGTGAGGATTACTGCCCTAAGAAGAGGCTCCAATGGTTAGTACAGTAAAGTAATTCTATATGCAAAAAGCACGTGGGCCTGTAGATACATCATGCCTGATTTTCTCTCGTATACCTAAAATCCAAACTTCTCATGTAGTCAAATAAAGTTAACCTGATTCATTCAATTGAAAGATCGACGTTTGAATCAATTACGTTCGTCTTAACTGATTTGACTTTTCCCAAGAATTCAGTTCCGCTCAAAATTGATATCAAGTGACGTTTTCGTCTATTTGTGTTCTTACTTTCAGCCAAGAAGTCACCGAATCGTAAGGAAGCTGGTGTATTACCGACGGGATCTTACGACATGATCGCACTACCATCAGGTATTTATTAAACAGTGGCTCTAAGGACTGAGGTTAAATAGAGAAAGACATGTCTGATTATATAAACTCTAGTTGTCCTCCTTCTTTTTGCCCACTGGCTACTCGCTCCAACCAACCCTGCCCCCTTCCCACCCCACCGCCCGCTTCTCCGGCATTCGTTCTCATTTTTGTCGTAGCTGTACTTGCAGAAGTTCAACACACGCTATTTTTAGCCTGATCAAACCCGATCTTTTTTATGCCAGCAATGGGTTCGTTAATGAGCTTATAGATTCTTCCAGTAACAGCCGCACATTTTATAAAAAAGCAAACAATTTAAGAGAACTATGTCAATAATCAGCTAGCCGATATATCTTGATGAGCTAGGTACAGCCGTAATTTTAGGTTAGTTTTCCTCATCTTACGTCACAAAGTATGACGGGCAGGCAACAGAGATAATCGATCATTGGAGCTTCGAGTCAATTGTAGTTTTACTTTTCTTTCTAGTTCCATCCTCTCCTGGTTTTCAGAGAAACTCTCCTCGACTAAAAAGTTTTGGTAAAAAAGATCACCGCTCTCGAGGTGATCAAGACGTGGAACCTGACAAGGTGCTGGTGGAACCAGTTTTATCTGTCAAAGGAGTCAAAGCTCAAAAAGGATCAGTTAAAATGGCAGCTGATCCAGGCCTGCAGTATGTGGAGGTTGCGGTTGACAAACCTCCCTCGTCTCCTCCTCAGGCCTTTATAGCGGGTAACAAATTGAACAACAAAACGAATTACGCTGAGGTTCGTTTACCATCATCAAATGGATTAGTGGAAGAAGTCAATGAAAGCGATGAGGCGCCACAGCTACCAGATAAAGAAAATAAAACAGCAAGTACCGCAAACGAGATGGAAGATATCTGGGTTCGAAACACGTCTACTCCCCCGCCTTCTTTGCCACCTAAAATAAGGGAACTTGCAAAAGGCGCAGCTCCTATTGTTGCATGCGATTCGATCGAGCCAGGTAATAAATCAGGAAGGCCTCCTGCGTCTCTGCCACATCCCGCGGGACAATCACGTGCAGAGGGTCCACATCATGCGAGCGGTACGGGTCTTGATACTGGTCAGCCTGCGCGGCGGGTCGCAACTCCCGAATTGTCGCGGAAAGGATACGAGGACATGAGTTTAACTCCAGCGTCTGGGGGTCGAGCGACACCACCTAGTGAAGACATATGGAAACTTCAACCTCATGATATAAGAGAACATCCTCCGAAGCAAGGGCTTGCTTACGAGAACGTGCAACTGACGCACAGAGCGAAGCCGCCTTGTGATATGCAAAGCATGTTGATCTGTAATGTCGACCAACCAGTGGGAGTAGGTGTGGGGGCGGACGGTTATGTAGTTGTTAATGGACCTTCTTCACAAACAACAAATTCCAAAGGCTACGAAAATGTTGCGTCAAATGCGCCCAAACCAGTTGGACCCGAGTACGCGAACATTTCGAATAAAGTAGCTTACCTGGCTATGACGGGCGGTATGTCTGCTGACTCGACATCAACCAGAACAAGTAAACAGGCTCCAGATGACGACAATGAAGACTCAGATAATGGTAAAGATAACATTCTCAGAGAAGTTGATCCTATTCGGGTTTACTTTGATGTTAGTTTATTCCGCTTTGTGATTGTGTAAAAACACGCGCTTCGCTTCCATCCAATCAGATGCAGAAGTAAAACCAACCGCAACTTGATCCTTCGCATTTCCCCGCTCTTGGTACCGTTTCTAGTTTATATTTTAGGTTATTATAAGCTCTCTGTAATTTTTCTCCTCACGAGCTGGCGCTAGCTACCTTGGCTTTAGGGGAGAGAAGATTGAGACGAGATGGAGTTTGTCGCGCCTTTCCTGCGTTTTGTTTCCAGTGTATGCTCAAAGGGACGCACAAGAGAAAAATAGAGAAAAACCGAGTATTATTTTTTCAATGGTGTTAAAAATATAAACCGGAAATATTTTATCACCTACAAAACCAAGTAAAAACAACCAGGGATTTAAGCAGGAATCTAAGCCTATACTAGCCATCTTTTTGTGTGTGTCTTGAAGTGTGTTCTTTCTAAGAAATAGGCATGTGAATCGTAACCTTTTTGGTGACATCTCTCTGTAGATGAGGGTAAAGATGGAATGGATTATGAGCTGATGAACAGCCGCCCTGTTCCAGTGAACCATCAGTACGTTAATATCGACCGACAGGGTATGTACATTAAAATTAGGTATCCCTTGCAAACGATTTAACGATTGGATATCCATTCATTTTTAAACTCCTTGCACACCGTCTCCTCCAAATTTGTCAGTCCAGATCTGTTTCGAGTCACTGAATTATGGTGCGATCCATTCCCCGACTTTGTATTCGAAGAGGCTCAGTGAATCCTCTTATGACCAAGATCAGATTTGTAAATCTCCCTTCTCGCTGTTACACATTTCTTTGTGAATAACTGACGAGAAATTGGGATTTTATTATCATAGCAACATCAAGTTGATCTTTTCTCATTACCCGTGTACCGAAAAGATAAACAATGATGCCAAAGACTGGTCACCTTTGTGAAGAGTTAAAGTCGTAAAGGGTGAAAGAAGCTATGTCATGATACTTTGAGTCATTCTTTGTGCTGTGTTAAACTACTGTAAGTTCGTTGAAATTGAAAAAAAAATCAACATGGTTCATTTGAAACTAAGCGGGATCAAGGATAGCGAATTATGGAGAACTTCGAGAGAAATTACAACGGGTGAAAATGAAAAATTCAGCTTAAGTTTTCCGTCAGGGCATACAAAGAGTGATAGAGTTCCGCGTGTCAATGCCATATTTAGTTCGTTACTGTACTCCTTTCTGGCCTTTCCGTTTATTGATTATTAATTGCCTGTTTTCCTCAGGAGACGTAGGCAGTCCCGCGGAAGCTACGGGTCATCTCCAACTCAAGGTGAGGTTACCAAGTTTTATCCAGCGCAACCTTGCGGTATTATTAGTTCGGCCGATGGCAATATGGCCGACAGGCGCATAAGCCGTAAGAGAATGCAGGGACTGCACACTGAGCTACCAAGGCTACTGAATATGAGGATTAAATGGGTTTTTTATTCGACGTGTAAAGGGAAAAGTGTTAATGAAAGATGGAGTAGATTAAAACGGATTACGACTCACGAACTTGTAAACTTCCGGAAAAATTCTTCACGATGAACAAACCGTGATCCACCCTACAATTTCGTGTCTGTGACTCTCCGAGGAAACAGTCGGAAAAGCGAACGGTCTTCTTTGAGCTGTGTAGCAATATATATATATATATTTATTTTTTTATTTTTTTTTTTTTTGATTTGAATGATTTGAATATTGCCCAAAATTGATGAAAAGTCTAGAATAATAGTTTCCTAACATAAAAAAGAACTAAAGAGGCAGTGTGAGACTAAGAAGGAAGGAGGGTGGTCTTGAATGTAGAAGATTAACTTGGATTGCAATTTTAGCAATATAGTGATGTTCTTTTTTCTAACTCTGCAAACCGGGCGGGCCTTAGCTCATATGGTCCACGTGATAAAAAGGAGCGTGATAGTGGGTGGGTCGAAAATGACAAAAACCTGTATCTCTGCTGGAGTTGGGTGTAAACTCTGTAAATGAGAATTATATTAACAGAGTGACAGATGTACTGAGTCATACCTGAAATATATAGGTCAAGTTTGTTTGAAGCAGTAACAAAATCATTGATTTCAGTGTTGAAATGGCTTGTTCTTCCCATTCTAACACGATCACAGTGTTAAATTCACTCGGGTATTTTTATGACAAAAACGGTACCCTTTGTCTCATGGATGTATTTTGGGGGTAAACAGCGCGATTTTGTGGAGCAAATGCTCTCCTTCTGCGTGGGTGTCTTCCCTGCCGTTGAGTTTAGGAAATGTGGGTACACAGGAAATATAGGAAGGAAAGAGATTAGTCAACGAACTTTAAATAGAATTTTAGATTCTGACTGTAACCTTATTTAGTAGTATCAGGCGTGAAAAGGCCATTTGAGAGTTCGGAAATTGTGGAATTTCTCCCTTTGAGCGCCTGCCGTTTGCGGTTATATAGAAATGTCTCGGTGAATTTACCAACAAATTGACTTGACACGTTATTTGGGTAAATCCTCACTGCATCCTTCGATACCGTTAGTGTCCATCTTATTGCTTAGTGTGGGACCTTAGGTAAGACTTCTGGAAAATTACCTTTCTGTCTCTCAATTGCCGTATCTCTACTCAACAAAGCTAACATGAAGTCTTTTTTACCCGATTTCTTAGAAATGATTTTTATCTAATACTTACCGTGTGTATTATTTTTGAGTAGTCATCTAAATATCTTTTTTACCCTTCGGGTAACGCACTCTGCCTATTTTTGCTTTTAGTTGTGACCTTCGTTCATCTATCTTCCTAACACGATATTATTTACTGTGATTTGATTGAGAGGGCTCGTGCAAAGTTCAAATCATTTGTTCATGTTTTACACTATGTACGGGAGGAATTTCTTGATGATCTGTTGGATAGCATAACTTTTGCTCAGGATCTTTTTTTCTTCTTCCCAGATGCGAGACTATAACGCGTTATTTGACTGGCTAGAGAAGTTTAAATTAACGATCTACATCGATAATTTTGTAAAAGGTGGATTCGATATGACGAGTGTTCGTGGAATCACAGCGGAGGTAAGAAACTCGAGAGCTTATCGTTCCTGCGGAGTCATCATTACTCATTCAATTGTTATGAAAAAAGAGAAGTCATTTATTTATCACCTGATAAAGTGTCGTCACGCAATGTAATTTTTGTTACGTTTATCGCTAAGATGATCTTTCTGCTAGGCATAAGGTAAAATATTTGACTGGACTATTTTTTGGACTATTTTATAGGGGGGAAAGCACACCATTAGTTCTCAGGGAGGGGTGGGAGGCAGAGCGTTATTACTCAGGGAGAGGTGAGAGACGGACTATTACTACGCAGGGAGGGGTGGAAGGTGGTTGTAATAGTAAACACTACTGATTAATGGAGCTTTTACTCGATCGTACAAATTATGTTAATCAGTTTTTCGACTGACTTTTTGTATGTCAAAAGTTTAGCGCTGAGGCGCGGCTTTTCTTCATTTTTTTGTCATGCGAAAGCGAATCAGAAATTTGTACAATCGAGTAAAAGCTCCATTAACCAGTAGTGTTTACTATTACAACCACCTCTCACCCCTCCCTGCGTAGTAATGGTCCGTCTCTCACCCATCCCCGAGTAATAACACTCTGCCTCCCACCCCTCTCTCAATACTGATAGATTTCATCCCACCCCCCCTCAGTAGTAACGGTGTGCTTTCCCCCCCTTTAAAATGGTGCAAAAAAAAAAATTATCCAAAAAAAGGTCCAAATAATAGTCCAGTCCATATCTTACCCTATGCCTTTCTGCACGTTTTGATAATTTGAGCTTTTTTTTTCGAAACGTGTCACAAATCAAGCCTTTGAAACTGAGAGGTTTTTTTTCTTTTTAACACTCTACACCGTAACATCAGTGTGTATATTCTCCATACTGCTCGCCATACATTTCTTATGGTTTTGACAGGGAGAATTTATTTATTACTAGCTAGTCACTCTTAGGGTTGAAGGGTTCAGGAACCAACGGGTTGGTTGTTCGTGTCTTAGTGTACCCTTGGTGCTTTTTCATGTTTCTTTTTCACACATTTTCTTTTCCTCTCTATTTGTCCAGGATTTGACGGCCATAAATGTGAATAAAACTGGGCACAGGAAAAAAATTATGTCGGAGTCCGCAAAACTAGAGGAGACAACGGTGTTCCCGAAGGAAAAACCGGTGAGTATCTTTCGTTTTGAGAAGATTACTAATAATTTCAACTCAATCAACGAGACAATTTGAGGTTTGAAGTTTCTCTGTCATAATTTCAAGCTGTTATTATCCCACGCATTTTCTGAGATCACGCCATCTTGAAGACATAAACAAACTGTGAGACAGATGGTGGGAATGTTGGAGAGCCTAGAGCCATTGTGCATTCGTATATAAAAACTCTAGCGACTGTATGCGTTACTTCTTACACAGGAGGATATTATGACGTGGCTACGTTTGATTGGTTTAGAACAGTACATACCTGAGTTCATGGACGGCGGTTTCGACGACATGGATTTTCTTCAGGACATGACGATAGAGGACCTTGTGGCCATCGGAGTCAAGAGACCAGGCCATCAGAGAAAGATTTGGATGGCTGTTAACGCTCTGAAACATGGAGATGAAAATGAAAACATGCTGGAAAGCGTAGAAGAGGAATTAACACCGCAGGATAGGAAAGGTTATTTAGAGACCTGTTTAGATGGAGAGGACTCGGGCGTGTCAACAGATGACGTGGAGGCGTCTGAAATGAGTACAGAGGAAAACCCAGGGAATTCTTCTCCTTCTTCTCTTGCAACTAGAGAAAATACTATCGAGGAACCGTTTGTGAAGGATTCTTTGTCAGCAGAGTCTGAAATTCCTGCAATATCAGCAGTTCAGCCTGTGGTAAAGGAGGAAAAAGAAATTGTTGATGCAGAACGAGATCAACAAAGAACTCCTGTTCCGGACGAACCTTGTTCTAATACCGATTTGTCACAATTGAAAGGAAAGGACAGCTTGGAAAACGAAGTGGACTCATTGAGTTTCCATGTACAAAATGTAATTTCATTTCCTGACAGTGACGATGACGAGCCACCTCCCCGCCCTCCCCCTCCAATGGAGGACATTGACTTGTGTCTACCTACCGCTGACCTGAATCAACATGAATTTGAATCAAATGGCCCTAGTAGGTCCGTTAAAGACTTGGTGTCTAAAGGGAATAGTAGAGCACGTTCCTTTCCGTTAGACCCCATTTTCCAGAGACCCAAGAAACCTGCGCCACCTCCTGTCAAACCTAAAATTGCGAAGAAGCCGCCGCCTCCGAAAGTGCTACCCAAACCTCGAAAGGCTGCATCCTTCACGGCAGGATATGGGGACAAGAGCTCGGGCGAGGAAAGCATGGGAGACAGATCACCAACAAAACCCACATCACCTGAGCCCCGTAAGTACCTTGTGTTAATCATTTAATTCCCAGAAGTGATAAACATTTAACTTCTCCCTATAATACCCATACGTTATTCAGTAAAGAGTTAATGAGAATACTCAAACTTATAAGGAAGAGGTTTTATCTTGATCAAACACTGAATTCTCTAACAGCTAGAGGGGACAATTAACAATCAGATCTTGGGAGTTAAAGGGTTAATGCAACTTTTATTGTGTGACAAGTTCTTTGTTCTATGCAGCCTACCCTTCCCGTACGGGTCGTGTCTTTTGGTGATTGTGTGCTCCTGTTTTATTTGCTAATTTTATAATAATTTGGTGTCATTTCTTTGTTTTTTTGACGACGTAATCTGTAACCGTGTGAACAAAAAACGCCTTTACAAGTGTGTGAAACATTTAAAGGCAGTAAAATGCAATGAAGTAGTTTCTTAAATACCTCTCTTTTTCCAGCTAACATTTGAAGTGAGCAAACTGTTTTAACAAACTGCAAGTCGTCAACCTGGTTGACTTAACAGTAAATAAGTACTGTAAACGTGCATGTTAAGTTCTTATGTGCTATTGTCGATTTCCGGCCATTGCTTCTCGGTAAACCATAAACATTCCGTTTCTGTAGATTCTCTCGATTTCAAGAAATGTTTCGTTCAACCACATTCGCTCTTTGTATCCGTTTCGTTACATCACATCTCGCTTTATCCAGATTTCATTTTGCCGAATACTTCTGTTTTCTCGTCAGAAGTGGCTGAATTCAAGTAATTCATCATACGCTTGGACAACAGCCTCGCTTTTATGGACACAGGACTTAATCTCAGCGAAAGGCCCTATTCCAGATTAGCTGACACTTATTTCGGTCTTAATGACTGTTTTCTTACTAGCGACAGAGTCTAACTAAGGGTCACAAGAACGTTAACATCTAAGTTAAAATAAAAACTTGTAGCCTAAGGGAAGTAGTATGACCAACCAAATAGGAGTTGGAAAACTCTCACTTTTCAATTTTCTTTTTACTGATTCTGCCCATGAATCCAGGGCTTAAGATCTTTTATGACCTGAATAGTAAAGTCGCAACCGCAAACAGAAAAGAAATCCAATCAGAGTGCCATTAATTTGATTTTCACAAGATCAGGGAGTCCTGAGCAGCATCGGTATATTTTGCCTTCGATGAAATCGGTTTGATTTTCACTTTAAGCATCGTAATCCTCTGCGACGCCACGTCATAAAAGGTCAACTCTGTGGTTTGATTCTCCTTATATGACGTCAATCAATGGTCGACCACTTTGAACATCAGTAATTCTGCGATATTATCTTTTTGTCCATGCATAGATAATACCTCGTCTCTTATCCGTGGAATTCTTGTATTTTGCCTTTTTTGACCGTGAATTACCTAACCATGGTTCTCTACATGTTTTCAGTGATAAACGTTTTAAAACCTAAAAAATTTTGTTAAAAAAATTATTTAAAGAAACTAAGAAATAACAGTCGATTAGAATAACAAAAGATCAAACGAAGTTTCTCTTCGTGCTATTTGCAACGAGTTTTTGAAGCAGAGTTGAAAATGAAATTTTTATTGAATTGCGAATGGCTCCAGTGAAAAAATTCTCGTGCGCTGGTGATGCAATTGATGTCAATTAAATTAATTTATTGAATTTTTGTAATAGAATCAGTAATACTTCTATCAATTTTTGAAGGACCTGAAGTCCCGTCTTGTTATCATAAATAGTTTTGAATAAAAGTATTTGAATGTTGAATATGTGAGCTCAAGAACTTTGAATATATTGTCTTTATAATTTGAAGAATGTCAATTTTCATGTCCAAACTTCGAGCAGAGCTCTGCTTTGAAGGATTTCAAAATAAAGGTGCTTCACACAGTTTGTGATATTCTGTAAGCTCGAATTCTTTTGACGCAAAAGGAAAACAGGAAAAAAAGTGTAAGACAACTACTAAGTTCAAGAATTAAATTAATTTGTTGTAAAGTACGGTAACACCTAGAAACTGACGCCAAAATCATCTTAGAAAAGTCACGTTACCAGTTTTACCACATCCTGTCACATGACCATTCAAGTCACGTGTATAGTTACTGTCAATCACGTTACAATCAGGACGCAGCAGCACTGGTTCCAGTCCCTACAACTGGCCAACGCCTCCCTGCACTCGACAGACCGGAAGCGGAAATGGAAGCGTACGATCGCGCAGCAGTAGTAACAGCAGCCATAGCTCAGTGGACTCTTTGATCGAAGAGATTGAAGAAAGAAAAAAGGGCTTTGAAAAACCAGGCAGGAAAATCAGCGCTGCTGAGCGATTGAACACATCACATGAGTGTACGGATGGAGCTCGAGAGAGCCAAGCGGATGCAGCGAGAGGTAAACAACAGCTGCCCAAGAGATGGGAACCCTGTGTCTCTCTTCCATACTGGCTGGATGTAACATTTAACATCACTTCACTTCATCCTCACTCATAATAACACAACACAATAATTTTTTTTCTAATCTAATTTTCTAATCTGCGATCAAGAATAGAATGCAATTTCGCTATGCAGGAAATATGTTTTGTGCCCTTGACTTAGGTCATAAGACAACTCTTAAATAACTTTTCAAGGCTGTTCTTTACTCCGTTGGTAACATTGTAACTAATCAATTGTCAAACTACACCGGCTAAACCGTGTCTGATTAACCCTAATAAATAATTTGCTCTCTGTTCTCAAAAACTCTAAGGTACTCATTCGGTCTTCTATGCACTAATGACGTTTCTGTATTTCGTTTATGTTTTCTCTTCTCAACTTTGAGAATGAAGAACAACTGAGAATGAAGTTTATGTTCTTAGTTTATTCTTATTTGACAAGTTTTCATTTTCCTTCGTCAAATTACAAGGTTATGACTATTAGGTCTCACCTCCGACAAAAGTTCTCTTCGAGTTTTGCTTTGTTATTCGAAAACCAAGTTAGAACTGTACGATGCTTGACTTGTGGGATGCTTGGTTCGTTAAAATCTTCGTTATAGTTTTTTCTTTAGACGGTCAAGTAATAGGAACAAACAAATTTAATACTTTGTGAGAGCTTTTCCGTAAATTTCGTTGTCACGTTTGTCACGCTTCTCACGGTAAGTCTCGTTTCCATAGACCATACCTGAATAGTGAAATGTGACCAAGCATAGTAGTGTTGCTTAATCATAAAATCATATCAGTCACACAATCTGCAACTATTGGTTTCTTAGTTCTCAATCGCTGTGATGAATTTCTCGTATCTTTGCATCCATTTGATTTCGTTTATTATTTTTCCAGTAGATAGTAACCTTAATGAACAAATCAAACAGATCCTAAGAAATCGTTCTGGGGAAGATCTCTCAAAACCACCAATCTCAGGTACTTATCTTAGTCACTTCAACTCTTTTTTTTGTTTTGTTTTTTTATCAGTTACATCCGCCTTTTATCTAAACTAGCGACCTCTTAACCGCTTAGAAAAAAAATCGTATCCTTGACTGCAAAATCGTTTCATTAAGTTTCGTTTAAATAAGGAGAAGGCTGATGCAGATATTCCATTCTCTTTATCCAAGATAGTCACTTTTCTTTAAACTCTCTAACTTTGTTTTCTTTACGTTGATTATTGATTTATGTGTTTTCGTTTGTTTTCTCCTATCACAGAATCTTCTGGATCATCTTTAACTATGCAACATGTTGACATAAAAACTGAATCTTCGAACACGAAAACAAACACGAAGGAGCAGGAGTATGTCTTATACTTTTTCGTTATCCCGTGTACTTCTTTAAGCGTTGAAGGCTTCATACGAGTCCAGCGAGAGTGGACAGTGAGTCTACGACACGCGTGTTTCCCACTAGAGATCTTGTGACTGCAAGTTTTTCAGTATGGCCTTGTTCCTGTGTTCCATAGCTGTCTTATTTATCAGGTTCTGTGTTTCTCTCCCTGTCCATGACTCGCGTGTCCCCTCGAGAGATCTTCCGACTTCCTGTTGTCCATTTGCTTGTTGTGCATTCCACAGCTGTCCTATTTATCGGGTTCTCTCCTCTCTTCCCTGCAGATTGGCTGAAGATCTTATGAAGGACATCAACAGTATGCTGAGTGATTTCTCTTCTGAGCTGGATTCCATGTTCGATTGAGCATCAACTTGTATTTTATCAACAACATGATGAAAAGGATTGTTAAGATTTCCTAGATACAATGACTGAGAAGCCGTTTAACATATCTGATAGTGATGAAGATAACAGCTTTCGATTGGCAGTATGTTCCGCAATGGAAACCACAATGTAATGATACTAAAACACTGATCAAAGCAAAGGAAGACGACGACAAAGTTTCTGATGTGTTCTGGTGTCAAGTCAATTCATCTCATTACTTTACTTTTGGTATTTTGGTAGCTTGCCATGCGAAATTGATTATGTTGTAAAATAGTTTTTAATAATTTTCCTATATTTCAAAGAATAGATTTTTTATATCATTTAATTCTGTTCTTGAGAGCTGCAGCTTCTTGATAGTGCATATTTATTTTTGATAGTCTTTAATATAAAATCTGTTTTTTTCTGGGTATTTTTATGGGCCACATGATTTAATTGCCATCTTTTTTTTTTTTTTAAATCATCCAAATATTATTAAGCCAGAAAATTGGTTTATTAATCTTGAGATTCACTGTTCATTAGTTTGTAGCATGTTTGGAGCAATTTTCAAGGGTATGCCAAATTAGTTATTTTCTCTTGCTGCCATTGATCAGAACCACAAAACTGAAACGAGGTATTTATATTATAGGAATGTTATCTTATTAAATTTTGAGCTGCAACGTTTAGTCCCTGATTGAAATCGAATCCTAAGAATCTTTGGGTGGAGCCTTTGACTGGTCCTAGAAATGATTTTTTTTTTCCAAAATTGCAATCAAAAGGATCTTAATGTGCTAAAAATATACCCCAAGGAAACATGTTGTAACTGACTTTATGTGTTATGTTATCGCTAGTATTGACTGTGACTGTATACAAGCTCTGATAGTCGTTCATGATAGGATATTAAAATAGACAACAATTTAGTACATATTATATAAACAAATTTGAATTGGAAGTATTTTTATTGTGCTTAGAGGCTCGATAGGCGAATGTCTTTTTTTGATAGAAGTTATCTATGGTAACACAGAGGTGGTGTAATTATTTTGAAAGAAGTGCACCCTTCTAGATTTCAGTACGCCATTTACATGCTACGAATTCAAGCAGTAAGTTGTAAGATGACTTCAAAAAAGTCAAATCTTTACTCTTCTATGTATAAAGTTATTTTTTAACTCGATCTGTGAAATAAACAAATATGTATGTAAAGTGTGGGTGTCTTTTCCGATGATTTCAAGCGGGAAGGGGGCGAGCACAGGGGTGGAGAGAAAATTGTCAATCGGTGAGACATTTTATGTATCAATAAACGACATGCTTATTGTTATGTGCGCTTTCCCGCCCTGGAGGTTAATGCGGCCGCCGCGACCAGGAAGTCTGAATGATGTTGGACGGCAAATTTCCAAGGTTTTCCAGCGCACTATACAGTCTTGGAACCGGTAAGTCTTTGTTTGCAATTAGTAGTAAGATTTAAGTGGTCAACCTGAACCGCTAACATTATCAAATTTATTTAATTTTAGGCCCGTAATGTTAAGGCTATCCAAAATTGATGCGCGAGACACAGCCAAATTACATTGATTAAACCATTATCGAGTTTGTTTTTCATGAATCGAGGAACACGCTCTGACAGCGTAGGGAAACGATCTGGCATTTACTCTGATGGTAAACGAGGACATTTTAATTATAGGCAAAATATTAGTTTGTAGCCCCGTGGTTAAAAAGTAATTCTAGGAATACAGCCGAACTTAAATTAAGCGGCACAGTATTAAGCGGTCACCCTGTATTATGCGGTCGGTTGTCAAACTTGCTTCCCCATTATCACTGTGGTCACCTCTGAATGATGTATTGTCCTTCACCAATATTTAGCGGTCATTTGAAGCGGAACTACACTGAGAATAACCTCTTGAGTAAAGTGTAATCCACATTTCCTTCCCGAAATCAATGTAAGTAGTATTTTTGAGCGAGTTTTTTTATACTGAAAGATCAATTATAGCGTAACATGGCGTTTTTCATCGTTTTTTATTTCACCCTTATTCTGTGAAACTTGTCTTAAGCGGTAAACCTGAATTAAGCGGTTAGCCCGCCGTACCCTGTAGTTGACTGCTTAATACAGGCTTGAGTGTGACTACAGCTGTTTTCAGCAGTTAATTGCAAGTAAACGCATATCAACAAAATGTCTATCAATGGCCTTACTAAACTATACAAGTATAAATGTAAGTACCGTCGAGCCTGAGTTAAGAGGCACCGTATTAAGCGGTCACTTTACACTAAGCGGTCGCTTGTCAAAGTCCCGAATTTGTTTCCCCTTAATCAATTTTCACCTCTATTAAGTGGTCACCTTAGAGTGAGTACTGAAGGCTTCTTTCTATTGTCTTCCACCTGTGTTGAACGGTCACTTAAAGCGGAAGTACTCAAATAAAAGAATACTATTTAAGTAAAATTGAATCTATATTTCTCTCCCGAAATCAATTTTTGTGTAATATTTTTGAAGGAGTTTGTGTACATTAAGTGGTCAATTATGACATAAAATGGCCTGTTTTTTACATGATGCCCTTATTCTATGGAACCCCGTAGGTGGCCACTTGATACAAGATTGACTGTAGTTGGTCAAATGTAAAGACGCGTAGGAACCATTAATGAAGGCCTTCAAACGGACAAAAATGTTGTTATTTCCGTTATTGTAGGATTGAAACTTCTCTACCGCTACAATTGTTACACCAGTTGCTTCTATTAATGCAGTCTATAAGCAATAACATATAATTTGTACGAGTTAAAAGGGCAAAAAAGGAATATTCCTTCTAAATTGTCAGTGACTTTGACCCTGTAATGCTAGTGCGCATCTTTACAGGCTCCAGGATATTCCTATCTAACGTTAAGTCACTTTTGTCTGAGATATTTGCAATAATTCTGATATAATTTATCTTGTTAGTGACGATTAATTGAAAAAAATTATAGCATTTTTACGAATTAAAATATTACAACCAAAACGAGGTAAGCTAACACTGACTTGACAATTTTTAATTTGACCGGAAGTTAGGGCAGCTTGGTACCGCTATATCACTTCACTCCTTCCCGTCCCATCCTTGTTAGCTCGAGGTTTACTTTCACTTTGAGGACAGACACCGAGGGCTGAAAGTACAGACTCTTGTTTTTCATCCATCGACCGAGCGGGAGGCTGGAAACTGTTGGGCAGAGAAGGGTGAAGCCTATTGGTAGAACTTCTGCAGAAATTGACATCTGTGGGATATTTTAGTTGAGGGAAGGCTGTGGCGTTTGGCAGTTTGTTTCTCTTTTTCTTTGAGCACCTGTCGAATTGTAAGAAGCTGCAGTTCCCCCTTTTGGTACTAGCACCCTTAGTTCCTTGATGCACGTAATTGTAACTTCTGCATTTCGGCACCAATTTCTTCTGCAAGGAAACGGTTTATGATCTGTCTTTGACTGGGAAATGGAGTTTGTGGAATTAACTGAAATCATTCTTCAAAAAAATTTAAGAACAGGTTTAGAAAACAATGTTGTTACCTTTTCTTGATACCCCGTTTTTAAACATTAAAATGTAAACTTACACGCGGGAAGAAGGAGAGTTTAAATTAAACTTTAAGGAAAATTCTTCATTCTACCTTTTTCCTCCTGGTTGGCAATAATCGCTGTATAAAGATCCTGATACCGAGAGAGACTGTTTGGAATCAAGGATTCAAGCTTGCAACCTGGATGAGAGAGGCAAAATATCAGTTTCAACCTGTTTTCTACGCCATCGCATTTCATCAGGGAACCGATAACACGAATGAAGCTTTTATACAATACTCTGGCAAATAAAAGCATTCATAAAAGAGATCCCTAGCCTGCGATTACAGGCATTTCCTCAGAAAACTTAACAAGACGCAATATCTTGATGTCAGGTTTCACTTCAGTTATCTGGAAAGGTAAGTACATAATTGTTACCCCTTTAGTACAAAATGTAAATAAAACAGAAAAACAAACGTAATGAAGAGGAGGACACGTGTGTACGTTACACTAGAAACGGTTGCCATGTGCTAAGGTATGGGTGAAGTGGCCATTTCGAATTCTTCATCAGTCCAAAAGTATTTAAAGAAATAAAGAGTGAAAAGTAGGGATAAAGAAGGATCACAGGTAATCGAAAAAACGACCAAGAGCATGAGGGCCATCAAATATAATATGTTCGCCTGGACCTTAATCAGTTGGACCAGGGGTAAACTCCTCGGAATTCGAGCGAACTGGTAAGGTGCGAGCTTGCAGTCACGGGGGCGAAACCTCCTTAACCTTTTTACCCACACTTTTTTCATGTTACAACCCCCTTCTTCCCCCCCCTCATGCATTAACACATAACAAGACTCCTTCGGGCCTTCTTTATCTGATTGGAAAGTGTTACCTCTCGCCAATTCCCTATTGAGGTGATGCACCAATTGTCCATTGAAAATCTTGCGGATGCAAGGTGTCTCAATGGGCTCCTCCAAAACACAGTTTAGATGGATGGCATCTCTCAAAACACACTGCCACTGACAAAAGCTGTGCGCCGCTCGCACATCAAAGGCTTTGCCATCGCAATTTTCCAAATATTCTTTCCATGAACCGTCCTCTAGTTTAACACAACCGCAGAGTATAGCGCTAAGATGGTTGGGCTCCACTTTTGAGTAAGCGTTTCTGGCCCAAAAACGAAGTGACGCTGCAACCAACTTTAACTCCGCCGGCAATGACTTGATGTTGGTTGTGTTTGAGTCAAGCGCGTCTAAGAACAACGCTAACTTCTTATCCGGATCAAGGCATGGTATCTCATTCAAACATGGTACGTTTTCACCATCGGTGGGTGAGATACTTGAAGGCTTGACCTGATCACCCACTCTGTCCCATTCTTGAACCATCGTGCTTTTCCCGCCAGGCAATGGGGCACCGTTTAAAATTCCATAGATATATCTTCTCAGAGACTGGGAGCAGTGATTTGCCGACGTTTCTTGCAAATTTTCCACTTGAAATTTAAGCAAGACTTTCCCTGACACCAGACTGCTCATGCAACTGGTGGAAAACCTTCCATCGCGGAACCTGCGCAAAACCCACTCTTCAATTTCTTGGTTGTTTTGAATTTTAAGAGAGCTTGAGATATCATTGCCTTGAAAATATTCCACCAAATGCTTTTCTGTGATCGTGTATTCTTGGAGGGAAATCTCGGTAGCTCGTCTTAATTCATTCTTACTTCTGTCCTGAGGAACACGTCGTATTGCAAATTCAATCGCCTCTTTCTCTGTGGATGTAGGTGCTTTTTGAAGAAGTTTTGCAATGGCTCGGAACTTTTCTTCTTTTTTACTTCCAGAAGTGCCCTGCAGCCGCAAATTCTCATGAAATGGCTTTAGTAGCTCCAAGTTTACGTAATCATTTCCCACCAGGGAGGCAAATAGAGGAAGCAATTCTGAGTGAATTCCAAAATACTCTGCCAAATGTCTGCGATAGAAAATGCGGGCTGTTGAATGACAGCCCTGGCACTTGAAAGAGGAGAGTGGAATAAAACCACCTTCAACATCGAAGATAAAGAAGTCGCTGTCGTTGCTTAGAACAGGGCATTTCAAAGCATTAGCCAAAGACGCGATTTCAGAATCCGCTTCACTAGAAAAAGAGAAGGAGACTGAATGTGACCTTTAAATATTGATCATATTAACTGTTATATAATTCATTAAACCACGTGGTCATTAAAATAAGCAAATTATCGTAAGCTGTTCGTGAGGAGTAGTAGCGTCGCCTCCTTTTCACATCACACACACGCACACGCACACGCACACGCACACGCACACGCACACGCACACGCACACACACAAGAATGCCCGTTTATCAGTAAAAATAATTGCCTTCTTCGAATTAGAATATAGGCAGCTTGCCGCCCTCTTTTTCTCCGACCCGTATGAGCGCCATTGATTTAAATACGGACAAAAGCGAATATGAAACGAAGATTGTTTTGACTCAAATTATAATTTCAAATAGCTTGAAAAAAAGTTCCAGCTCGATCTTTTCGCGTAAGGAATATCTTCAAACGTCGTCGTGATCCCTTCGGCCAAAATCAGAGGCAAAATGAAATCTCTGACTATCTCCCTTTCGTAGTTATACCTTCCCTGGCTTACGCTGTCTTTTTTTTTTTTACAAGTGTTTCATAGGATGAACCATAGCAGGTAACTGAATATAAACAACATTAACGGATGCTTTGGATGATATCCATTCATGACGTGTCTTCTAAATTAAAGTGTTCAAAGTAGAATAACTCTGATTATATGTTATCTATTTCATGTTTTTTCTCAACTTACCAGTCACAGACAGCGAATTTTACGCCAAGATCTCTGAGCGCTCGCGTAAACACGAAATTCAACAAAAGAGGGTACACGAAGACATCCTTATTTGCTGCTGCTGGGTTCTTTGCTAGCATATCAGCTGTCTGGATTCTCTCTTCCGACCTCTTTTTGTAGGTGTCCAATTTATAATCGCTGATATTTGCGCCATCGAGGACTACAAATGATTCTACACCCACAGAACTTAGAGATTGAAAGAAAGACACTATTCTGTCATAGAATTGGTTATATTGCCCCCCACATCGTCGATCGAGGCCATTGTCTTCGTAGAGAGAGTTGCATAAAGCTGATCCATCTATGACGAGCTGTTTCTCTCGTAGTTCGATCGTTGTCCAAATCTCTTCGATTGGTTTGAGGAAACTAAAGAGTCCACGAACGCCCATTTCTTTGATGAAAAACTTAAGACGCGTTAAGTTAACAAAAAGTAGCATCCCTTCGAAGGGCCTGAAAACGAGGTTGAGCGTGGCGTCAGAACGTTTTGACAGGTATATCAACAATAATAACGTCATAACTTGATTTTGTATTCATTTTGTTTTGCTTGGGACACTTAGGTTCATGCAGATAAAGGAGGCATAATTCATGAGACTCAAGTTTCGCAATTTTTTAGGAAATCGTGTGAAGAGGAAGTGATTTTTATATAAAAGTCCAGATGATGATATATTCGCGAATATTAGGCCATTTCCGAATTACCTTTGACCTCGTTTTCAAAGCGAGTCCTGGTGCTCATCCTATCATATGATTATACGTTTTCATTCACATGCAAATTAAATTCATATTCATACGAATGGTTGAGCACCAGGCCTCGTTTTGAAAAAGAGGCTAAAGGTGATTCGGAAATGACTTTTTAAACTGTAAACGTGAGATAAGAAAGGAACTGTAGAATCCTGGAGCTACGTAGGCACTCTAATTCATCAAGGAACTTCAGCGGTGTTCGTGCTGGTGAGAAAATCATTTAATGATTGGCTAACATATAACAGCATAAACTGAAAAGAAAAATCCTAGTTCCCCACTAACTCGAGATATTTAACAACGCTAATGTGGGTATCCATTCAACATATAATGTATTTAAAAGTAAACTGACGCAGGCACTGCAGCGAGTAAAAGCGGAATTATAACTCCTTACTTTTAATTTATCCGACCTAAGCTTCAGGGAATGAAATTATTATGCTAAAAATTCTCCAAATAATGTTTATGTAAATAAAATGTTATGATTGAAAAAGAATAAAAAGAAAACAAACTTTTTAAAAGGTAATGGTATGTCAAACATTTAAAACTAACGTTCATAAAAGTCAGAAAATCGTTATCTAATCTTAGTCGGTGTGCGTTAGCATTTGGCACTTTCCGCTGACCCTTCGTTTCTTCTTCTTTACCAGAGGAAAAGAGAATAGGTCGAAGATGTAAATTCTTTCCTTTCGTTTTTTGAGCGAGAGGCAGAACAGGAACATTGAAGAATATTCCCCTGTGATTTTTGGAGGGCATCTGACTGTAATTTTAGTTTGGTTTCCCTTTGTCAATCAACCATCGGATCTTAAGACGGCAGTGGCGCTGTGCTTAAGTTCCAAGAAGCTGTCGGCGCTGCCCTCTTGGGTGGTGATACCTCTCTTGTTGGCCGGAAGGTCACGTCTTAGGGATTTTTCTCGTTGCCGTTTTTCTTCTGTGGTTCATAAACGTAAGCTTTGCATCCTGACGGCAACATCGCCTGCAAACAGAACCATTTGTACACTCGCAATGAGCTGGTAATTATTTTATATGTTGCGGTTTTTTCAATTAATGATGCGTTTGTAAACTGAATTCATGCACCTTTGAAGGAGAGAGGGTTACTCCCTACCGATGAGACTAACATGAAACTAAACAGAAGTTTACATGCCTCTAACAGAAGAGGTAGTTTTTTTTTTGGATTGCGAATGGCCAAAACGTGCCTTTACCTTCCTGGTCTGTAATAGCAGTGTAAAGCTCTTTATATCGCGAAAGAATACTTGGAGAACAAAGTAAGGATTCTGGCGCACGACCTGACGGAGAGAAGGAAAACAAGTATGATTTTCACCAATTTTTGCTACTCTAATCTATTCGATGGCAGAAGCGAGAAAATAAAAGAAAATTTAGTTTTTCACTGCGCAATTTTCTGAGCCACAGAGTTTCTTAAATTCATTCTGATACAAACTTTGAAAACTATAAATCCTCGTTGTTGTGTATTGTACCAGGATTTTACCTAACACCATGAGGAAACAAAACACGTATTCTCCTGGTTACACTTAAATCATTTGCTCAGTGTTATCGATCATCCTCATTAGTGCTCATTCCGCTGTATGACTTTCGCGTTTAGGAGGGACTTAGTTGTACTGGGAACAAAACTGAATATGGCAATTAAGACCAGGAATATGTAGGGTTTGGCTTCCGTGCAGCGTCTTAGTCAGTGTTCCAAGTCTAAATTTTGCTGACGTAAAATTTATATGAAATGGAATCCAAGGATCAGGAGATCTAAAGAGGACCTTGACTTTCAGTAGCGCCTCTCGAGGACAACATTCTTTTAAAAAAAAGGGGCCGATTTGGCTTCGTGGGTTTTCAACATAAAGATAGAAAACGAAGGAATCGAAATCGAGGGTTGGCTGTTTTGTTAGCTGACAAATACTAACCTCTATTAAGTATTGGTTGATTTTCAGACTTACCTTGTTGCAAACTTTCAAGCAGTTTTTGTGCCATTTTTCCATTGAACGTCTTATGAATACATGGTACAGGTACAGGCTCAAGCAAATTAAAGTTTAGATGAATTGCATCTCTTAGAACACACTGCCACTGAGCAAAGCTTTGCACCGCTCGTATGTCAAACGGCCATAAGGAGCGGTAAGGGCTTACAGTGGCTTCTTCACCATTGTACAACTCGCCATTCTCCAAGTTGACACAACAACACAGTAAAGCGATCAGATGGTTTGTCTCCAAGGGTGGATGCGCGTATTTTATGAGGTAACGAAGTGATGCGGCAATCAAAATAAAACTTTTTCCTAAGAACCTGACAGCTGTGGTATCCGAATCGAGTGCAAACAACAAAAAATTTACACGCTCTCCGAGATCGAGGTACGGGATTAGGCTCAAAGAAGGGAACACGCCTTCTTGGTAGGGTTTTACAATTGATTGTTGGACACTTAAGCCCTCTCTGTCCCATTCTTGGATCACCTTTATATTTCCTTCTGCTTTTGTTTCAGCATCGTTCAAAATTCCATACACGCATCTCCTTAGCCGCTTAGAGCAACAGTTCGCCGATATTTCTCTACAATTTTCAACGGGAATTTCCAGGAACAGTTTCCCCGATGTCAAACTGCTGATGCATTTGGAGGAAAACTTTCCATTTCGGAACCTGCGCAAGACCCACTGATTGATCTCGCGATTACTCTGCGTTCTAAGGGAGCTAGAGACTATGTCGTCTTGGAAATAGCCCGATAGATTCGACTCTGAAAGTGTGTATTCCTGGAGAGAAAGTTCAACAGCTTGTCTAAGTTTTTCTCTGTTTTCAGCTGACTTCATCATTTTCAAGGCACATTTCAAAGCCTCTTCCTCGTTTGAGTCGCGAAGTTTGGATAGCATGTTCGCAATGCTTTCAAATCTAATATGGTTGAAAGTCTGAAAACCATTCAACGCACGATTAAACGTAGATGATAAATCACGACTCACGTAGTCATTTCCTGCCAACGAAGCCCATAAGGGAATTAATTCTGCACGAATTCGGTGGTGCGACGCCAGTTTTTGCCGATAGAAAACACTCGCTGTCAAAGAACTGGAATTCCATTCCAAGAATTCAAAAGGAATGTACCCAGCTTTGATATCAAAGATAAAGAAGTCACTGTCATTGCTAAGAACTGGACAATTCCACCCATAAGCCAACGAGGCAATTTCTGTGTCGGCTTCGCTGTTGTGAAAAAAAAGGAAGTGAGGTTAGATGTATATCTTTTAGGGCGAGCCAAGAGCTGGAGAAGTAATATCTACCAAGCCTCTTCTAGCGTCCCTTCCACATGTCCGTGATTTTTCATTTGAAAAGAAATCTCATCCAAAAATAAGAAAAAGGCCTACATAGGGGGCTTTAGTCTCCTAACGTAACAGTATATTTAACTTGTTATGTGACTTGAAAAATCGTGCAGCCCAATTAAGTTTCTACAAAATTGTTACTGTAGTTTCCTTCATAACAATGACCGTGTTTTGTCCAGTCGAAGGTTATATTTTGCTGTTGTTTCGATATGATCAAAAGCCTCTATGGTGGAGTCATTAAGAGACGCTATACGGGCTACTTCTCTTCATATCATTTTGAATGCACATTATTACAAATAAACCACTCCTACCAGTCACTGAAAACGAACTTTACGCCGCGATTCCTGAGTGCGTCCACGAACACGTGCCTTGCCAAAAGCGGAAGTAAAAAATCATCAGCGGACATCGACAGAGCATTTGATTTTCTAACCCTCTCGTTGGTTCGTGCTATACGTGTCTCTAATTTCTTGTCGCTTGGATCATGTGCTCCATCGAATACAACATAGGCCTCCACGCCGTTCGAAACCAGAGCATCGAAAAACGAAACTACAGCATCATAATATTCTTGGTACTGACCACCACATCGGCAGTCTAAGCCATTGCTATAGTAAAGATAATGGCACAGACAAGATCCATCGATGATAAGTTTTGTATTTTTAAGATCGATCTGTGTCCAAAGCGTTCCGATTGAGTTGATATAACTTGTAAGTCCGCGAACCCCCATTGCTAGATGCAAAGCTTCTTTTCCACTATCAAATCATGATGTTCCAGGCGCATGAAATGCGAGTGATTTCTTGGGAGGGTGGGAGCCCAACTGTTGTAGTCCTTGTGTAAATCAATAGAGCTGAATAGTCCTTGAACATTTTTATATGGATTTGAGAAAAGACCACAAAGATAATCTGTCTAAAATAGGTAATTTAAAAATTTTCTTCTTTCATCTGTCTTCTTGGTATTATCCACATTTTGCCCCTCCCTGGAAAGAAAGTAAAATCACCTTGAGCCAGTGACATAGAATCAGCGGCTAAATAGACTGTGACTTTCTCTAAACCAGCTCTTTTGCACGAAATTTCTTCCTCGTCCACGCCAAGAAGATAACGGCCGAAACAGAAGGTTCAAGTGAACCGGTTGTTTTAGCCACAGCAGGATATGATCATGCGATTAAGTTCTGGCAAGCACATAGTGGAATATGCCCCCGCACTGTACAGCATCCAGACTCCGTATCCTTTGCATTTGTAAAATCTAGTTCATTGCAAACGACACAAAACGTTACACTTGCACGGTGTTTATCGAAGGAGAAAAAACCTGACGACCTGAAAAACTTGAGTGTACGAACGACCTAGAGTAGATAGGTTGAGAGGCCCGCAATGTATCTTGAAATTGTCTTCATTGCAACACCAACGCAATTCCATGAGACACAATCTCAAGTTTCTAATTAGATAACAGAAGATGTAACCAATCAACTCCCAAGAACGGATCGTTAGTATTCCACTTTAGCTGCTATACATTTCCTTGTAAACGAGCTATGAGAATTTGGCGTCAAATCAAGATAGCAACTTTTAAATGTACCTCATAAGTTTGAGTATCCCCACAACACTTTTTGCTGGATGATGAATGGATGTTAAAGAGATAATTTACTTGTTACATGCAATCACTTTTGGGAGTTAAAGGTTTAATTCATGTGGTAGTAAAGGTAACAAGATAATGTTTGTATCCTAAGCAGCTGAAGTCTCATGTTTTTCGAGCTGCAAAAAAAAACCATGAATTCCCTCTAAATCTAGGATTATTCCGAGTATAAACTGTGTAATTAGTTGTAACAAAATTTATCTTAAATTTGGTTACAATTTACATTCTAGTTAACTACATACAACCCACCTAGGAACAAATTTCAAGATTCTATCTTTAATACCTCTAGTTTTATCCCTTCTCCCACTTAGAAATGTGATATTTTTGTTTTGTTTTTTGTTTGTTTTTGTACTGTGAGCACTGATATTTTGAGGGCATTGAGAGGAATTTTGGTTTATTTTCAATTTCATTTCCTATTATTTCTTACAAAGTGGCTGTGTGAGGGTTTTATCGTGATTAATTTTTGTCGCAGATTGTAACTGTATGCCCTTAATTGTTGTAAATGTAGATGTTGTGATCTTAAACTCTATTGTATTAGCAAGTCAATGCAAGGCAGATCACACCAGACAGACAGTTATTACCTGCTGCAGGTAACTTGATCTTGACTTCTGAGTTGAGAAAGGAATTTGTCTAGAGTGATCAACCATTACTTTGAAGGCTGAGCTGACTGTGTATCAGTAAATTATTTCATTCTCCTGGTTCTATTCAAAAGAAAGAGTATAGTAACCGAGTATTAGTAACCGCAGAACTGATTTAAATTTACACCAACATCTCTTTTTATTTTTTATTTCCCTCAGGATAGCAACACATATGCTTGTATGATATCAATTGAAGCAATCCTAGTGCTGTAAGTCATTTAGCGCAAGTTTGCTATTATTTTAGATTTAGAAGCCATTAAAATTGCAGGAAAATTGGGTACAATTTTTGGGGCCATTAGAGATTTTTAACCCCTAAAACCTTACAAAAAATGGTTTCATACCCACCCCCCCCCCCCAATACCATGGTGGGCATCATTATTTTACACCAGCAAAAATTTGGGTTCTGTACTCCTTTCTTGATGGGTCTGTACCTGATTTTCTCCGCCATGTTAGTGGTGTTTTATTAATTAAACAGTTATGATTGATTTGTACTCAATATTCAGTCAGCTGTTGTCTCTAGAATCTCATCATTCAATACTAATTAAGGAATGCTAGCAGATAATAATTGAAATTGAGTCTGTGTTTGCGTCTTGCTCCAAACTTGGTATTAAAGTGTGAAGGACTCATTGGTTCTTCTGAATTTTTCACCTTTTGTAATATTTTGAGGGTTAGACTCTACATCAAGTTGCCTTTTCAAGGGACATTCCTAATGATTATTTCCTACCTCAAGTTAGCTGGTTTACAATTTTGTTTCAATCATTAAGATTTTTAAGATCCTAACCCTAGGAATTTTAAGTGGCCTTCTTTAGGATGGGAAAGAAGTTTGACTAGAGTTTCCCAATTCATTTTTATACTTAATTCTGTTTAAGGTTGTGAGTTATGATGGTGTATCCAAGAATGTGACTGCTGTGGGATTTCATGAGGATGATAAATGGATGTTCACCGTCAGGGAGGACTGTTCAGCCAGAATATAGGACTTGAGGTATGTTTGAACATGGGTGCAGTTATGTCATATAGACTGTGCATAATACAGCTGGATATTGGCCAAATGAATGAAGTTCATCTTTTGCAACTGTGTAAAGATTATTAAGAATTACATAAAAACTACCTCAAGTTAAGGTATAACCTTGCCTTTGTTTGTTTGTTTTTTTTATCCCAAGTCTCATAATTTACAGTGTCAAAGAGTACAGTTTTGATTTAAAATATTTGAATGTTAAACATGTGAGCTCAAGAACTTTGAATATATTGTCTTTCTAATTTGAAGAATGTCAGTGTCCATGTCCAAACTTCGAGCAGAGCTCTGCTTTGAAGGGTTTCAAAATAAAGGTGTTTCACACGATTTGTGATATTCTGTTAGCTTGAATTTTTTTACACAAAAGGAAAACAGGAAAAAAGTGAAATACAACCACTAAGTTCAAAATTAAATTAATTTGGTGTAAAATACCGTAACACCCAGAAAGTGACACCAAAATCATCTCAGAAAAGTCACGTCACCAGTTTTACTACATGCTGTCACATGAGCATGCAAGTGACGTGTGTTATTACTGTCAATCATGTTACCATCAGGACACAGCAGAACTGGTTCCAAGAATTTAACTGAATCCTTTGACATTTGTTAAGACATGTTGAAGGAGGTGGCATTTCAGTCAACTTAATGCAACCAATTTTATTGACTACATATTCGAAAGAGGATGATCGAGTGTAATGTGATATTAGTTTTACTGTTATGAGTCACCAACTCAGACGCTGTGAGCTTCAAGCTGTTTGAAGACAATCAGCAACTAGCCAAGTTTCATACTGATAACATGAACAGTAACAAGGATTCTTTAGACGGTTGTTAAGATATCTTGAAAATGTTGACATTTCGCTGGGCCTAATACGCATTATATCTGTGACTACACTGATGCAAACATGAAAGGTACGAAAAGCATTACGAAAGAGGACAACTGAGTATTGTATTGTGTAGACGCTAAGAAGTAGGTGACATTTTCAAGGGTGAACGAAATGCGAATCACTCCATCGAGCATATAATCGCCGACACTTATCAACAGAAAGTTGCCAGCTAAACATTGGCAACAACTTCAATTATATTACATTGAGTTCTTCATATAGTAGGTCTCATTTTCCTGGAAGTTTTCAAAAAGCTAACTACACTGGAAAGGAATAAGCTTTCATTTGCAGTAATCTAAAATTAAAAACTCAAGAAGGCAGGGTGGGTTTGATTTACTACCAATATCGTGTTGCATGACAAAAGGTGCCGTAACAGACTCCTGTAGTACTATGTTGAAATAAACTTCATGGTGTTTGGCTGATCAATATTCCACGTGGTAATTGGTGGCTCGCATAGCCACAAAATTAGTTACTGGTTTGGCCAAGCAGCTAGTGGTTATGGAAAGCAATACAGCTGAGGTCACAATAGGACTTCCATGAATAAATCGCGTTCGATCGATAACTCTTCCAAGATCATACTCTAGTGTGTTATCTGACAAGCCACATTCTCTTACCTCATGGCCACGGTTAAAGTACCAACGAAAATCCACAGAAATGTTTACAATTACAAAAAAGCTGATTTTGCTGGTCTACGTCATGCTCTGAATGCAGTCGACCTCTCTCTACAGTTAGTAAATGATAATATTGATGATGTCTGGCAACATTGAAAGGACACCTTTCTAGCTGCTGTCTCCGACTTTGTCCCTACTTAAAGAGTTAGGGGTCATAACCCACCTCCCTGGATAAACAAAAAGAAGGTGTACGAAGGAAACTCAAAACATCTCCAACCACGTACCTTGAGAGAAATTTAAAGCTCTGCGATCATAGGTTAAACAACTCCTACACGATAGCCGCGAGAGATTTTTAGAAGACCTCGAGAACGAAGCAAAGGATAAACCGAAACACTTCTGGACAGTCTTAAGACACAAAGATAAATCTCGATCGGTTCCAACACAGATGTCAATGACTGATGTAGGCGCTTCATCCAGTCCTTCAGGAGTTGCTAACTTATTTAATCGTTACTTTGCATCAGTATTCAACGAAAGTTCAACCCCCAGCAATGCACCTGTACCAGTGACCCACCAATCTTAACAGATCTGAGTTTAACGGTGGAGGAAATAAAAGATTGTCTATGTTCCTTAGATTGTTCAAAGGCCACTGGTACTGATGGAATACCAGCAAAACTACTCAAAGAAGCCACTGATGTCATTGTACCTTCACTTTGCTTGTTGTTCAATTGATCACTCAGCTCTGGTACCATACCAAAAGACTAGAAACTGGCCAACATAGTCCCTGTTCTCAAAAAAGGTTATTTCCAACAAGTAGAGAACTATCCACCAATATCTCTATTACCCACAGTTTCTAAAGTACTGGAAAAATGTATTCTTAATATAATTAAAACTCATCTATGTAACCAAGTGAGTAAACATCAAAATGGCTTTTTAAAAGGAAAATCCTGTACCACCAACCTTATCGAAACACTGGATTGTATTGGTCGCCTGCTTGATAGAGGAAGTCAGATTGAAGTCATTTATCTGGCCATGTCAAAAGCCTTTGACAAAGTGAAGCACGCCCAACTCTTGTCCAAGCTTCATATCTTTGGTTTTGGAGGGAAACTATTCAACCTAGACTTAAATAATGTCGGATTGTGGTCCACGAAAAGTCACTGCCAGTCCATCACGCGTAAAACCAAGCCACTGAACACTGCCTACGATATGAATGAAGCTATGTTGGAGAAAACAAGTCACGAACGTGATCTTGGTGTCTGGGTTTCCACTGACCCAATATGGAATCAGAGCAATGCTCGGTGCATGCAAACAAGTTGCATGGGTTTGTTAAACGATTTACGTGTCATATACAAAGTACCGATGTAAGAAGATGAATCTATTTAACCGTCGTTAGACCACATCTGGGCTAAGCGAAACAAGTTTGGGCACCACAATCTATTTATTCATTTCATATCTAGAAAAAAATACAGAGATGGGCTACAAAATATACCTTGACACTACCACTCTCATGCTGTCAGAGTTATGAAAAACGGCTAGAAGCCCTTTCCTTACTACCTATCAGCTACTGGCATGAGTACTTAGATATGTTACTGGATATAGACCCTACAATTGTTCCTATTGCTCGTTCTACAAGACATACAGGATTGTCTGCCAATACGGCTGTTACCAAATACTCTGTACCTAAATGCAAGACTTCAACTTTTCAACGGTCATTTATTGTATGAAAAATAAGAATCTGGAACACACTGCCAGACAAGCTTAACCTAAGTGTGAACAATGTAAATGACTTCAAACGTGCTTTGATGTGTTATTATTCAACTGCACTCCAAGAGATCTTTGACATTGACTATCCTAGGACTTATAAAACTATCTATGCAAAACGTAATTCATATCGCAGTCTGAAAACAACACCAACTCCATGCTGTTCTTAATTATTAATTACTGATGTAATCTTTTTACTACTTTAATTTTCCTGAGACCACAGTAATTAGTTATCGCTGTTGTGGTTGTTGCCTGCCCATTACTGTTATGTAATTTACCCATTTCCTACATTATATGTATTGTTGGCAAAGCCAGAAAAATAAACTTCTAATGATATCACAGATTGCAAAAAGGAGTACACTGGGATGGATAGATGATTAGTATCGGTGTTTCTCTGGATTTTATCTCCTTCTCCTCTAAACAGTATCTTTCCTCAGGTGATTGTTTAAGTGTTACTGAATGCTTGGATTTTCCTTGTGACCTGAAAGAGGAAGAACAAGTAACTTGTCAAAAGTTGTGTCTCAGCAGCATCTCAAACATCATCACCTCTTGGCAAAGCAACAGATCGCGATCAGTAGGCATTAGGACATGAGCGGCAAAGCCTCCGGGATCCGATTGGGTGGGCAATGTGCGAGGGGGGCTGCAAGAATTCTGGCATGAGACCACACCCCTCAAGAACCTTTTGCACACTCGCCAGCTTGAAATTCGCGGGCTTAGCTGCAAATACCGCAGCACAATACATGAGAGCTTGCAGCGTCGCTTTTTGAGTGAATACCATTTTTCTTTGATAGTGTCTAGACCATTGTCACTTTAACTATTTGCTCTCAGCTCTATCTCATAAAACTTTCCTCTTATCACGTTATTTTACAAAACAGCATTGTAGAAAGTAGTTGTTGCCCTCTTTTCTTAGTTCTGAGTGTTCTGTGACGAGTGTTATTTTGGCCATAAAACATTCATATTATTGGCTTGTAACCAAAAGGGTGGATAAGAGAAGGGGGGGCAGGTAGCCTATAGCTGGAGTTTATTAACATACTTGTAGAGAATGAGGGACCAGTCTTACCTCCTCAAACTTGTGAATCTGTTTAATAAAGAAATCTCCATACCGCCGTTCAACTTTCGTATCTGCGATGTGTATCATATCCTGAAAGTAGGAGAAAAGTATTTATCAAGGAAAAATAACCATTTTTGAGAGGAGGAAAACTGGTTTGTTCTAGAGAACATATTTGAGATGACCTTATCTGCTTAAAATTGAGTATATTTTTCAAAAAAACAAACAAATTCATCATCCATTACCTAATGCAATTAGAGCCATCTTCAACCGCATGTACTACTTTGGTTTTGCCTATTGTAATGATTGGTCTGAAAAAACCTTTTGCACCCTTCTCAACCGATCCAAATCGAAAGCAAACCTAGTCGCGACTTGACTCCCCACATTTTTCTCAAGTTTTACATGTAAGTGATTTGCTTTTTTTAACTTTAAGATTTCTCATTGTCTCTGTAAGGTATTACTCAGCAATCTGATAGGTCATCGGAGTTACGTTACATTTTTCTACGTCAAAGAGTTGAACACATCTCAATTTTGGGGTTGGTTACTCTCACGAAAGGATGTTTTTTTTCACCTGGTCAATGTAAAAGTCCACTTCAGAGGAAGACTGGAGCTCTCCCTCGAGAGCATCTGTTCCTTTCGTCCACACAAGATTCCTCTGTTTATGCTGTGAAAGGGAATCAACAAGGGTTACCAAGACAAGTAAAGGATAGTTTTTCGCCAAATGTTGTGAACTGCATTATACCATACTAACCCTGTGAAAATTTTGTTTAGAGACTTACCTTGAAGCAGAGCAGTTGGGTCCTGATCTGACTCTCATCCTACAGAAGGAACACAGATGATAACTTAAGTGTCAAGATTGAAACCCATTCCATGGAGGGAACAAAGTTTTTGTTTTTTACTACTCTTGGACCAAAAAATAAAAAAACAGAAGACAGAGAGTTTTATTCATTGTGGAAAAGAGGTTCTTTTAACTCACCATGTCTAAAAATGCAGCAAGCTTTGCGATGGGCATTGTGGTGTACAACTTCAAATAGCTAAAAAAAACAAAAGGCACACAAACTTTCCATGATGGAAATGGAGGTTTACTTGCATCTCCAACAAAACTTATCGATCACAGTCACAGAATGGAGCATTTAATTCCAAAGAATAGGGGAACTGAAACAAATTGCACTGTTGTTTGCTTTCATTTACACTGCTATTGCTATTACACTGCTAAAAATTCTCACACCAGCCAATCAGATACAAAACTAGAGCAATGGCAATTTTGTTATGCACGTTTTTCCCACATTTGACGCTGGTTACTGTAGTGCCTGGCTTTCATTGGCTATTAGTAATATTTACCTAGTCCTGACTGGCTATGATTCTTTTGAATTTAGTTTTATGACGCTAAATCAAAAGTGGTCTAAAGAATATCATAACGTTATTTATGCAGTGTAAGTTTGATTGTTGAAAGCAAGTCAAGTGAGGGCCATGCTGATTCTAAATAGAAACTGACACAAAACTTCTGTTTTAAACTTTACCTTCTAATTACTAGTATCGGAGACTGCTGCAACACTTCATTCATGAAAACTTTCAGCTGAAGATTAAATGGTTCCTGGAAAAGAGAAGAAAAGGATGCAATTGAAACAACTGTTAAAAAAAATCGCTACAATTTAACCTTTACACCCTAACATCAGTATATTCATACTCTTCAAACTGTTCTCTTTACATTTACTAAGGGGTTGACAAGGAGAATTTGTCTAACAGTCAAGAGTTTTCCGTTGGTGATCATTTCCTTTATCATCGTGACATTAATGTGTGATTCAGTGGGGATATTGTAAGGAGAAACTAGATGCTAGTCACTCCTAGGGGTTAAAGGGTTAAACAGTTGTGATGAAGAATTCAAGAACTCACATTTTACATTTCAAAGTCTCTTGTGATCCATTTGTCTTCAAATGAATTCAAAATTTATTGAAGTAGATCAGGTGTCTCTGTAAATTGACTGAAAGTGTGGATAAATCACATCGACCAATCAGAGTTAAAAAAATACAAGTATCCAATGAAAACTCGACAATCAAGCCTACATGCCCTTGGCGCAGGAAGACCTGAGAGACTAAGTTGCAATTGGTTTTAGTTTGGAATCTCATCGGTTAAGAAAGAGGCGCAAGTTTTCCGAACCAATCACACAGCAAAGTTGAGCAAAACCATTTGAAGATTGCTAAAATGTCCTTACCCTGTTAAAATTAGCTGGAGGTGCGTCAAAGTTTGGAGGGACTGGGGAGATAAACTTAGGACAAGCATATGAGAATAACTCCTCAAATGTCTGCAAATTTCTGTTGGAAGAAAATGGAAGAAATAATTGAAAAAAATTAATTACTACATACAGTTGATGCTCATGTATGCTCAAACTTTTGGAAAGGTCAAAGCCACAGTTTTTTCCAGTGCACAAACGAAGAATTTTCAACAAAGAGGCACAGACCCAAAAAACCAAACAAACAAGAAACACTCAACATACCCACGCTGAAGTTGTTGCAACCTATCTGCATTTTTCTCCCTCAGTTGTGAGTGAACATGTTCATCAAGTCGCTGCAACAAAGACACAGTTTTATAAAATCTCATCATGTGCTTTTTTGGGTTTGACAAGGAAAGGTGAAAAAAATGAAACAAAATCAACCACATCTAAGGGGGAATTCGGACGATATCATTTGCATCACGATAAATTTTACCTGATCCCCCTATGAGGCTCTGTAATCTTATGATCCCCTTTCATTGGCAGTTAGTTGGCACTCAATTTTGTCTAGCCCCCCCACCCCACCTTATGATCTGTTGGGAACCAATTCCCGTGAAAACCATGTGATCACCCCAAAATCCTCTGAACCCCTCCCCCTGGAAAGAAAATAATGACTGATCCATGAGAATAAGAACTACATACCTGTGGATATAACGTCAGACAGATGGCCAGCAGTACATACATCTGATCTTTCTTCTTCATTATCTATGGGTAAGAAATGTTGGTAACGTAATGCTCATTGGTATAAATACCAAAAATTCTACCATCTATCTATCATGGAACAGATAGCTTCTTGCAATCTATTCAATGATAGATGGTGTTAAAAGTGGGCAGCCTAAAAAGCAAACCAAACTTGTGAAGTTTTGAATGACTAGAAAACTTATTCTAAAACAATTGGATAATTTTCTCTTGATTTCTTTGTGTTATATTTGATGAGGGTAAAAAAAACTCTTGACCTCAATGTTTAATTAGTAAACATCAATGCACTCAATCTCTTATTTGATGTCTGACAGAAAGAGATCAGTGTCTGTGGAAACCTTTGAAAATAATAGACTCTATTTAAGCTGATGACCCCTTGTGGGACTTCTCACCTGTTCATTCTGATAGGATATAGTTTGGAATATATCATTGGTCCTCTGAATGTAAAGCAGAATATTGCAGAAACTGCGAATAGCATCCTAGAATAGAAACAGATCATGTTCTATATAATTCTGGTTACATAAAGATATCCTACCCTACTTCAGGAGGGAGGATTCCTGGATGTTGTTCTTTCTTTTTTTTTTTCTCTTTAAGCCAAATTCATAATTTGACAACTGCAAATGAGGATAAAATATGCAATCTGATGATCCAAAACAAGAAGGAAAAGAGATTCTACCTCCTAACGTGAGGAAAGATAAGAGTTCATCTTCTGGTAACAATCATAGAGGCCTTGGTTGAGAAAATTAGAATTTCTGTTACACTGTATGATGTTAATCCTGAGTTTTAAGCCCAAATTTAAATGGTCACAAGCAAGTGTTCTGCAATCAGCAATGAAACTTATGTAGTCAAAGAACTAATTTTGGTTGGGCCGGACCCAAAAATATTTGTCTTTAGTATGCCTTGAACTTAGGCCCAGTATTTTCTTGTCTAACAGTTCCAGCGGTCTATTAACCATATATTCATCCCTGCCTTATGCTGATAGACCTTCCCTACCTGGTACCTCTTCATCATGAGGTATGCAAACCCAACATAGTAGTAGGTAGTGATCTGGCAAGCTGGAACTCTTGAGTATAGACTCTGTTGGGAGACAACATACATATCACTGATGTACAGTGTATTGGTATAGCATGAATCTCCAAAGAAAATTGTGCATCATACAGTGAATGATTTAAAATGAAAGAGATGTACATTTTTAAATTATCCTTACAATATCAAGACATTATCCAACAAATTGGTGATGAGAAATGGCAAATGTATCAGCTGGTGAATGTTACATATTCCCTGTACTATATGTATAGGTTACATAGAAATGCAGTGCAAAAACTATTGTACAAGGCTAGGAAAAAACAAAAAAATAATAAATAAAAACCTCTTTGCATTTGAGCTAGAGAAATTTTCACTTCAGTGTCGAGGAATGAAGGATTGGTTCGATTGTGCTTAACGCCCTGTGATTGGTGTACAAAACTTGTTACAGCCCCTCAACCAAACCAATACACTGACTGCAACTAAGTCATTCTTATTTTTCTAAACCTTTTTTCAGTTATGGTTTTTATTTGAGTTCTCACTTTCTCCTACATAATGTCAACCTTAAATGTTCCAACTGACCACTGTGACAATTATCTAAGCACTCCAGTATTTCCAACTGTTATTTTACTCTTCAGTTTACCTTCTTGTTTAGCTCAACATTCTCCAGAACTTTGAAGGCCTGAAAATAATCGCCAAGCAGCGAGTGCAGTCGTAGCAAACTGATCAGACTGAAGTAACCTAGCATCTTGTAGAGTGGATGAATTCCAAACTCGCCAGCTACTGAGTCTGGGTCACCCCCTTGGTTATACCTCTCAAGCTGTGAAAAAAAAAAAAAACAGTCATATCAACATAAACTAAATCTTCAATCTTGTGTTAACCCTTTAAACCCTAAGAGAGACTAGCATCTAATTTCTCCTTATAGAATCATCCCTGAATCAAACATTAAGGTCATGAGAATAATGGAAATGATCAACAAGTACAGGAGCTCTTGATTGGTAAGAAAAATCTCCTTGAGAATAATGGAAAAAATGATCAACTGATATTGGGATGTTTAGCATTGTAAATTGGACTTTGGAGATAGGGGGACCCAGAGGTGGACTTTGGGTGGGTTGGGTTTGACACCTGACCTGGTCAATGTTTGTTACAATATTCGTGATTACTTGCGCCATCAAAACTAACTATTCTCACAGTGCCCATTGTCTTACAACACTGTATGCTACCGAATGGTTGATAAAAACGGATCTTGAAACAATGTTCTTGAGCAAAACACTTTATTCTCACAGTGCCCATCTCCACTCAGGAGTAGAAATGTGTACTGAAAAAAATACCAGGGAAGCCTGATAAATTGGTAGGAGGGGAAGGGGGGTGACCTTGTGATGGACTAACATCCTATCCAGTGGTGAGTAGTGATACTCCTTGCAGCTTCATGTTAAGTACACTGGGATAAGCTCTGACTGGGAGAGCCATAATTGGCTCAAGTACAGAGTTAGATATAATTAACTGTAAGCAACACGCAAGTCCATGTCAGTCATTTTGTAGGATGCATGCCACAAAGAAAAAAGAACCTCCATACAAGTAAAGAAACTTAAACCCCAAAGCTGTGGAGTTTGCATTTGAATAGAAATATCTTGATGTGTATAGTTGTATTCAAAATTTATGGGAATCAGTTTGCAAGAATTTTTGATATCAAATAATTGAGAAGAGGTTAAAGTAGAAATGCCTCAGGGCTAAAGAGCATTTTTGCATGTAGTTTGCCAGACTAATTGGTGATCCAAATTTAAACAACTTATGCCTAATGTTGAAACCTGAGTTAGTAAATGGAAGGGCAAGTTGACATCTGATAAAACAAGGATCTTAATTATGATGGTCATATTGAATTTTTTTTTTTAACCATATCCCGAAATAAGAAACCATGTAAAGAAACATTCTCATTCACCTCCATGGCATGTCCAAACTACATGTATTTGTCTTGTCTACAGTAAAACAAATTGAACTCCAAAAATGGAGATCACTGCAATTAGATTGCTCAGAAATTTATTATAAATATTTTGTAGCTACCAACCTGGTGATTAATCTTGGATTTCTCCACCAAAGAATACAACACATTGAGCACACTGTGAACATTCCAAATCTGAAAGATAAGATCCTCCTAAAGATCAGGATGAATGATATGATTAAATGGCAATTTGGCATAATTGCAGTATTTTTCATCATCATTGTGCTATCTTCTCCCTAGTGGAGAAAATCATTTTCAATATTCAAAGCCCCTCCTGTATTGATTAATCAGCTAATCAAAACTATGAAAAATTCTCAAACATGATTGGATAGGACACTGTGTGATCATGCTTGTATGTTGGACAGTGTACACATCACACATGCCTGTGTAATTGGACAGTATGCATCATGTGCATGCACTCATCATGTATTTTGCTGACTTAACTTTTGCTCATTTAATGAAAACTTAAAACCGATTTGTCTCTCAGATTCTGTCATAGATTTGATTAAATGGAATCTTCTCAGTCCTATTACCATTAAAAATAGTCTCTTCAACACAATACATTTACCCTAATCAAGCTTCAGACTAAGCACAAAATACTTGTGGATTATAGTGTCCATGCCCTTGTTTCTCCAGATTTCCACCCTTCCCAAAACAAGCACACCAACTTCCAGTTTAATCAATAGACAGTCTGGGATGAAACAACATTTTATCAAAGTGCCTCTACTGAATCCTACAATATTTACATGACTGTATTTCTCTACACATATTCTTTTACTTAGCATACCTTTGTATTTTCTCTTAAAATTTCAACTTCGTCTTTTCCCTTTTTCAACAACTTTGATCGGTACTGGCTGAATGCTTGGAACTGAAAATGTTTTACATGCAATAATCTATCAAATTCCCTAGGATTTAGTGTACTCAAATTAGCCATGATTAATTACACATTCATTGAGTAAAGTTAACTATACTGAATGTTTCAAAAGCAACCAATTCTTGTAGACATCTGCTGGCAGTAAGCACTGTTCATTTAACTTCCAGATGTGATGAACAGGTACTGAAATTTCTCCTCTTCCTTCGATTACATTATGGAGAAAAAAGGTGATAAGAATACAGAAACTCTTATGCTTTGTGCTTGGACCATAAAATCTGAGCCGAAAAATTTGGCCCCTAAGTTAAACTATGGACCTCACACTTGATCAGTAAGAGAAATTTTCTCTCTAGAGGAAAGCTTCTAACCTGGTAAATAAATTCATCAATAATATCCCACAACCACTGATCAGGCAAGCTGAGAGGTACTGGTTCATCTGTGTCTACAAGATATTGCATATTTTGATGAGTGTTTCTATTTTTGTGTTAAGTGATAATATTTTTTTTACTCAAAATTGGAAATTTAGACAGTACAAAAAACAAAATTCTAAACTTACTCAAAATGTAGTTGAAAAGATCACAGTAGTTGAAATAAGATTCAAAGTGATGTTCCAGTGTTGGCTGAATACATACAATGATTAAAAATACTGTTTAGAAAAACATTACAGAATGGTGTTAACTTTTATCATTCCTACATAGCTGACAAATGTTTGATTGTGAAGAGTAATATTCTAGATGAGGGGAGTCTTTCAAAGGAGTTTTGTTGAAAAAAAGTCATTTTCATGGTCAAGTACTTTCAACCCAATGATAACACTTCACAATCAACTGTTATGTCAGGTTTCAAATTATTGCCTTAATATCCACTTACACCTTTTTGCATTTAATCAAATTAGTTTCGCAGTCAAATAATTTTTAAAGGGTAGAAGAATATCAACAAATCCCTAATTTGTATGCTCAATTAAAAATATCATTTCTGTTTAAACCCTTTAACTCCCAGAAGTGATCAACATAGAACTTCTCCCAGTAATATCCTCACATAATCCAGCAGACAGTTAATGAGAATACTCAAACTTACCAGGTAGAAGTTGTTATCTTGATCTAACAATATGTTCTTACAACTAGTTTACAAGGAAATGTGTTCCAGCTAGGAAGGAGAAACAACAATCAGATCCTGGGAGTAAATGGGTTAATAGCCTTACCTTGAGCTTGTTGTAGATGTGTCTGTAGTACAGCTCTTTGTAAAGGATCAAAAACACTTGGTCTACAAGAAATAAAACATCATTATTTAATTTGTAAACCACTTCAAATCAAGAGGTAGATAGTCAAGAAGGGTAAGGTGCTGGTAATGGGTCACCAGATATGTCCAGGAATGCATGCAGTAATGAAAAGTAGTGAAAATTTGTCAAAATATTCAAATCTGTCAAGCTGATTTGGCTTTGATGAATTTGACTAAAATTCATCAAATCATCAATCCTGCCAAGCCAATTTTTCTTTGACCAATTTGACTAAAATTTGCCAAAATAAAAAAATTCACAAACATTCACTTGGTTTGACAAAAATTTGTCAAATCTGCCATTTTTGTGCGTGTATTTCTGGACATGAGTGTGGGTTACACCTATATACAGCAAGAAAATTCACTGACTCACTTGGGGAGACAACTATTAGGCAACACTACCATAGATCAATACCCTGCTTCAAAAAGGTAACTGTCCTATTAATAATAACTAGGTGAGTTAATTCTTGAAGGAACCAAGAATTAACTCACTTAGTCCTTCAAACAACTCAAATGAGTGCAGAGCAGTACAACAGTTAGCAGCAACCTGACATGTACTAGAGACAATCCATGGTTCAGTCAGTTTGTTAGTTGGTTGCTCATGGAACTATTCAATCATTTAAATATCAGGACAGGCAGAAAGACATACAGCACTTCAGTCAATGAAGATGCATTTCCTTATTCTTTAACCCTTTACCCCTAAGAGTGACTAGCATCTAATTTTTCTTTACTCATCATTACTGAATCACATATTAACGCCATGAGAATAAAGGAAATGATCACCAACTAAAGGAACTCCTGATTGTTAGACAAATTCTCCTTGTCAGCAACTTAGTAAATGTACAGAGAACAGTATGGAGAATTTGAATACTGATGTTAGGGTGGAAAGGGTTAGAACACACCTCCATCCACAAGGCTTGCGACATAATCAGGTTCAGGCCAAGGAGATTTTTCGAAATATCTCTTAGTCAATTTGTTGAACCTGGATCAAAGAAGGCAAAAGATATGTTTAGAAAACTCAAATACTTCTTGTCACAAAAAGTAAAGTCTGGAGTACAACACTAATTTGCATCAACATGTGTTCTAGACCGTAATGAACTTACTTCTTTTCATAGATGGACTGAATGCCAGAGAGATTCTGGAAGATATAATAAAAGGAGCTATTTTGTGTAGAAACAAGGATATAAGAAATAGGTACTAAATTTACCTCTAAATTTTGGTACTTACGGTCGGGAGATGGGTTAGGTTCATAATCCCATTCATAATTTGTTAAAAAAAAAAAAAAATGGGCTGTATGCCAGCCTCATAGTGCCCTGCTTTACATGGTTAACTTGTACACACATTTGGATATTTTATATATGGTACAGCTACCTTTTTGAATTGCATGGGATGTAGTGTATCAAATTTAAACAAATTCTACGTTCTAAAAATAAGAACCTGTCTTAAGAATCTAGCCTAGAATGGCGCTTATAAGTGAAATACTTAACAGTGAAATTTTAGCCTAACAGGTTCTTAAAATTGTAGGTTCTTATATTCAGGTTTTTAATGTATGTAGTTCTTATGATGTTACTTTGTAAAATTTTGTATTGGATCAACTAAATAATCCCCTAACTGATATTTTTCCTCATTCCCATCAACTGTCTGCTTGATACTGTACATGCATTGATATTGTAACTAACAATTACTCTCTGAAGGTGAGGTGATTATTGTTGCAAAATCCTTAAGATGAAGAGGAGCAGACTATTCAACAATATTCACCGAACCAGAGGGGAATAATTGTTTTAGTATAATCGCTCAGGTGCTTTTGAATTCTGTTGTAAATTCTTTTTTTAATTGTTTATAACAATCTGTTACAATTGTTTTGATTACTCGTATCACGATGAGCAACCAGTTTCCAGTAGAATTTGACAGGTTTATTTCATTCAATCAGCAAAAACATTTTTTCCTTTTGAAAAGTTTTACACCAAGCTTAGTAGCATCTTTAGTGTTTGTTAAATTCTGTTTTGTTCTATCACGTTTATCACTTCCTGATGAATAATGACAAACTACAAGGAAACCAAGTTTGAAATACTATAATCACCTTGTTCAAGGTGATTTTAGCGAGATATGATGCAATCCTTGACCAATCAGAGCGTGTGCATCTCATTAATCACTGGAGCTATAATACTAAGGAAAAATTATTGGTCACTTAAAGAAGTTGAAGGGTTGAGTGACCTCAGCAAAGTGGAACTGTAATTTGCATGGTTTTATTACCAAACAAGCAGATAACCATATCAGGATAAAATCGTATCAATTCAAATACATGCTAACCTGGTTAGTGACATGCTTATGGAAGAAGTGAATAAAGCTTCGTATTTCCTCTGGCATATGAGGATAGGACTGAGGATCTATACCTGACTCGTGAAAAAATAGAAATATAGTTTAAAAAATTTTATAAAATCTAGGTATGGTTTTAACTCTAATTTTTCTCTTGTTACTTGTGAATAAAAAATATGGTAATGAAAATAAAAGAAATCTGAATAAAGATGGAAAAATATTTATCGTCATTTAGATTGTGTTTATGGAACAATGGCTATTTTTAAGAGTGTCTAAGGTATATCAGTGAGATGCTGAGTAGTTTGATGGCTCATCAGTCGACTTTTTTTTTTTTGGAAAAAAATTCAAACTAACAAGCAAATTGGCCCATCGTCTACAAAGGGAACGGTTGATGTACTTACTTACAGTGGAAAGTGGAGACTGAATTCATTAAAGAACATCAAGTAAAGGATTACAATATCTACAAACCGAGCGTTCGCAATCCGGACCAAAAATGGCATCCGATCCGATTGTTTCAAGATTGCGAGAGCACATGAAAAAAATTGAAAAATTTTTTTTAAGCGAACTGTGAGAATGAGAATACACTAATGATCCTTCCAGAAAACTGTATTGAAAAATTGTGTTCACTACCTTTTTCCTCCTGGTCGACAGTAATTGCTGTGCAAAGCTCTTGATACCGAGCAAGAGAGCTTGGAGACATCAAGGATTCTGGCTTACTGCCTGAAAGAGAGGGGCAAAATAATCATTTTAACCTTTTTTCTGTGTTAATAGTTTTCAAAATAAACCTTGCAACACGACGATAAACTCAACGTTAATGAAAAGATATAGGCTTTCCTGATGAAAATTTTTTCAAAACACAAAATCCCTACAGTGACTTTCGCCCCAATCATCTAGGGGAGTAAATTCACATGTTCCCTTTCCACAAGAAATAAATGCGACGGAAAGGCAAAACTACTTAACAAAGGACACGTTCATTTTGCATGACGTTGTGCTAGAAACGTTTGCCGCATGTTATCGTTTCTTCTGGAGCTTTAGCCGTTTCGTCATACGAAAAAAAGATTTAAAAAGGAAGAAAAATTGGAAGAAATGTTTTAAACTTGTTATTACCTGTTGTCAATTCCCTCTGGAGGCAATGCACCAGTTTTCCATTGAAAACTTTGCGGATACATGGTGTCTGCACTGGCTCAAGCAAAACGAAGTTGAGATGAATGGCATCTCTCAAGACACACTGCCACTGACAAAAGCTTTGCGCTGCTCTCTCATCAAAGGGTTGGGAGAAAGCTTTTGTTGGATGTTCTAGATAATGTTTCCACGAACCATCCTCTAGTTTGACACAACTACAAAGTAGAGCGTGCAGATGACTATTCTCCAGTGGCGGTTGCGAGTTACGATGAAGAAAACGAAGAGATGATGCGACTAACGCTAGCTCTTTTGGTAATGATTTTATATAAGCCGAGTCTGAATCTAGCGCATCCAAGAACATCGTTAATCTCCCGTGAGGATCGATTAGTATAGAACTGATCGAAGGGATCTTATCATTGTAAGGCTTAACATCTGTGTTCATGAGTGCAAAGCCCTCTCTGTCCCATTCCTCGATCCTCTTCATGTTTCTTCCTCCATCGCTCAAAATGCCATACATCAGCTGTCTCAGTGCCATTGAACACTGATTTGATGATCTTCTCTCACAGTCCTCGACCTGAACTCTGAGAAATACTTTTCCCGCCGTTAAGCTGCTCATACAATCGGTAGAAAACTTTCCTTCGCGAAACCTGCGCAACACCTCTTCGTCAAGTTCGAGATTACTTTGGGTTCTTAGAAGACTACAGACCACTCCATTTCGGAGGTAATCGAATAAATTGGACTTCGTAATTGCGTATTCTTGAAGGGAATACTCGACAGCTTTCTCAAGCCGCTCCCTACTTTCACTCGATTCTATCGATCCCAAAACGCACTCGAACGCTTGTGTTTCTGAGATTGAATTAGGGAGCTGGGAGAGGAAATATTTGACACCTGAAAACCTCACTTCCTTTCCACTAAGACCATCACTGGGAAAATTGCAAATTGTGCGGTTGAAGGGCTTTAACGCTTCCCGACTCACGTAATCATTACCCAGTAAGGAAGCAAGCAAAGGGAGCAATTCTTCACGTATTCCAAAATATCTTGCCACGTCACTGCGGTAGAAAATACGCGCTGTTGACTGATCAACATCGAAAGAGGAAAGTGGGATGAAGCCGCCCTTGACATCAAAGATGAAGAAATCGCTGTCGTCGCTCAAAACAGGACATGCCCAATCCTTGGCTAAAGATGCGATGTCATGATCCGCTTCACTGTAGAATTAAAAAGAGAAAAGAAATTGCTTTTTAAACTCCACGAGACTAGCACACTTGGCATTATAAACCTTGTAATAAGTCGTCGAATCAATTTTTTTCCTTTTAGCTGTTCAAGAGATCCGAAAACGTTTAATGACACTTTGGTGACTATTACACCCTGTTCTCTTCAATCACGCTTGCCTTTGATTTTCTTCACAGGTAATACCTTATTCAACCAAATCGCTGCGCTTGATTCGCACTTTCACAACCTCGGGGCTTCCTTAGTGCAGTTCTCCCGCTCGGTGAATAAGAAGCTAACAATATCTGTAATTTATTTTGTCTTAATTCCGGTTACGTGCGAAAGTGAAAGCAAAACATAACCGGAACACTTATTAGTACAAGCTTCAGTTAAGTGAATAAAATACCCAAATGGACGTGAACTGCCGTCTTGTGGGCGAAAAAACATATTTTTTTTGCGTTAAAAGAAGGGGAAAGCTTACAGAAATGGAACCAAAAAGAAATTTCTCCATCTTTCGTTTCATATGCATTTGAACACGACCACATTTCTTAGCCAGTGTTATAGCATAAGTGCAAGCTAATTAACTATTTGATGACATCTTACCAGTCAGAAACAGCAAATTTTATCAAGTGATCCCTTAGGACTTCTACGAATACAAACTTCGCCAAAAGTGGAAGTAAAAAGTATTCATCGCCATCAGCTGATGTTTCATTCCTGAACAACCGGTCAGCCTTTTCGATCCTCTCTTGTGTTCTTTCTTTCCGTGTTTCTAACTTCTTGTCACTTCTATCATATGCGCCATCAAGAACTACGAACGATTCGACACCTTTAGATTTTAGAGCTTCGAAAAACAGCAGTACTTTCTTGTAAAACTCCTCATACTGCCCTCCGCATCGGCAATCGAAGCCGTTTTCTTTGTAAAGGTAGTTACACAAGTTATCTCCGTCTATGATAAGCTTTGTGTCTCGCAGCTTGATCAGTCTCCTAAGGTATGGAGCTGACTCTTCAGAACGAACAAGATAAGACGTAAGTCCGCGAACGCCCATTTCCTAAACTGCGACAACAAGCGAAGAGGAGGCACGAACCCAGTTTCCCTCGCAGGCCGATAGAAGTTATACTGAGGAGGTTGTATAAGAGAAACAACTGATTATCGTTACGTCTCAATTGGCCCCAAAGTTATGCATAGCATAACGTAACGCTTGATATAACATAACGCTTGAGCGAGACCTTCGGAACTCGAACCCTGGGAACAAGTATACAAGAAGGATAACATAGCGGCTTACGGCGGCGAAGGAAATCGTTGCTGATGAGAAAGAAAAAATGTTTACGGCTATTTCTTCTCTCGAACATTTAAATATTTAGCTACCAAATAATCTTGAAACTGAAGAACATTGCATCCTGTTATAAAAAATATTGTTCTTGATTGCTTTGTCAACTTGAATGTATGATGTAATATAGCTTGTGATTTGTGGGATCTTCACAAGTGAACTAAAAGTACCTGAAGAGGGTAATGATGTACTTAATGCAAAACATTTTTGTACAAAGTCTGCCTTACCATAATCTACCTGAAGGTGCTTTCAGTATGCTGGTAAGACTTGCACAGCCCAGTCAAAATGTTTTTGAGTAGTAGGCAAGCTGGCTGTAGTAGTTATAGGCAGCAGAGGCCTAACCTCTTCCTGAAAAGCAGTCTGAAAAGCGTGAAGTCAATGGAAGATACTTCATTGTAGGCGACCAAATCACAGGCTGCCGGCCCATTTTGAGTGAGCAGTAAAAATCCAGATTTGCTATTTTAACTAATTTTATTGAGAACCAAACTCTACAAGGTTTATATTGTGTTTTAGTTTGAAGTGTTTCATGTTTCATGTTTCTTATTTTGCTGTAAGTTGGCTTGTTATGGCCATTTTTCTCTCAAACAATTTTTTTCAGCCCAGTCAAAATGCTTTTGAGAAGTAGGCAAGCTGGCTTTGGTAATAGAAAGTAAAGGCCAAACCTCGTCCAGACTAAAAGTCTGACAAGTGTGAAGTAAGCAGCAGATATTTTGTCGTAAGCAGCCAAATCCCCGGCTGTCAGTACATTTTGACTGGGCTATTTGTTATGTAGCTACTAAGTAATCTTATTAGTAAAGATTACTGCATTCCTTTCTAATAATATTGCCGCTGGCAATAGTAAAAGGTAGCAGAGGCCGAACCTCGTCCTAAATGGAAGTCTGACAAGTGTGAAGTAAGTGGCAGATATTTTGTTGTAAGCGGCCAAATCGTCGGCTGCAGCACATTTTGAATGCGCTGATTGTTTTTAGTTTGTGTGTGCACTTCTTTTTGGGTGTTAAACAGGTCAAAGTACCAAAAAAGCTTTGTGATAACTTGGTAAAAAAAATTTTAATAACAGGATAAAGCTTGACCATTCTTTAGAGTTCTAAAAAACATTGTCATTAAAAACATCACACCTACCAGTCTCAGGCCCAAAACGCTGCAAACTAGCTGAAACTACATGTATTTTGTAAAACTGCGTTGAAATCTGTCTAAAAACACCAAAATCCGGCAGAAACGCACGAGTTTTTGCCAAATTTTAGGCAAAAGTTGACAAAAAGGCTCAATTTAGACTGACGTTTAAAAACGCTGCAAACAAGCTAAAACACGATGTTTTCAGCAAAATGTTTTGAATGCTCGTATTAAGACGGGCAGCCAGTCTCCCCTAGATTTTAACAGGTTTATTTACTTCAATCAGCAAAAAAAATCATACCTTTCTTTCGAAGTGCTATTCCAAACTTAGAAGCATCTTTTGTGCTCTTCGGAATTGAGATCTTGCACCTGAAAACTTGGCTTGACATTACGTAACTATCTTCCAACGAGCAGGGTTACGCGTTCCACGTTCGCCGGACTTATGCAGCGTATTTATTTATGAGCATGGCCTACAGGTTATCATTCAACCTGAAGCATGATTCCTAAACTACTTTTCTCCTAAACATTAAACAATGAGATCAACATTAACAAGTTGTCACATCAACGAGAAGTAGCGTCAGCAGATTACTCGCGTTGGCCGGCAACATGTTTCCTAAAAACCGTCTACATTGTTCTCGCTCATTAATGGAACTTACCCTTCTCACTGTGGAACTTTAACATTGCAAAGAACAGATGAATTGCGTCTCTCAGAACACACTACCATTGAGCAAAGCTTTGCGTCGCTTGTATGTCAAAGGGCCATGAGGATCGTTTAGAGCTTACAGTAGTTTCTGTAGCATTGTGGAACTCGCCATTTTCAAGTTAACACAACAACATAGTAAAGCAATCAGATGGTTTCTCTCCAGGGTGGTTGCGCGTTATTGATGAGGTAACGAAGTAATGCAGCGATTAAAATAAACCTTTTACCAAAGGACCTAACCTCTGTGGTGTCCGAATCGAGTGCAAACAACAAAAACTTTTCACGCTCTCCGAGATCGAAGTACGGGATTAGGCTCTTGGTAGGGTTTTACAATTGATTGTTGGACACTTAAGCCCTCTCTGTCCCATTCTTGGATCACCTTTATATTTCCTTCTTCTGCTTTTGTTTCAGCATCGTTCAAAATTACATACACGAATATCCTTAGTCTTTTAGAGCAACAGTTCGCCGATATTTCTCTATAATTATCAATGGGAATTCCCAGGAACAGTTTCCCCGAGCAGCGAGAGGTAAACCTGCCCAAGAGATAGGAACCCTGTGTCTCTCTTCCATACTGACTGGATGTAACATTTAACTTCACTTCACTTCATCCTCACTCATAATAACACAAGAGGTTTTTCTCTAACAGCTAATCTGCGATCAAAATTAGAATGCAATTTCGCCATGCAGGAAATATGTTGTTTTTTTGGTTGTTTTTTATTTAACAGTTACATCCGCCCTTCATCTTGACTAGCGACCTCTTAGAAAAAAAATTGTATGCTTGAAGTTGCAAAATCATTTCATCAAGTCTCGTGTTCCACAGCTGTCCAATTAATCGGGTTCTCTCCTCCCTTCTTTGCAGATTGGCTGAAGATCTTAGATCTTATGAAGGACATCAACAGCATACTGAGTGATTTCTCTTCTGAACTGGATTCCATGTTCGATTGAGCTTCAACTTGTATTTTATTAACAACATGATGAAAAGGATTGTAAAGATTTCCTAGACGCAATAACTGAGAAGCCGTTTAACAGATCTGATAGTGATGAAGATAAAAGTTTTTGATTGGTAGTATGTGCTATAATGGAAACTCTAGTGTAATGAGACTAAAACACTGATCAAAGCAAAGGAAGACGACGGCAAAGTTTCTGATGTGTTCTGGTATCAAGTCAATTGATCTCATTACATTACTTTTGGTATTTCGGAAGCTTTTCCTATGCGAAATTGATAATAATGTTCAATAGTTTTGTTATTTTTCCTATATTTCAAAGAATAGATTTTTTATATCGTTTAATGCTGTTCTTGAGAGCCGCAACTACTTGATGGTGCATATTTATTTTGATAGTCTTTGATTTAAAATTGATTTTTTTTCCAGGTATTTTTATGGGCCACATGTCTCAATTGCCATCTTTAGCAGTTTCTTTAAAATCATAGAAATATTATTAAGCCAGGAAATTGGTTTATTAATCTTGAAATTCACGTGTTATTAATATTTAGCATGTTTGAAGCAATTTCTAAGGGAATGCTCAATTAATTATTTTCTCTTGCTGCCATTGATTTTTTTTCACTAGAACCACAAAACGAGGTATTTATATTATAGGAGCTGCAACGTTTAGTCCCTGATTTAAATCGAATCCTAAAAATCTTAAAAAAGATCAGGGTCTTAGGAAGGATTTTTTTTCGAAATTTCAATTAAAAGGATCTAAATATCCTAGAAATTGCATTGCTTTACTGCTGAGCTGTAGCTGTTAGTTCTGAGGTGATTTCATTTCCATGTCCCCCAAGGAAACTTGTTGCAACTGAGTTTATGTGTCATGTTATCGCTAGTATTGACATTGACTGTGACTGCATACTTGCACTGATAGTCGTTCATGATAGGATTTTATAATAGACGACAATTTAGTACACATTATATAAACAAATTTGAATTGGAAATATTTTTATTGTACTTAGAGGCTCGACAGGCGAATAAGGCTTTTGTTTTTAACATAAATTATCTATAGTAATACGAAGGAGGTGTAACTATTTTGAAAGAAGTGCGCCCTTCTAAATATCAGTATACCAGTTACATGCTACGAATTCACGCACTAAGTTCTTCAAACAAATGAAATGAAACAAATGACTTCCAAAAAAATTAAATTTTTACTCTCCTATGTATAAAGTTATTTCTTCCAACCCTATTCCTAAAATAAACTTATATTTCTGAAAAGTACTGTACTTTTTCCTATGATTTTGAGCACAGATTTTCAGGTACAACTGCTAAATCGGTGGAGGTTAGCTCTGGGGGAAGTGCAAACAGTCAATCAGTAAGGCACTTTATCAGTCTCGTACCCGGACCCTCCACGGCCGAGCGGTTGCATTCCGGTTACATGGTAGGTCCTGGGTACGAGATAAGTATTTCAAACGATAATTGAGCTACTCATTGCCATGTGCGCTGTCCCGCACCAGTGGATGGATGATGTTGGAAGAAACATTTGCATGGATTTCCAGCACTCTATACAGTTTTGGAACTGTTGAGTCTCTTATATTTATTAGTAAGAAGTTAGTGGCCAACCTAAACTGCTAACATTGGCAAATATATGTTTAATTTCTAAGCGCGTAACTCAGCTAATTACGATAATTCAAGTAACCGAGGACAATAGTTGTTTCGTCATGCCATTTTGGATTTTTTTTCTTACAAATTATATCGAGGAACACGCTCCGAGAACGTGGGGAAATGATCTCCCGTTTCTTGTTTGACATTTTGTTTTCTCTCTTTCTTCGTCGAATGTTAGAAGCTGTTGATTCTGTTCACGTTGCGCTCGCAGAGGTGGAGGGTGCCGAGAACTGATACCCCAGCTGGTTACCATAGGGGTCGTCACTGAGTGACATTGCCGGTTATGGTGCTTTCATTCAGGTTCATACCTGATGTGTGTAACCGTAACTTTTGCATCCTGGTAACAACATCTTCTGCAACAGAAATGGTTGATGTACTTACTTAGAGTGGAAAGTGGAGTCTGAATTCATTCAAGAACGTCAAGAAAAGGATGAAAAAATCGTACAAATGACTATTTAACTAACGCCAAAGAATTTGATAGTATCTTCAAACCGAACGTTCGGAATCCGGAACAAAAATTGCAGCCAATCCGATTGTTTCAGGATTACGAGTGCGCATGAAAAAAATTGAATCATATTTTTTTTTCAAAAGTACCATGAGAACAAGAATATACTAACGATCCTTTCAGAAAACTATATTGAGAAGTTTTGTATACTAGTATACTACCTATTTCCTCCTGGTCGGCAGTAATTGCAGTGTAAAGCTCTTGATACCGAACAAGAGAGCTTGGAGTTGACATCAAGGATTCTGGCTTACAGCCTGAAAGAGAGGGGCAAAATAATCATTTTAACCTTTTTTCTGCGTTAACAGTTTTCAAAATAAACTTTATTATAACACGCCGATAAACTCAACGTTGATGAAAAGATACAGGCTTTCCTGTTGAAAATTTTTTCAAAACACAAAATCCCTGCAGCGACTTTCACCCCAATCATCCAGAGGGGTAAATTCACATGTTCCCTTTCCACAAGAAATAAATGCGACGGAAAGGCAAAACTACTCAACGGAGGACACGTTCATTTTACATGTTTACGTTGTGCTGGAAACGTTTGCTACAAGTTATTGTTTATTCTGGTGCTTTAACCGTTTCGTCAAACGAAACAAAAGATTTAAAAGGAAGAAATATGTGTTAAACTTGTTATTACCTGTTTTCAATTCCCTCTGGAGGCAATGCACCAGTTTTCCATTGAAAACTTTGCGGATACATGGTGTCTGCACTGGCTCAAGCAAAACAAAGTTGAGGTGAATGGCATCTCTCAAAACACACTGCCACTGACAGAAGCTTTGCGCTGCTCTCTCATCAAAGGGTTGGGATAAAGCTCTTGTGGGATGTTCTAGGTATTGTTTCCACGAACCATCCTCTAGTTTGACACAACTACAAAGTAGAGCGTGCAGATGACTATTCTCCAGTGGCGGTTGCGAGTTACGATGGAGAAAACGGAGCGATGATGCGACTAACGCGAATTCTTTTGGTAATGACTTTATATAAGCTGAGTCTGAATCTAGCGCATCCAAGAACATCGTTAATCTGCCGTAAAGATCCATATTTGGTATCGAACTGAACGAAGGGACCTTATCATTGTAAGGCTTAATGTCTGTGTACTTGACTGCAAAGTCCTCTCGGTCCCATTCTTCGATCCTCTTCATTTTTCTTCCTCCATCGCTCAAAATGCCATACATCAGCTGTCTCAGTGCCATTGAACACTGATTTGATGATCTGCTCTCAAGATTCTCGACCTGAACTCTGAGAAATACTTTTCCCGCCGTTAAGCTGCTCATACAGTCAGTAGAGAACTTTCCTTCGCGAAACCTACGCAATACCTCTTCGTCAAGTTCGAGATTATTTTGGGTTCTTAGAAGACTGCAGACTACTCCATCTCGGAGGTAATCCAATAAATTGGACTTCGTAATTGCGTATTCTTGAAGGGAATACTCGACAGCTTTCTCAAGCCGCTCCCTACTTTCACCCGGCTCTATCAATCCCAAAGCGAACTCAAATGCTTGTGTTTCTGTGATTGAATTAGAGAGCTGGGAGAGCAAACTTGCGACACCTGAAAACCTCACCGCCTTTCCTCTGCGACCATCACTGAAAAGAGTCCAAATTGTGTGGTTGAAGGGTTTTAACGCTTCCCAACTCACGTAATCATTGCCAAGTAAGGAAGCAAGTAAAGGAAGAAATTCCTCGCGTATTCCAAAATATCTTGCCAAGTCACTGCGGTAGAAAATACGCGTTGTTAACTGATCAACATCAAAAGAGGAAAGTGGGATGAAGCCGCCCTTGACATCAAAGATGAAGAAATCGCTGTCATTGCTCAAAACAGGACATGCCCAATCCTTGGCTAAAGATGCGATGTCAGGATCCGCTTCACTGTAGAATTAAAAAGAGAAAGGAAATTTCTTTTTAAACCCCACGAGAATAGCCCGCTTAGCATTATGAAACATATTATAAATCGAATAAATTTTTTCCTATTAGCTGTTCAAGAGATCCGAAAACGTTTAATGACACTTTGGTGACTATTACACCCTGTTCTCTTCAATCACGCTTGCCTTTGATTTTCTTCACAGGTAGTACCTGATCAGTCAATCAAATCGCTGCGCTTGATTCGCACTTCCGCAGCCTCTGGGCTTCCCCAGTGCAATTCTCCCGCTCGATGAATAAGAAGCTAACAATATCTGAAATTTATGTTGTCTTAATTTCGCTTACGTGCGAAAGTGAAAACAAAAAAATAAACCGGAACATTTATTAGTACAAGCTGTAAGAGAGAAAAAAAACCTAAACGGGCCTGAGCTGCCGTCTTTTGGGCGAAAAAAAATTATTTTTGAATAATTTTTTTTATAATTAAAAAAATAACATCTACGTTAGCCTACAGAGAGTGGTATGTTGCTCGCACCAATCAGATCGTTTAGGGAATATATTTCGCACCAATCAGATCGCCGCATTAGGGTATGTATCTCGCATTAATCAGAGCGTCGATTTTGTTCTTTGGTTTGAGAGGTGTTCAAAATGAGCAATGTTGGCTTTTCTGTGTTTTTAACATGTATTTTACCGCGCGTTTTGAGAAGTGCGATCCTTCTGGGCAGATGGAAGATATCAGATTACATATAGTAAACGAGTTACTCATGCTGTGAAAATGGTGGATAGTTGTTCGAGAGAAAATGGAGTCCTGTTCACTGTAGCACGATCATGGTTATTGTTCCTTCCAGACGAGAGCGAGTGAAAAAATTTTGAATCAAATATTGCTTGAGGTGTTGATGAATTGCACGAAACATTTTGATTTGAGCAGTTCTTTAACGGCAAGCTGTGTTGCAAGATTCATGATTTGTTGAGTGTGCCGATTATATTTTTCTGGATTGGTTTGCTCAGTGCTATCTTAAGATGAATGTCTGATTAAAATTAACTGTGGACGATTTTGTGTATGTTTCCGATGCCTGGAGAAAGTGATCTTGCGGAGTCGTTTGTGTTTAGTCATGGACGAATTCAGATACCATCGTAAGCGTGTTTGTTTAATTTTCTTATCTGGAATGAATGATTTATAGAGGTAAGTTAATATATTGTGATTTACTAACGTCGAAAATATATCAAGTCGAAGGAACAGTTTTGGTCTCGGTCTGCATTTTTGTCAACAAAATAAACACATACCGCTTAAAAAAAGAATTATGATACGGACCACCAGCAAGGCTGTCGAATATTGCGCGTGTTAAATATTCAATAGTGACATCTCATCTACATCTACGGCTACTTTTATTACGTTGGTAAAATCTGTACAGACATCACACCAACCAACTCGCGCGCAAAGTGAGAAGGCTACATGAAGGCTAGAAATTATATTTAGATCGATTTTGATCAAGAAACGGGCTAGGAATATTCCGCAATAGTGCAAATAATCGTGAAAGCTGATCGCGGAAACGCGATTGCGTGACGCTCGCTAAGTTGTAAGATGACATGTTACCACATACCAGACGAAAAAACTCTATAGATTCCCAGTCTGCTTTTTGTACCCACTCTGCAGTCTGCATTCTACATTTTGTACCTAGTCTACATTTTGTTTCCGATCTGCATTTTGTACTAATAGGTATCCATGGCACCAATACAGTTTATTTTTGGGTACAGTTATTCGCACAACACAATCTACCACAAAAAGTATCTGTTTGTGAGTCAATTCGACATTTTCGTTCTTTTCCGCGTTAATACTCTTCTTTCCTTTTGTAAAAATGTAGACATCACTTACAATGTTTCAAGTAATCCACCCACCCCAAAGAAAAAAACTCTTGCAGGCATAGCATGTTTTTTGCGTTTAAAGAAGGGGAAAACTTACAGAAACGGAACCAAAAATAAATTTCTCCATCTTTCGTTTCATATCCTAAGCATTTGAACACGACCACATTTCTTAGCCAGTGTTATAACATAAGTGCAAGCTAATTAACTATTTGATGATATCTTACCAGTCAGAAACAGCAAATTTTATCAAGTGATCCCTCAGGACTTCTACGAAAACAAACTTCGCCAAAAGCGGAAGTAGAAAATATTCATCGCCATTAGCCGATGTTTCATTCTTGAACAACCGGTAAGCCGTGTCGACCCTGTCTTGTGTTCTTTTTACCTGTGTTTCTAATTTCTTATCACTTCTATCATATGCGCCATCAAAAACTACGAACGATTCGACACCCTTAGATTTTAGGGCGTCGAAAAACAGTAGTACTTTCTTATAAAACTCCTCATACTGCCCTCCGCATCGGCAATCGAAGCCGTTTTCTTTGTAAAGGTAGTTACACAAGTTATCTCCGTCTATGATAAGCTTTGTGTCTCGCAGCTCGATCAGTCTCCCAAGGAATGGAGCTGACTCTTCGAGATAAGACGTAAGTCCGCGAACACCCATCTCTTAAACTGCGACAACAAGCCAAGAGGAGACACTAACCAGTTTCCCTTCGCTGGCCGATAGAAGCTATGAGAAGGAGGCTATAGAAGAGGAAACACTACCACGACGAGACTACTGTTGCCAAGGACATGATTCAAAGTTTCATTGGCCACAAGTACCCGCTTGGATTTTTTAAGCTTCCTCACACGGTAATGGAGTCTGCAACTGTGGTTAATTTCCTTTTAATTTAATCTTGGTCAGCGGCACATAAATACCACGATACTAAATAAAGACTTAGATTTTCTATTCCCCGTTTCATAATTTTTTTGTTAGTCACGCGAAAATGAAATTCCCCTCCTAGGAAAGTCTAAATCGGAAAGTATGATGTACTAGTAAAAGGTAGTCGCGAACCTAGTTTCCCTTGCTGGCCAATGGAAGCTTTGAAAAGGAGATTAATGAAGAAAACACTCAACTGCCATGTGAGTGTTGCTGCTAATAATATTATTCAAAGTTAATAACCACAGATACCCTCTTTGTTTCTTCTCAGCTTCCTCACCCATCAGTGGAGTGGGCGACTGAAGTTTTCCCCTAAATTAAACAAAAGCAATCGGTAAAGCAAACAGAGCAGTAAGTCCAATAATGCTAATTTTCTTTCGTTTTCACATTATATGAAACTGAACTTAACCGTCATTAGCTTATAATAGAAAAGTTGACTTGAAAGTAAAGCAAATGATGTAGTAAAGAAATGAAGATGTTAATTATGAATAATTGAAGGTAGAATTACGCGTTCAGTTTGTTGGGTGAAAAGATAAGTAATGTGCGTGTACTTTTAAAATCTTCCTGAATTATACCAAGAATCGGCTGACCAGTATACGACGTGAAAAGTAAAACTAAGCAGGCGTTACTATTATTTGAGAAGAAGCGGATCGTACGAGATTTCTCCTTAAAGATATCGAAGAGTTTCAAGTTGTTAGCTTGGTAATAGCTGTAGTATTTGGCAAGGAGTCACGTCACCAATATTACTTTTCGCCTTGCAAGAAATTTTCTCAAACTTAGGTACTTCTAAAACTTTATTTAAGCTAGAGGTATTCGTGAAAGAGTTTACTTAACAAATATTCGCCAAAGGTGAAGTAAATATTGTTAAATAATCCTCAAGACGAATTCGAGCTGGGAGATTATTTAACAATATTCACTGAGTCTGAAGAATCATTGCTCAGTCAGGAGATTTCGAATTCTGCCGGAAGTTCGTTTGATGTTTTGCCGGATTACTTGTAGGAAGATAAACAGCCAGTTTCCACTGGAATTTAACAGGTTTGTTTGGTTCAATAAGCAAAAAATTAATATCTTTCTTTTGAAAATTGTTATTCCAAACTTAGAAGCATCTTTTGCGCTCTTTGGTGTTGAGATATTTCACCTGGAAACTTAGCTTGACGTTACGTAACTAGCTTCCGCCGGAATTCTGCGGCATATTTATGAATGAGAATTGCCTACAAGTTATCATTCGACGTGAAGCATGATTCATATACTATTTTCTTCCTGAACATTAAAAAATGAGTTCAACAATTGGTTACCTTGTACACAATCTAAAAAGTAGAAGACAGCATGGGTAATTTTCATAGAAAGAGCGAAGCGATCTTTGCAGTATATCAAGCAATTCTGACATGTAATCACATCAACTAGAAGTAACGTCAGCAGATTACTCGCGTTGCCTGGCAACATGTTTCCTAGAAACCGTCGACACTGTTCTCGCTCGTTAATGGAACTTCCCCCTCTCACCGTTGAACTTCAACATTGCACAGAACAGAAAAACGATTTCCTGGCATTTCGTCAGCAGATGATGTTTTTCTCGACGCGGCATTTTGCTTAGAAGTCTTCCTCACTCTCTTCTTGTCTCCGTGGCTCTTTACACTCACCATCTTTTCTACAAGGCCACTGGTTACCGCAAGACGAAGCCTATGAAACAAGCGAAACAGCTTGAAACCTGGAAGAAGCTGCTCTGGTTGTCGACCTAGAAAAAGAGGACACTTCCATCAGTTTTCCACACATCTCTACTTGAACTCGCGAGAGTTAAAAAAAAATCAATGGATGTTACTTGCAATGTTGGCATGTGCCACAGTTAACAAGAGTCATCAGTTAGTGCTGTTGTATGTTTGAGAACCTTTTAGTACCAATAACAGTGCCCCCCTCTCCTGTTCCATGAGAACTATTATCGGTCTCATCTTCCAAGTCAAACACAGCAATTACGTTTATTTGCTTCACTATTAGTTCTGACTTGAAAACAGGGAACTCAGGCGCACTAAACAAATATTCACATCATATTCATATTTTCTAAAGTATTGGATTGCAAGGGTTAATTTTCAGACTTACCATGTTGCAAACTTTCAAGCAGTTTTTGTGCCATTTTTCCATTGAACGTCTTATGAATAAATGGTACAGGTACAGGCTCAAGCAAATTAAAGTTTAGATGAATTGCGTCTCTCAGAACACACTGCCATTGAGCAAAGCTTTGCGCCGCTCGTATGTCAAATGGCCATGAGAAGCGTTTTGGACTGACAGTGTTTTCTTCACCATTGTGGAACTCGTCATTCTCCAATTTAACACAACAACACAGTAAAGCGATCAGATGGTTTGTATCCAAGGGCGGTTGCGCGTTTTTTATGAGGTAACGAAGTGATGCAGCAATCAAAATAAACCTTTTACCTAAGGATCTAACATCTGTGGTGTCCGAATCGAGTCCAAACAACAAAAAATTTACACGCTCTCCGAGATCGAGGTACGGGATTAGGCTCAAAGAAGGGACTACGCCCTCTTGGTAGGGTTTTACAATTGATTGTTGGACACTTAAGCCCACTCTGTCCCATTCTTGGATCACCTTTATATTTCCTTCCTCTGCTTTTGTTTCAGCATCGTTCAAAATTCCATACACGAATCTCCTTAGCCACTTAGAGCAACAGTTCGCCGATATTTCTCTACAATTCTCAACGGGAATTCCCATGAACAGTTTCCCCGATGTCAAGCTGCTGATGCATTTGGAGGAAAACTTTCCATCTCGGAACCTGTGCAAGACCCACTGGTTGATCTCGCGATTACTCTGCGTTCTTAGGGAGCTAGAGACTAAGTCGTCTTGGAAATAGCCCAATAGATTCGACTCTGAAAGTGTATATTCCTGGAGAGAAAGTTCAACAGCTTCTCTAAGTTGTTCTCTGTTTTCAGCTGACTTCACCATTTTCAGGGCACATTTCAAAGCCTCTTCCTCGTTTGAGTCAGGAAGTTTGGATAGCATGTTCGCAATGCTTTCAAATCGAGCTCCTTTTTTACTAAAATGGTTGGAAGTCTGAAAACCATTCAACACACGGTTAAACTCAACTAATAAATCACAACTCACGTAGTCATTTCCTGCCAACGAAGCCAACAAGGGAATTAATTCTGCACGAATTCGGAAGTGCGACGCCAGTTTTTGCCGATGGAAGACCCTCACTGACAAACAACTGGAATTCCAGGTAAAGAAAGCAAGAGGAACGTACCCAGCTTTGATGTCAAAGATAAAGAAGTCACTGTCATTGCTAAGAACTGGACAATTCCACACATAAGCCAACGAGGCAATTTCTGTGTCGGCTTCACTGTTGAGAAAAAAAAAGGAAGTGAGGTTAGATGTATATCTTTTAGGGCGAGCCAAGAGCTGGAGAAGTAATATCCACCAAGCCTCTTCTAACGTTCCTTCTACATGTACACGATTTTCAATTTGAAAGAAAATCTCATGGAAGAATAAGAAAAAGGCATACATACTGAACTTTTTATGTGACTTGAAAAGTCATAAAGCCCAATCAAGTTTCCCCATCTTCCTCTATTTCTCTACCGAGCTCAAAACTTACCATATTTCTTCTCATATTTACAAACATGACGCTAATGACATAGCTAATCCTAGCAGTATTCGGGACGCGTGTCATATATTAACTTCGTAATGAGCCTCGCTCATCACAGAGTCTCTGTGGTTCAGTGGTAGAGCATCAGAGCGCGGATACTGAAGGTCTGAGGTTCGATTCCATATGGCGGCTCAGATTTTTTTTTTCTTCCACGCTCGAGGCACTGAAGTCGAAAAACATCTTTCTCTTTTTCTTTACCGAGCTCAAAACTTACTATCTGTCCTATTCTATTTGATGGTCCTGTGTGTTGTCTAGTAGAAGATTTTGTTATTTTGTTGTTTCGATGTGATCAAAAGCCTTTATGGTGGGGTCATTAAAAGAGGCTACACGGGCTACTTCTCTTGAAATCATTTCAAAGTGCATTATCACAAATAAATCACTCCTACCTATCACTGGAAACGAATTTTACGCCGCGATTCCTGAGTGCCTCCAAGAACACGTGCCTTGCCAAAAGCGGAAGTAAGAACAAACGATCATCAGCGGATTTCGACAAAGCATTTGATGTTTGAACCCTCTCCTTTGCTCGTGCTTTAAGTGTCTCCAACTTCTTGTCGCTGGGATCATGTGCTCCATCGAATACAACATAGGCCTCCACGCCGTTCGAAACCAGAGCATCGAAAAACGAAACTACAGCATCATAATATTCTTGGTACTGACCACCACATCGGCAGTCTAAGCCATTGCTATAGTAAAGATAATGGCACAGACAAGATCCATCGATGATAAGTTTTGTATTTTTAAGATCGATCTGTGTCCAAAGCGTTCCGATTGAGTTGATATAACTTGTTAGTCCAGGAATCCCCATTGCTAGATGCGAAGCTTCTTTTCCTCTATCAAATCATAATGTTCCAGGCGTATGAAATGATGAGTGATTTCTTGAGAGGGTGGGAGCCCAACTGTTGTAGCCTCTGTTTAAATCAATAGAGCTGAATAGTCCTTGAACATTTTCATATGGATTTGAGAAAGACCGCAAAGATAATCTGTCGAAAATACGTAGTTTGAAATTTTTTTTTCTCATCTGTCGTCCTGTTTTTAAACTACATTTTGCCCCTCCCTGGAAAGAAAGAAAAATCACCTTGAGCCTGCATAAAAAACCAGCGGCTAAGAAAAACAGAAATGTATGTCAAGTAATAAGATTTGAACATCCTGTGACTTTCTCTGAAACCGGTTATTTTTGCACGAAATTTCTTCCTCATCGACGACAACAAACCAACAGATGATATCTACAAGATGACTGCTGAAACAGAAGGTTCAAGTGAACCGGTTATTTTAGCCACAGCAGGATATGATCATGCGATTAAGTTCTGGCAAGCACACAGTGGAATATGTCACCGCACTGTACAGCATCCAGACTCTGTATCTTTTGCATTTATAAAATCTAGTTCACTGCATACACTTGCACGGTGTTTACCGAAGAACACAAAACCTTAAAAACTTGAGTGTACGAAAGACTCAAAGTAGATAGGTAGAGACGCCCACAATATATCTTGAAACTGTCTTCATTGCAACACCAACGCAAGTCCATGGGACACAACCTCAAGTTTTAATTAGATAACAGAAGGTGTAACCAATCAACCCCCAAGAACTGATCTTAAGTACTCCACTTTAGCTGCTACACATTTCCTTGAAAACTAGCTACGAGAATTTGGCTTGAAATCAAGATAGCAACTTCTACATGTACCTGATAAGTTTGAGTCTCCTCATTACACCCGTTAATTTAGTTACAATAGACATTCAAGCTACCTACATACGACCCACATGGGAACAAATTTCAAGACTATCTTAAATACCTTTAATTTTATCCCTCCTCCCATAGAGAAATGTTACATTTTTGTTTTGTTTTTGTGGTTGTACTGTGAGCACTAATTTTTTAAGGGTATTGTGATGAATTTTGGTTTATTTTTAATTTCATACGTCATTACTTCCTACAAAGTGGCAATGCTATTGGATGAGTGTTTTATGGTGATGAATTTTTGTCATGGAGTGTAACTGTGTGCACCTCATCATTGTACATGTAGATGTTGTAATCTTTAACTCTATTGTATTAGCAAGTCAATGCAATGCAGATCACACCTGACAGACAGTTATTAGCTGCTGCAGGTAACTTGCTCTTGACTTTTGAGATGAAAAAGAAATTTGTCTAGAATTTCAACCCTTTTTACTCTTAAGATTGAGCTGAATGTGCATCAGTAAATTATTATATACTCCTGGTTCATTTCAAAAGAAAGATTATACTAACTGAGTATTAGTAATGGTAAAAATGTATTTAATTCACACCAACATCTCTTTTATTTTTATTTTCCTCAGGATATCAACACATACGCATGTATGATATCAATTCGAGCAATCCTAGTGCTGTAAGTCATATAGCCCAAGTTTTCTTTTATTTTAAACTTAGAAGCCATTTAAACTGCAGGAAAATTAGGCACAGACCAAGGTTTTTCAATTTTGGAGGTCATTAGACACCTTTAGTTCCAAGACCTTAAGAAAAACATGGTTTCACACCCTTCCTTCTGCCCATCAATAACATGGTGAGCATCACTTACACCAGCAAAAATTTGGGTTCTGTACTTTTTTCTCAATGATTCCATACCTGATTTTTTCTTCCTTGTTACTGGTATTTTACTAATGAAACGTTTATAGTTGATTTGTAGTCAACCTTCAGTCTTCAGTCAGCTGTTGTCTCTAGAAATCTCATCACTTAATACATATTAAGGGACGTCAGCAGATAATAATTGAAATTGAGTCTGTGCTTGTGTCTTGCTCTAAACTTTGTATTTAAGTTTGAAGGACTCATCAGTTCTTCTGAATTTTTCACCTTTTGTTATATTTTGAGGGTTAGACTCTACTTCAAGCTGCCTTTTCAAGGGACATTTGTATGATTGTTTTCCTCTTCAAGTTAACTGGTTTACAATTTTATTCCAATATTAAGATTTTTGAGATCCCTAATCCCAGGAATTTTTAAGTGGCCTTCCTCAAGATAGGAAAGAAGATTTACTAGAGTTTCCCACTTTGTTTTTATACTCAATTCCGCTTAAGGTTGTGAATTATGATGGTGTATCTAAGAATGTGACTGCTGTGGGATTTCATGAGGATGGTAAATGGATGTTCACTGGTGGGGAGGACTGTTCAGCCAGAATATGGGACTTGAGGTATGTCTGAACATAGGTGCAATTATGCTTTATAGACTGTGCATAGGATCAGGACAGCTGGATGTTGGCCGAATGAATGTTCATTTTTCACAACTGTTTTAAGATCATTAAGAATTAGACAAAAACTACCTCAAGTGAAAGTATAACATTGCATTTGTTTTTGTTGTTTTTTTTCCTTATTTCAGGTCTCATAATTTACAGTGTCAAAGAGTGTTTCAAGTGAATGCTCCAGTAAACTGTGTTTGCCTTCATCCAAATCAGGTTACTAAACTTAAAGGAAAGAAATAAAAGAACATATTATGATAACTAGTCATCAAGTTAGATGACCGATAATGATAAAACAGTTAGAAATACTTTTTATTGCATTCTCAATGTAATATAATGAGGTTTGAGTGATGATTTGGTGGCTGATTTATGTGAGAATCCTGTTAGAAAATGAAATAAAGCAAAAGAAAAAATACAGAAACTTATTTGTAATATTTTGTTTGATACTATTGATCATGAATAACTGAATGTGAAATTTATCATTTTTAGGGTGAGCTTATTGTCGGTGATCAAAGTGGTGCAATTCACATGTGGGATCTTAAAACAGATCACAATGAGCAGTTGGTGAGGAGTTTGTGCCAATAATTACATGTTGTTTTATTTTTTGTGTTTGTTTTTTAGTTCAGGGGCCTAAAGATTTTTAGAATGAACTTAATGATCACTAAAGAGCAATTTTCTGAGGAGTTTAGAGGATTACATTGCGAAAATTTTTTTGCATGAGTTATCTCACCATTATGTTTGTTTTTGTTGCATAGATTCCAGAACCAGATACCTCCATCTTGTCTATCAGCATTGATAGAGAAGCTTCCTACATGGCAGCTGTCAATAATCAGGTAATGAATAGCCGCTCAATTATTTTTATTTTATACAGTTAGGAGAAATTTGCCTTGGTGTAGTTATCATGAACAGTGTGCTTTCCCTAATATTAAATAAAGCAAGTTTCTGTCTTTCTTTCTAACAAATCCATTAGTTAGCCAGTTAGCTAGTTGATCTCAATAATTCCTTTGATCTTTTTTTGTTGGTCTTTCAGGGTAACTGCTATGTTTGGAGCTTAACTGGAGGTACAAAAGATGACCCAACTATGCTGCACCCCAGGACAAAAATTCCTAAGGCACATAAAAGAGCAGCTTTAAAGTGCCTTTTTAGTCCAGACTCATGGTATGTCCTCCACAGGTTCCCCTAAGTAATTGTGTCCTAAAAGCTTAGTCTATGAGACTGACTGACCACTTCCCTTGCAATTGACTCTATTTAAATCATCCTATGTCAAATGTCTTAATTCTTTCACTCCCAGAGGTGATTAGGATGTAACTTCTCCCCGTAATATCTATCACTTTCCAAAAAACAGGTAATGAGAATACTCAAACCTATCAGGTAGAAGTTGTTATGTTGATCCAACACCAAATTCTTGTTACTTACTACAAGGAAATTTTTAGCAGCCAGAGTAGAGAATTAACAATAACATCTTAGAAGTTAAAGGTTAACTCTTTCACTCTTTCTTTGATGGCAAGATTTCTGATTAAACTTTGTATTGACCTCATCAAACTCTAATCCTCTGATTTTCTAGCTTTCTAGCCACAACATCTGCAGACACAACAGTCAATATTTGGCAGACTGCAGATTTCTCCCTTAAGAAAACTCTGAAAGAAACCAATCAAAGATGGGTTTGGGATTGTGCCTTCTCTGAGGATTCACAGTACCTTATCACAGGTAAAGAAATCCTGTACATTGTACTACTCTAGGTTTGTTCATAACATAAGTCAAAATGCTTGTTTTGCTAATGCATATTGGAAGGGCTTTACTGTGGGAATTACAAAAATTATGATCTCTCTAATTTGATTCACGTTGTTGAGCATACTGTCTGGTATTTGTTGACCTAAAGTGCAAAAATCTGGTAATGAACAAACCTGCTGTCTTGTACCATTCACATTGTTCCAGAGTGATGCTCAGTCTCTTTAGCTATGATGTTTAGACAATGCTATCTTATGGTAATTATCAAAGTTTACAGACTGTTTTATAGTAACAATATTGTTGTCATAATCTATTAACACTTTAACCCTCAGAAGTGATTAACATGTCACTTCTCTCTTGAGTATCCATTCATTATCCAGTAAACAGTTAATGAGGATACTTAGACCTATCATTTAGAAGTTGTTATCTTGATCTAACACAAAATTCTCATCACTAATTTACAAGGAAATGTCTAGCAGCTAGAGGGTATTATAAGCAATCATTTCTTGGGAGTTTAAGGTTTTAACCCTTTAACTCCCACACCAAGTTTGTAATTCTACTTACTGTCAACCATACAGTTCTTAAAATGTTAGTTCAAAGAATTTAGTATTGTATCAACTAATTATTCCCAAATTGATATTTTTCTCATTCTCATCACTTATCTATTTGATATTGTATTGATATGGTAAGGAGAAATTCTGTCTCGGTCACTCATGGGAATTTAAGGTTTTAATTGTGTTTGTTTTCTTGTATCCTTGCCAGCATCCTCTGATAACATGGCTCGGCTGTGGAATCTTGATCAGGGGGAGGTGGTTCGAGAGTACAGTGGACATCAGAAGGCTGTGGTTGCTCTTGCATTTAGAGATGCCCATGCTGTATGACAATCAATTAAATAGAGAAAAAAAAATTTATGTAAAATAGAGAAAAAATTTTGTCATGCATTTTGTTCTCCTTTTAGTCAAAATGGAGTCCCTTAAGGCCACAGGGTGAATTGGGGCCAGGTTTTGATATGTATACCTATTTGTTCATGCCATACTAAGCTTCCCTTTACTAATTACTTTAACTTTACATCATTTACTTTTATTACTTTCTGTCAAATCAAGTCTTGAAAGAAGTTTAATAAAATGTTATTATCTTGTGTAGTTGTGTATTGAAATAACCTGGTAGCAACACCTGACTAAGATTGCCATTCACCCCCCCCCCCCCTCTGCATGGTCAAAGCCTAAGATAGAAGAGATTCATTTTCTCACTAGCTGGGGTTATTTGGTATTACTTTGATGGTATGACTCTTGCAATTTTCAAGTATTTACAAGCTCTGCCTTTTACTCTATCTGCTCATAAAATGTGGATAGTTTTCAGCTTGCTTGACCCCGCACTGCTTTCATCAAATTACTTGGGTTCTTTCATACCGAATCCATTCCCCACCCCACCCCTCTAAGAACATTAGCTTCTTTCATAAGCCTCGTTCTTGTGTATGTGGGCCGGGCAGGAAGGGAAAGGGGCCTCTCCATCGCAATTGTTCAAGTATGCAACCGGTTTTCTCCCCATTTTAGTCCTGAACCTCGAGGGTGAACAGTGCAAGTTTGAGTCCTTACTTCTTTGTTTTACGGTGAAAATCTGTACTTTTTCTCTGCGAGGCAACGAAACTAAAGGTGTGACGCTCAAAGTTTCGGCCAAGGACTCGACTCTACTACAGAGAAAGCCTGGGAGAATTTTACTTTCGTAGTTACTATGCCGTAGATAGCGGTTCCACGTTGCGTTCATTCCCTGCATTTTCCTGAGAGGGAAGGACTTGTACATGAAGCATAATTTGTGATTATCGTAGAAGAGATGTGTTGTGGTCAACTAAATCATTCTGGAAGAGATTGGTGGTAAATGACAGTTGAAACACGAAATTATAGCGACGTGCAGACGTAAACCTAAAAATTTTTGATCATGGTGAGTAAACTCTCTTTTCATCGTCATGGGGTCTTGGAAAATATGAACGATCACGGACTTAATGTGTCATGTCTGTAATTAGCCAAATTGTTGTGTTTCATATACTTTGAGATGCGATTGCTTGACCTTTGTCAATGATGGCGTGATTCCCATCTACTTTCACATTTTGCATCATAACCAAAATTGGATACAAGGGAAGTATGCTTTATTTGACAATTTTAGTAGAAAACTGATCTCTTTATTTTGGGAATAGTGAGGACTTGCCATTTATTCATTTTTCAAATAATTAAATTAGGTCATGATATACATACCTCTTGGTTCTGTTGGTTGCCCTGTTTCTTGTCCAAATATGGTCACACTTCACTCAGTATCTATCACCTATATGTCTGTGATAAATGATGCAGATCAAATGATCTGTGAGTCATAGCAAAGAAACTGCCTAAAGTTTTAATATAAGACAAAAGTATGTCCCAGTTTTTTGCCAACTTAGAACACCACATGCTTTTTGTATGAATTAGTAGGATAATTTAAACCTACTTCTTAGGAACTGAAGGAAAGAAAAGGCCAAGCCAGCTCATGCTGCTGGAACCCTTAGCAGTGTCCATGGCATTGATGACTAAGAGTATTGCTTTTCTTTGTCATTCCCCCTGACAACTCAATTGATGAAGCCAGTTATCTTGTCTTACCCTCTCTCCTTCCCCCCACCAATGCAACACCATTTAAAACTTATCCCCAAACATTAATTTAAGTTTCCCTGATTCTTTGCTGGCAGCCATTTATTCTCCTTGCTGTATAGAGAGGAAAATAAGAAAACAGTATGACAAGCTGGCTCAAGCATGTACCTAGACCTTTTGAAATACAATAACTCTTCATCTTAATCATAAGGATAGCTTGTCAAGATACTTTCATCATGTACACCAACCATTGGTGACTCGAAGCTATGAAAATTTTATCCTGAAAGTGCTTGGAATTCATAGTGGACACAATGATTCACGTCCATAGAACCTAAAGATGGCTGATATAATAATAAAACTTGTTACGGTGTCACATATATATCTTCTTTTTTTCCTCAGTCTTCAGATGCAGCATCCCTTCATGCTTTGGAAGTGCTTATGAATGAATTTTTTGATTCTTCTACAGACAACAATCGCAAAAGAGAAATAGGTATTTGACTTAACTAAGTGAACTGGTATACTTACTGGCAAATGAAGGGGTATGTGGGATTAAGCCCTAAGTGACTTTTGATGCAGCATCAACTTCTCGCTGTGTTTCAAAATGGAATATGAGACAGTTTGAAAGGAGAATCTAGCAATTGATAGTCTAACAGAAGAATTATATGATATTATTTCATGCATTGTTTTAAAGGATGAGAAGTAAAACATAATTGTCCTTAAATCATTTTTTAGTGATTTCATGTTTTTGAATGGTATTATTATGATTGTAAAATAGTGAACTACTTCTCAATGATAAGCAATAAAGGTTTTCCTTTTTTGTTATTCTACAAGCCATGTGTTTCAAGTTTGTTATGGTGGGGTGAAGCAGGAAGACTTTCAAATTATCTACCACATTATTCTTGTCCAGGCAAATGGTACAAAGTATTTCCCCTTATTTGGCAGATTTTTGAGGATTCTATTGAGATTACAGCCAGAAGAAATTTTTTTGTATTACAAGGGGTACAAAGAATGAAGTCATAAGTGGTTTTTGACATAACATCCAAATTCTCTCTGTCTTACAAAGAAATTCTAGAAATTTTGGAGGAAGATCTAGCTGCTATCATAGTCATTTAAGTCTTTTTTATACACCCTTTTCGATTATAATTATAGTTACCTCCTGATAATCAATATTATTACTGCTTTGTTGGGCATTGTGGTGCATTTAGAGGGCTAAAATGGTCATTTACATTTTAATAGAGAGAGTAAGTTTGTAAAGAAACTGTTATGGTGATACTGCATTGGTGGGAGAGTTTAACAGGGTAGTTTAGTACTATCAACTGAGTTTATAATGTAAATTGGCCACCATAAAGAGTTTAAAAGTTGACATTTTGAGGGTTACCCCTTTTTCAGAGCTTAACATTATCAACTCAGTTGATAATACCAAATTACCATTAACATTTTAGCTGTGTTGTACCCTGGTTGATTGTTAGGAATGTTTTGTTGTCTTTTTTTTTTTTTGGTTTTTACTTTCTCAGTGCCTTCCTTAAGTGATTATAATAATATTGACATTTATGTTTTGGGACTGTCTCAGTTTACCCTGAGCTACTAGGTATGGTTTAAAACGACTCTGAGTCAGGCTCAAAACCAAAGTTTTAGCAGTGGACAAAGACTGTTGTTTTAATAATTTAACAGTAATGATTTTGTCTCTTCTTAGAACAAGTTTTACAAAACTTTAGCCAACAATCAGGCGCATGGCACCACTGTGTGTATTTTATGAACAACTGTTCAAATCAGTATGTTCTTATGTATGCAGTTTCAGTGTTTGAGGTTAGTCAAAAATGTTTTCATCTATTTATCATATAATCATGAAATATCTATTCAGTACCTGTCATTTAATACCCAAAGCTTGACTTTTTTAAGTGCCTTTGAGGTAATTGATTCTGATCTCATTTGCAAAAAAAGGCACCCGATCACTAAGCAAGTGTACAGTGCTCTTTGTTTATACACTAGGTCTCAAATATCCTCTTAAGAAGCTCAAATACCCTCTAACAAGGCTCATCTGTCTAGAATTGGCTTTTCTTAAGTGCCACTTGTAGTTAAAAAGACCATTAAGTCAGGACAAACCTGTAGAAGGTTCATTTATATGGAGCTAAAGGTGAGATAACTCAGGAAGCAATCAAGGATGATGTGAATCATGAAACCAGTGGTGCAGCCATAATCATTATCACACAGTACTAAGTCTGACTTTCTTATTTTATCAGTATCTCAGGGAAACTTTATCAATTATTGACTTGATTTCTGTATCATAGAATCTCATTAATAAACAATGGATAGGAACACAAGCTGGAGATAAGGCTGAGGTCCGTCATTTTCTCAATGATTATCTGTTGTCATATCACAAGAAGCTGCCATCATACATCAGAAACAAGCTTATTAAAGTTATTGTCGATATTGGAAGGGTTGACTGGCCACATTTCTACCCAAACTTTTTCTCAAGTATTATAGAGGTAAGTTCTTTTTTCTCTGTTCTGTTGAATTAAAGTCACTCTTCTCACTTGCATGTAGTTTGTACAGTGTATCTCAGAGGCACTTAGCCTAAAATACACATGAACAGCATAATTATTTAAGAAAGTGTGCAAATGCGTGCAACTTTTCAAACTGCATTCAAAAATGCATTCAAAAGAAGTGTATTAATATGTATGTGGCAGTCTTTTGTTTTACTATTACTCACCCTATAAATGATTTACTCTTTACTCACCCTATAAATAAGTCCTCTCTCAAGGTTTTCTCCCATTCAAAAACTGACAGTTATTAAGGCTTTCATACCGTACACACATGTACATATTTATGAGTAATTCCCTCTTACTGAAGATTTAAAATGCACTGACCACGCTAACCCTGAGGATGATTCACTGCCAAGGATTAGTTTATCTAAGAGCCATGTTGTGTTTTTCTTTTTCATAATTCAGTTACTTTATAAAGAAAACATAACTCCTTCATTTAATGACTTACATGTAGGTAAAGGTCACCATCTTTCTCAGATGTGCTCAATGTTGCAGATCTTTGTACCAAATGCAAACTAATTAATTAACTTACATTGCCAACAAGTTCTGTGGGGCCTGGTAAACAAGGCATTTGACGACAAATCATAATTTGCAGGGTTTCAAATTTTTTAAGGAGACTCAAAACTGTTCTTTGTACCCTGCAAGTGATAAGTATTCATTTTTTCAGTTTCTCCAGCAACCTTCAACAGTAGCATTGGGCTTGCTCATGCTTCAGACAACGTCAGAAGAATTGGCCTCACCCAGGGAGGATTTGAGTATTGCTAGAAAGACTGAAGTACATAGGCTGTTGCTTAATGAAGTTCCCGGCATCCTCTCTTTACTGACTCATTTGTTGGACAGAGTCTTAGAAAAACACCGTCGACTTGCAACAACAGTTACCCCACCTCCTTCCCCCACTCATGGAATATCACCAGCCAGGAGTTCTAGTCCTACAGTTTCAGGATCAAGTTCATTGTCAATATTTACTTCAGCACCCTCCGCAGATCTGTCACTCCAACATGCAGGGAGTAGTAACCTCATGGGACGATTATTGAATAATTCACCAATGAAATCTAGACAGAATTTAGGACATCCACTGCCACCTTTAGACTCAGAATCTGAAGAGATCAGTTCTCTAGTACTTAAATGTTTAGCACATCTGTTTAGCTGGATCCCTCTGTCGTCCACCATTACACCTTCACTTGTGTCCACTGTGTTTTATCTTGCGGAGTTTGGCTGCAGTGTAGTTCCATCCAGCTCTGGTAGTAGTGTTGTGAGTAATGCAGAACTAGGTGAGAATGAATTTACTACCTTAAACTTTTAGTGTTACTTCAAACATTAGTGCTTATTGAGGTAACTGGAAGCTTCAACTGTGGGGCTTAGTAATAGTGCTTCAACTCCCAAACGTGATTAACTTGCAACTTCTCCCTAAAATATCTGTACATTTTTCAGCAAACATGCTATGAGAATGTTCAAACTTATTAGTAGAATTTGTTGTATTGATCTTGCATCAAATTCTGATAACTAATTTACAAGGAAATGTGTGGCAGCTGGAGGGGAAAGTAGACAATCAGATCTTGGGAGTTAAAGGTTTCACCATTTAACCAATTTACCCTACAATTTCCATAAGTGACCAAGACAGAATCTCTCCTTACATTATAAATACAATATCAAGTAAACAAGTGATGAGAATAAAGAAAAATATTAATTAAGGGATTATAAGTCAGTCCAATGCCACGTTTTCTGATTTAACATCATTAGAATTGTACAGTATGGCAAACGGTAAGGAGAGATACTAATATGATCATGGGAGTGGAAAAATTAAATATCTAGAGAGACACCTAAGTCCTTGGAAGTATGTGGTTAATTTCTTGAATGCTCATTTTCCTAAAAAATCCCCATTATTTTAGCCAAATACTGTCATTCCTTCCCAAGTCAAACTTCCTTACTAATGAGATGGAGCAACATATTCTATAATAATTTAACAATTGTCCTGTTGTGTTTTGCTTCCTGTAGGTGTCTCAGCAATGACTTGTATTAATGAACTGTTGTCTAAGAATTGTGTGCCTGTAGAGTTTGAAGAGTTCTTGCTGAAGTTGTTTCAGCAAACATTTCAGCTGTTGCAGAGAATAACAAAAGATACAGGGGCTCAAGCTGTGGAAAACCTTCTCACAGAACAAGATGAAAGGTGAGGATGTAAAAAGTATTATGTAGACATTTAGAGCAATTTCTTCCCCTAAAGTAATTGTTGTGCCCCTTTCATTTCTCCCCTTTCCTCCAAAAGAGATAATATGGTCTTGTCCAAAATACATAATATTGCAAAATGATCTGCCTGACCAGGTTAGGTCCAGTGATGTACTCACCATCAGGCCAATGTATCCCTTGCACTGATCCTACCAGCATAATGCGCTTTGATGGAACTGTTTTATTATAAATGTGATGACTTTTTTTGCACTGATTTACCCTCACATTTTTCAGAATGGTATCGGCAATTCCTCAGGATTTCTGTTATCTGTAAATACAAATAAATATTCTAACATGTCTGTCTTACTCATTTTATTTCAGTTACTTGAATAAATTTACAGAGTTCTTGAGACTTTTTGTGAGTATACACTTGAGAAGATTTGAAAACAGCTCCCATTTCCCAGTTCTTGAGCTGTTGATGTTGCTCTTCAAATATACATTCAAACAGGTCAGTAAAAGAATTGAACACTCTTTCTGTGTAATTCTTTTCCCTTACTTATGCTTTGGCATAAAGCTAAATCTTTCATGCTATGAAAGTCTAATTTGTTTATAAACCTCCTGCAAATTTCTGGGCCTCTTGGGATATAAATGGATGAAGGGACAAAGAATCTGTTTACTGGTTTAGCAGTTAAAATAAATTTTACTTTTTACCTGACTGTTAATTTCTTCTTATTGAGAGTACTTGTCATTATTTAGCCTCAGCTGGAAGGCTTTTTTGCCTGCTTGGACATTTGGACTGTGTTTCTAGACTATCTTATTGGAAAAGTGGCCAATGCAAGAAGTGATAAGCTTGCAGAAGCAGAGGCTACTGTTAGCAGGTTTGTTCAATAATAATCAATAATCCAACATACTCTTGAGAACTGAAACAAAATAAGTATTGGCAGCACACATTTAAGTGAGTTAATGCCTTATAAAGTTATCAGATTTTTTAATGTTTCACTACCATTAAGTCATGTGGACATGAAGACATGTTTATAATGCCTAAAGATTCATCACCTCCTTACAATTTCAAATGGAAATTATGTTTTTTATAATCAACTTTACCACCACTCAAGCAATCTGTTCCTGTAAGAAGTTTTTTACCTACTTTTTCATCAAACTAAAATTAAATTTTTCATGATCAAAAGATGAACCATGGGTTTTTTTTCCATCATGTGACCTCGAAGATAGAATTACCAGTTTACAAAGCTATCCCTATTAGCCCAAGGCTATCAGAGAGCTTTTTTCACTCGTGTATGCCCCGTTGTTGGTTTCAGGGTTTTAAAAAGTTTTGTTGTGTACTGTGTGTTACTAGAAACAAACAGACTTTGTACTTTTGGTTTCAGGTATAAAGAAGTGTTGCTGATGTTGATAACAGAGCTGCTGAAAAAAATTCAATTCCGACATAATCGAAAGCAACTTGAGGAGTTGGACGATGAAACACTAGATGATGATGTAAGTTGACAATGAATTTTTTTTTTATTACACATGAATTTAGGAAAATCAATTGCTTTAATCATTTGATATTTAATAATTTTACTACACAAAAATTCTTTAAAGATTGAAGGAACTATCAGTATTTGGTGTTTTGTTTAAATTCAGTCTGAAACAGAGTGGCAAGCATTTCAAAGAAATTGCCTGGAAATTGTAGCAAAGTTAGCAGAACTCCTACCTGGAGAGACATTCTCCCTGCTGGTAAGAGGAAGTTATTTGTTTCATTTTCTTGCTCTATGCACTGGTGCTCTTTAATAAGAGTAAAAGTTTTGCATCCTCTACCAGAAAGTTAAATTTTTCATTAACATGTACCAGTAGTTAATCTTTTGTTCTCTTTTATTATTTTTAGTTCCCTCTATTTAGTGAATATTGTGATGTGTACATTGGTCTTGGAGAGTTTGTTACCAAAACTGCACATGGTAAGATTGTTGTTATTGTCACAGAAATGTAGATGTTAATTATGATAATGTTATAATAATTCTCAGACTCAAATTATGACAAATGTATGGTAGACAGCACAGAGAATCTACATTTAGATCTTGGGAGTGAAATGGTTAATTTGGATCAATGTCAGTATCTGAGCAACTGTGCACCAACTCCTAACCTACCCTTCCCTTAACCCCAACTTGTTATCAATTGACTGTGGTTGGGGTTAGGGGAGGGGTAGGTGCGTAGTTATGCAGATACTGACATTAATTTCAACATTTCCTTTTGTTCCCAGGCCTTCAGCTTGGGATCAGCGGTGAAAATGAATGTCATCAATTGCACTGTTCACTCAGAGACTTGACCACTATGGAGCGTGCCCTGGGACGACTGTCAGAACACTTTATCGGTGAAGTGAATTTTGCCAACAGATTTAGTGATGGGGAGGCTATTGTTGAAAGACTTGGACAGATTGCATTATTTGGCACACAAAGTCAGTTGTTTGCAGTTCATACAGCCATGCCTAATATTCTTCAACCTGACCTCATTGAAGTGTAAGACAGAAGTTTTTAAATCATAAAATAAAAAATTCATTTTGGATGAAAGATTGCCACCAGCATTTTATCAGGGTTTCCCTAATAGGAAACTGTTGCTCATCTAATTTTTTGGTGTGACTGAGGCTCTGTGGGAGTAAACTGCTTGGCTCAAGAGCGCAATAAAATGACCCCTGGGTTGACTTTAACCCAAACATTTTTGTTCACGCCCAGAACAATTATCCAAGTTTGAGCTTTAATAGGACAGGACAGGGTACTTCTGTGCTGGGCAGTTGTTTCTTACAGTGCTACTCTCTACCTTGTGATTTCCATCAAGAGCAATTTAGCTGGTGTGCAGACTTGACGTTACGTGTAATCTGTATTTGATGATTTTCTTTGCCTCTTTAAGCCACGCCCAAGGACTTGCTGCATTTCAAGCTTACTGCCACTGGATGGCTCAGTATTATTTGGAAACACACAGACAACAACAGCATCAAGAAAAGTTTGTGACGCTTGTCTCAAATGCAATCGATTCTCTGGTTCCTTTGATGAACAAGGAAGTAAGTTCTTGTCGCTTCGTCTTTTTGTTTGTGTACCATGTATTTGTTACAACTGGCCACCTCTCTTAAGTTTTCACCGTGCAATAAAATCCCAAAAAAAAGTCTAAGAGACAAGTCGTTTTAACCGCAGGTTCCTCAAAGAGTTTCTTTACCAGCATCCCACCTTCTCAACTCCTTGGCAACAACTGTACGTCCATCATTTATGACTGCTCTGGATAAAGTACAGAAGCTCTTCCATGATGTTAGCAGTGGTTCATTATCTGACTTGCCACTTGAGGTACAAATTACCGTCTAAAGTGTACATATTATTATTGGTAGTATCTCGACTTACTTCGAAGAAGGTTTTTCTCCTGTGTAAAAGTGTGGTTAATTTATCCTCAACAGGTCCAGACCTTAGTTATACGGTCTTTGTCAAATGCGTTAGTGTTACCTTGGCCAAATAAAGCTGACAATGAACAGGTAAGGATTGAAGTTAATGTGAGATTTCATATGGATATTACCCGTTCTATGGCACTATGGAATTGTTCTATTTTGCGCTTTTAAGTTTTTAGTTTGATAACATTGCCGCATTCTTATGTCCAGGAATGGGAGGTGCGCTCTCAAAGTCATCAAACCTTAATGCATAGCATCAAACAGCCTTTCAAGAGTATTGTGGAAACACCAGGTTTTTCTGGAAACAAACAGCTGCAGGAAAATGGTGAGTCTGTACGGTTTAACTTGTTGTTTCATAGTGACAGTTGGTCTAATCAATGGTTTGGCTGAGGGGGGCTCAAATAAAACTTACTAAAAATAACTGTGAACATACGAAAGCGGAGATCGCTTTCTTATTCACAAAACTTAATATAACACTTCAAGAGAGTCGGTTTCAAGAAATACTTGCAAAGAACCGTCGCAAAAAAAAAATTACAAACGAAGCTGTTACTTTGCTTACTGTCTCACGATAAACCGCTCCATTTTTAGACAATTATTGATAGTGTTATCACATTTTTCATGATATTTCACTGATTTTATGTGAATGATCGATTTATCCACAGCCAAGCCTCTTCTTCACTTCACCTTGCACGTGCTGGCTGATTTGATGTCTGCCGCAACAGAAGACCAGGTTACCAAGACTAAACTCATTCTGTACCAGTCCATCTCAGACGTAGTTCAAATCACAATTAATATTTTTCCGGTCTACATCCACTATCCAGGTAAGAATAAAGTTGTAGGAAGATTTAAACACAATACCATACCATGAGGAAGGAAGGTTAAGTTTTAACTCACACTATTATACACCTTCTCCTTTCAGAATCCGGTATGAAACAATTATTGTACGTTACCGTGGCAACTCGCTTCATGAGCGAAGTATTTTTAATTAGGTTCTACACATTATCATCACTTTAATGATTAAATATTGTAACAAAAGGCTGCCAGTCGTGGCAAGGTACAATATTAACAAAGTCAGGCAAACGACACCTTTGAAGTGCTTATATATCGACCATCAACACATATATATTTACTTATGTCTCATGTCACAGATACAACCGATGAGATCCTGGGCTTCCTGTTGATGTTGTTCGAGAATTTGAAGGTTCAACTTGGTCCAGCGGTGACAGAACAGATCGTTCAACCACTTCTTCACACCTTCACTCGCCAGCAGTTGTCCGAAATTCTACATCATGAGAGTACAGCTGGCTCGCGGGTCATCAACAAGTTCCTGAAGATCCTGCAGCTGTTGGTGCAAGAACCTGCTGCATCTTTCAAGGCTTTCCTCCCTAATATTATCGGGTTATGTATGGAGCAGTTATATCCGATTTTAGCCGAGGTAAATTTCTCTTTTTCACTCTGAATAGTTTTTGCATACACTCCACACAAACAAGAATGCGTCGGGAATCTTTTCTACCTGATCTTGTGGTTCAACCTTTCATAGTTTCGATCTAAGAAGTAACACCTCATTTCATGACAAAGAAACCGTGGTGTTGTTGATACTGATTAATTATCTTTTTTTTTTCTTTCTTCCTTCCTTTTTCTTCAGCAACCGTGCCCCGACATCAAATGTGAATTTTACGAGTTACTCCATCAGTTACTACTGCACAACTGGCGTTACTTCTTTCGTGCGTCTCTTCTGGCTTATATGTCAATGGCCGAGGAGACTGTGGAGAACCAGGCCCAGTTTAACTCCGTTATGCAGGTTTGCAACAGATTTGATCCTTGCTGTAACTTGCGAGCTTCAAATAAAGCTTGAAATCACATTAGACGCTGCCGTTCTCTCATATCGGAAAACTCGAATTTCCACGAAGAGCAATTGTCTGGCAAGTCTCGAAAATATTCTGAGATAGTATTTTTTTGTGTGTGTGCCCTATTACGACCTTTGATTGTTGTAGAAAACTAAGGCTGGTTTCTCGATAAAGGAGATGAAAAACAAAACCCAGTTGCCCTTCGAGAATTCTAAATTTCATTTGTTTTGGATTGCTCTTGTGATTTGTCAGTTTATAGTTGGACCAAAACTTAAATCTGCGTTCCTTACTTTTAAAGCACGTTAGATGTAGGAAGCACCCTTAGAGTAGCAGTATTTTGCTGATTTACGATTCTTTGATGTATGTGTGGTTTTATTTACAGGCCTTTGGACAGTCTTTTCTTCAACCAGACATCACGGTTTTCAAGCAGAATATCGAAGCTTTAGAAAACCTGAACTCCAAGTGTAAACTTTATCAAAAGGTTTGTCCTGCTCACCCCTCTGACAAACTCCAGCACAAGCTTTTTCATTGTTGTCAGAATTCCGTAAGCTAATCTTTCTGACGAAGGGCTAATTCCAGAAGCCCTAGCCCTAGAAACTCTTTACGGCAGCCACTTCTATCTTGTAATTACTTTAGAAACTTACCCTCATTATTTCTTAAGAGTAGACGAGCCCGTTGCTGTTTTGGCACGGTTTTGCTGAAAGGAATGGAATTAGCATACGGATTGCGCGCTTAAAGTTTTTGTATCACAAATTATGTTGGCTCGTTTTTTATATCAAAATTCCAGTTGTTTTCAGTGTCAGCGAAGCTCCAACCTATTCCCAGGTCCTTTTAAGGAATATCGTCTCATCAAAAACCAGATTACCATGATTAAATTTATCTAAAATTTACGGCACACGTTGCAGAGAATTGCAATTTATATCGTGGGATTGAAACTGATAAGTGACAGATTTTTTGGAGCTCACTCTAAAGTTAAGCTATGACGATAACTCGTCCTTTACACTCCCTGGAAATGACCACTCTTTCCCTCCTTTTCAGCGCATTTTTAAAGACAGTATGCTTCTTCAATTCGTGAACGTCTTCCTTCAAGCGCTGGTGTTTAGATCACATGACCTGTTGCAAGAAGAGATCACGATCACCTTGTACAACATGGCAGCTGTGGACTTTGACTCCTTCTACTCAGTGTTCTTACCTCAATTTCTCGGAGGCTGTGAAGGGCTTACCGACTCACAAAAGACTGAACTGGGAAATAATTTCACACCTGATAAGGTAGTTACTAAAAACGATTATGAAGAGACAGTGTGAGTGATAAGTAGGGGCGTGTCCAAGAATTTCTCAGGTGGAGTGGATCCAAACCTCGACTCAGAAAACGCAAGACTTTTTTACAGTAAAGCCAGAATAAGCTTAGAAATTCGTGCTAAGGGAGGAAACATGCGATGTTATCATTGTACTAAAAAAAACTACATGTCCGATTGTTCGACATAATTTTTACCGGTCTGCCAACTACTGTCTTTACGTGGAGAGAAATGTTGGCATAGCGACCGGTCATTAGTTTTCGCTGAGGGTAGGGGTGCGGAAGATTTTGGTTGTGTTACGAGAACATTTACCTAATCCCACATAAAGCTCTGTAACATTCCTTTTGTCTCCTGTCGTTTGCAGTTAGTTAGTAGTCTGTTGGCGATGACCAACCCCCCTTCCGTTCCCTCCTGAATATCATGTGGTCCCCGACCCTCCCCCCTTCTTTCAGGCAATAACAAGTGACTGACCCCTTATTGTTATTCATTTTACATTTAGTGTCTGACAGTATTATTGTATCTTTCCAATAGGATCTACCATCTTTTACTCAGAGTATTCACCGATTTGTCGGCGACTTACGGTACTACAGACTATGTAACAGCAGCCTGCCTTCAGGAACCGTCAAGTTTTAGAACAAATTTATTTAGGAAAAAAAAAAGGGAAAAAAAAGGAAAAAATTATGTATTTTATGGCTGTTTAAATTATGACTTCTATGTATTTTTAATCGAGTTGCCTGTGCTCGTGTAATTTATATATCTGTAACTATTCTTGTGTAGTTCATGCTCGTGTAATTAAGGTATAATTATTGTATAACGATCCCAAAGTGGTAAAAAGAGGCAAGAGTCTCTGCTATAATGAAAATACTGTATATTTTTTTATATTTACAAAATTGGTACAGTGTAATTTGCAAGAAAGCAAAATGGAATAATTTTCCCGAAGAAGTTTTAATTATGTGTGAACCTCCTCAGTGAATAAAATGAATGTAAATGGTTTACTTTCGACCTCATTCCTCTTATTCTTTAACCCCTAAGAGTGACCAGCGTCTAATTTCTCCTTACAATATCACCCCTGAATCAAACATTCAGGTAATGAGAATAAAAGAAATGATCACCAACCAGTGAAGCTCTGGATTATGAAACAAATTCTCCTCATCGGTACCTTAGGAAATGTCTAGAGAACAGTATGGAGATTAGGCATACTTATGTTAGGGTGGAAAAGATTAATGTTAAGCTAGTGAATAAGAATTGAGGCGAGGAGAACTTTGTTACAGCATTTGCATTTGATTTGTACAAGGCGAGTCTTCAGAGTCTTCAGAAGTATATGAAGCTTTAAGTATTCCGCGTTTTGTCGGAAGCCTAAGTTTAAATTCGGGCTCGTTTGTAGGCAGCCACAGATCGCCGTCGAGGTTTTTCTGTAAAGCCCTTGCGTCAGACAAGTTTTTGACATACAGGCTTGAAAGAGCGGTTGAAAAGCAGATCGAAGTCACACTTTTTCTGACCCCTCCTAATCATCTTGACTCATTCTGATGTACGCCAAATGTTTTTAAAAATTTACATTGCAAATATATTAATCCTCATTTGATATTCATCTCACTGAGTTTTACAAAGATCTTCGCACGCCCAGCGCACAACTTCGCTTGGTTGCTTGATTTTGAGCTATTTGCCTTTGGTTACAATTTAGGTTGCAGACAAATGATGGCTCAGCATGATTTAGATAGTCCGAACGGCTGGCAGTTGGAGCTAACTTGTACGTTGGTCTGTAACATTGCTTTTTTTAAGTAACGATCCTTGCACGTGGCCCGGTCGACTCAGTCAAGGCATGAAGAAACGACGTCTTGATCTTCTTTGAATTCAGGTGAGTTATCTAGTTTCGTTCTCCTGCGCTTAGCTTTTAGCTACGAATAATTAAACCGGCTTTTGAGAAAGAAATGGTGCTTTAATTTTAAGCATAGAGTGACGACCATATCTCTTCTTTACATCAGCTACCTGCCGGCTGTGGCTGGATGTTTATCTCTAACGGCTTTGCTTCTTACTTAGAATGAGGAGAACATGAAAATGTAGATATAATTATTGGAATGTATTCGTCGGGGACAAAAAGGAACGAAAATAAACCATTTTAGATATTTATAGAAGTAGGCAACATTGACCTTTAACTCCCAGGATCTAGTTGTTAATTCTCCCCTCTTGATGCTACACATTACGAAAATTTGGTGTTAGATTAAGATAACAACTTCAATCTGATGAGCTTGAATACATTCTCAATACCTGTTTGTTGCGTAATGTGTTGCTAATTTTAGGGAGAAGTTACATATTGATCACTATTGTGTGTTAAAGGTTGAAATAGAGGCTTTGTTAGACCGCACTGCTTGGAGAGAGAAATGAACTTGATTCACGCCCCACGACATTATGAAGTTTAACCTTCCCCCCCCCCCCCCCGCCTCCTCCTACCGGTTGTTCTACCCCCTTAAATTTTATACAAGGTTTCTTCTTCAACTTCCCCTGCCTCCCTTCCCACCCTAAAGCTTCATGTTGTGTGTTAGCCATATTCACTGTTCTTTAGTAAGTAAGTTATCCGTCGTAATTGGAATTCTGCATTTATTGCCAGGCAACAGTGTATCAAGAAGAGAGGACCGTGGAGCATCAACAAGATGCAGGTTATAGAGACAGACACAGTGAATTCAGGTCAGTTTTAGAAATCGATAGAGAGCATTTCGCTTGACTTTCCATAGAAACTGCAACCAAAGTTATTTTAAAGGTCAAACAGAAAGAAGAATAAAATCAAAAGGAGTAAATGAGAACTGAAAATTATTAAAAACAAGCGATCTTCGTGAGACGTAGGTAAATGCAAGTAGCCAAGCTGCAAGAGGTTGTAGTTTGTAGTTTGAAAGGATGGCGGTGTTTTTTTTAGACCAAATTCAGAAGAAAGTAAAGCGAAACCAAAGCAATTAATACTGGACCACTTTCGACGCAAAGATTTCCGTATCTCCCAATATTAGAGAGCGTTCGAATCGAGTGTTGTGGAACCAAAACCAAATCGAAATAACAAAAGCCAATCAGAGCAGGGAAAATATCACAGGAAGCCAATGAGAACTCGAGGTTAAACAAGCTAACTGCCTGAAGCGCGATTGGCCAAGTCGCACTTGGTTTTAGTTTTAAATCTGATTGGTTGAGAGAGTGGCTCGAGTTTTTGGACCAATCACAGAACGAAGTAAAGCAAAACCAAAGTAATCCCGGATTTTTCTGGACACTTAATTGAAAATTGCTCTCTCAGAAACAAAGCCTCGGTTCCAAAACTTATCTTTATTTTCCGCAATTTTTATCAAAAAATTCTACGCGTAATGAAGTATTGGGTTACACAGAAATCTTGCCCCTTCGACTCTCCCAAAAAAATTGCCAGGTATTTAAGAAGGCAACCAAGTTAACTTCAATCCGTCGTTGGTTTCAATTAAAACCCGTCTAACCATATTAGTGGCTTGTAATACTTAATGTCCTCTCGCCTTTGACATTTCCTTGCAGGACTGCAGACGAAGCTTTTATCAATTAACAGAATCATACGAGAATGAAAAATAAAATTCCGTCTCTTTTAAGGATTGTGGGTGCAATTGTGCAAAACCAGAGGTAATTTTTTTGTCGTTTGTTTACACTTCATATCCCAACTCACTTAAGTGACGTTGCAATCATTTCATTAACATGAAGGTCAATAAAATTCATATAACACAGGTCACCTTATTTATCATCAGATCTTGTTAGACTGTATATTCCTGAGATCTGGCCCGCTTGAATATCATAAAATATTTTAACCGTAAGGGAAATTCTTCCCATTCATACAACTTGAATTTACTTGTCAGGGCGTGTTCAATATTTTCGTCTCAACTTGATACTTGCGGAAATTAAAACTAAGAGAGGAGGTTACAATAAATACTGCAAGTGAGAACAAGCAGAAGATTCTCAAAATTTTTTTTTTTAAGGTTTGAAGCAGATAATGCTTGAAGATTCAAGGAAAGGAAATATATTTTTCTGAATAAAGTTTACCAAACTTATCGCGAAGACGCTAGTTAAACTGCAAATGCACGTATGGAAAATAGATAATTGTAACTGATCAGATGTTTAAAAAGCTTGTGCTTTCAAATGGGCCTGTCACAAGTCCAAAAACAAGTTTCGGGTCTTAAGAATTTTGTTGGAAAAATTTGACCATGAAAAAATAAGTCTGCTCTTTGAATAGTGTCTAATGTTAATCCAAAAATATACTAAGTCTTTTGGCGGGAAAAATCTTGCTCAATGCTAACGATTTTCTCCCATCAAAAGGCAAGTATACTTTTTGTTTTAATGCTAGATGCTGTTCAAATATGCAGAATTTTTTTCCCTCTCGACAACCCTCCATACGCAAAAAAAAGGAAAAGAGATAGCCTATATTTTGACTTGTTACCAGGCCCTTTTAAAAGCGCGATTTTTTTTATATTTGTACACTCAATAAAAAATAATAAAGAGGAGACAATACTTGAAATAAAGTGTTTATTTTATTGCAAGTTTATTTACTTAATACAATTCTTTGAGTATAAGAAGTTTTGCAACGCGATAACTAAACAAGCCTGAAAATGTGGGCAACTACTAAGCAAAAGTCGAAAATAGTCTGAAGGGGAATAAAAGATTTATAATCTTATTGGCAAAAATTAACTAAATTCTATTACTTACCAGATTAATTACATCTCTTTGAACACTTTTTATCAGTTAAAGATAGATGAACGATCTAAAATTTGCAAAATTATCCGATGTCTAAATACCGCGACTAAAGATAATTGTCCGGAGGACACCTTCCTAAAGGCTTTTTCAAAAATCAAGCCAGAATAAGTTCAAATTTGATATTGTATTTACAAAGAGAATTGGTTCAAATCCACCAGAACTGGTTCTAACTAAAACCTCCCTGTACCTTAGATTTTGAAAAATAGAAAAGTTTTGTTTAGTTTTTACAACAAATTCTAATTTTTTCCAAGGAATTCGTTTGTTTGCACGTTGTTTTCTGTTGGCGACACCAAATTACTGTTACCTCCAAAGTATATTCCCATCTGAGTTTCCTGAACTAAGTCTTCAGTTCGAATCTCTCTCCTCTTTCCTCTCTCCTATTTCCCTCTGGATCCCTCTCCCTCTCCATGCTCGTGGTCTACAGCACCACAAGGGATATTAAAGGAACTGTAGAATAAGACAGACGAACAAGTTAAAACCAACCATACGAAACTTGCGTACGAAATCACAGTTATGAAGACCTTAATCCTTTACACCTCAACATCACTATGCATATCCTTCATATTGTTCTCCATGTATTTCTTGAGGTGCTGAGAATCTTTTAACAATCGAGAGCTTTTAAGTTGGTAATAATTTCCTTTATTCTCGTTAAAAAAAAAACATATGGAAATGTGTTTCAATTGTGAAAAAAAATTGATAGTATTACACAACAGATAAAAAATTATAGAATAAGGACATTATAATTATTAAACTCAATAAACTTGAAACGAGCGAGCTACTTTTTTTACTATTGGCCGTTAACGTCGCTGATTAATTTATGAGTAAGAAATGCAAAGTACGGTTTAACATCACCACATTTTAGAATTAAGAAAAGCTCAAATATCAAATTAAGCAAACACCACCAGACAGTTGTCAGCATAGATAAAGAAAGTCAAATATCATGAAAATTCAAAGTTTTGGAAAAACGAAGAAGTACTCACTAGCTGTCGTTTGAGTGACAATTTTTGAAGTACTCGTAAAACTCGTAAAACTTAGACAGCCTTAGCTGTTTGCGAAATTTCTCCGCTCAGATTTTTTTTCACCTTGCAAAAAGCTATAAATAAATTTTATCCGGGGACGAAAAGAGAAGCTTTTAATAAGAGTCACAACAGTTCTTTCCAAAGTGCGCGAAACGTTTGGTTACATTCCGATCATTCTTTGTTGATGATAAATCTTCGCGACAGAAAGTCAACTAGTGAAAAAAAAAACAAATATTTGCATAAAGTTCGCTCGTAAAAATTTGCCTAATTAGTTTGATTGTAATTGGGCTTGATGGATATTGAAAAATGAGAATTGTTTTAGGTAATTTGTATGATTCTTCTTTTCTGGCGATGTGGAACGAAATATGTTATAAACGAAATAACTCTTGAAAATCCTTTAGTAAAATGTTCGCACAGCCTCATATTTTCATCGTGCATTTCTTTGATAAAGAAAACAATAGACAAAAACAATAGATTGCCTTTGGGACTACGGATTTAATTTATTTTACAATAGTATGGGGCTGTGTTGAAATCTTTATACCAACAATTTTTTTCCAATTATTATGTTTTTTCCTTCTGATTCTTAAAACACTCAGAACTGTTCAAGACGCTGGCCTGATGGTTCCTCACACGAGATCACTTTGAAAACTTGCAACTGACTGACAAAAGCCGACTTGTGACGTTTCTGCTATTTTGGCTTAACCCATAAACGTGGGATTAACGCGGGTCGGTTAGCCACATGTACACTTCATGAGACTATTTTTGGTAAAATTTCCGCACAGCCCCATACTATTGTAAAACAAATCTGTTTTCCCAATGGCAATGTATTGTTTTAGTCATTGTTTTCTCTGTCCAAGAACTGAATGTATAATGTAGGATGCGGCTGAGCGGAAAAGTTAAAGACTGTTTTAGAAATTCGACGATAGAATACTGTTTTAGAATTCGATAGAATAGTGAAATAGTTAATGCGTTAAATATTTAAATCGGAAATCTACACGCTTAAACATTTCTGATATTCCTTAGTCTAAGACAAAATTTGTTTCGTATTTCGTTAATTAGCAAGAATTATTCTTTATCTGGGTAAAATTTCCGCACAGCCCCATACTACATTATGCATTCAGTTCTTGGATAGAGAAAACAATGACAAAACAATACATTGCCATTGGGAAAACAGATTTGTTTTACAATAGTATGGGGCTGTGCGAAAATTTTACCTTCAACTGTTTTACAATTTTCAAGTCGATTTGAATTTTTTGTTCGCAAAGCAAAGAATGTTCATGTTTACCCAGCTGCTGGTGGACTGTGGCATGTTACAATCAATGGCTTAATGTGCCATAAAACTGTTCTCAGCTTATTTTCTATCGTTCCCTTGACTAAGCGAGGAGATACGAGTGTGGCATCGGTGCTTTTCGAGAGCTTCTTCGAAACTTTTCCTCTGTTGATTTGGAATTCTCCTATCTTCACCAAGTGCACCATATTAGAACTTAAGAACCTGTACTCTCACCGTGTGTTCTGTTTTCCATGTCAGTTGACGGTTTTCATAGCCCCTCAGCCACTTTAGACGCTAAGCTTAATAAGCTTACGAGTTTCCTTGGCCTTTTTACCTTACGAGTGATACAGTTCAGACCACGAGGATTCGTAAAATGGAAATTAGTTGAAAAGGTTTCCGCACGTGCAAATTCATCCTTGCAAATATTAAAAACTTTGAAAACGAGGTTGGTATAAGTTTGGTGTAAATTCATCAAGGCTATTGTAGACTAATTGCCAGATAAAAAAAAAAAAAACTAGAAGAAGCAGTCAACAACGCCCAAATATTTTTTAAAGTGATTTCTTCAGAGGCTGAGTAAAGAAGAGAAAATACTCTTAAAACAATAGCTTTGCGACATTGTAGAGAATCACTCTCAAAAGACTTCAGTTACATTTAGAAAGGAGGCATCTGAAATTCATCGCTCCGCAGTTGTATTTGCAAGCTCGGAAAGATGGAACAGATAAAAACGGAACTAAGGTACGAAACGCCATCTTTTAAACAAACACAGTGAAAGAGATGCAGATTACTGAGACTCTTGTGAGTGGCCTGTGTGTCAAGGAGAGGAGAAAATAGGACGCGTTACACCGGATTGACCAGCTTACCTGGAAAGCAGCACTGGAGGAACCTCAGGGTATCATCATTTTCGCCATCGTGCCTCGCCTACACAGAAGCCCAGTCTATGAGTTTTAACTGAAAGGGTATTTATCATATGGCGGGCAGCACTTATTGGCAAGATTAAGCGAGTCCTGTGTTTTGATTAGCCACCAGATAACCGCCCCTCTTAGACAACGTCGGCGATAGAGTCAGAAAATGCGACAAAAGACAGTCAAAACGAAAAAAATGAGGCTTTTTAAGAGCCAGATCGGGCATGAGGTGCAGAAGTAACAAGATGTTTGCTTTACTTACTAGAACATATTAGATTAGATTCATTATTAGACTAAATTTGCGAAACTAGAAAAATTCAACGCTAACACAATCAGTATAAAGACTTTAATTTTATAAAAATATATTAATAGGAAAAAAAACACCAAATAAAAACATTTTGATTTCTAACAAACTAAATTGATATACTACACTGCACAGTTCAAAAGCTTCATGGGGTATATGCATACTGATGTTAGGGTGGAAAGGGTAAAAGAATTAGGCCCCATCATTCTATGTGAAATGTGTTACAATCTGAATCAAACAGTTCATTCTATCATTCAATCACACTCTAACATTAGTGGCCATATTCTTCATACTCTTTTATATACATTTTCTCTTGTATTGACAAAGAGAATTTGTTTCACTATCCCAGCTTCTTAGGTTGGAGATCGTTTCCCTTGTTCTAATGGTCTTAATGTATGATTAAGTTTTACTGTAAGGAGAAATTAGATGCTGGCTATTCTTAGAATTTAATTGGTCAAATGACTTCCCTCCAATCAAAAATCCTTAAGTATTGTACAACAGCATGGGTTATGCAAATCTGAAACTGAAAATTTCTACATAATGATGTAAGCTGCTACATTGAAACATTGAATAAATTAAAATTTCGTACTTCTTTTTCTTAACATTTGCTAAAATTACGTCGTTATTATGTAGACCCTTAATTTCACAAATTCCTTATAACAAAAAGTGTTAATAAAACGTTAATTTTTTTAATTCACTATCTCTTGTACTAAATTCACTTACACCAAGGTAACCACCTCAACACTAAGGGCACTTGTATCAACTTTTAGCTGCTTTAGACATGGAGAACTTTTGTGTGTTTTAAGAGAAGCCGCCTTATCAAAAGATTCACCACAATTGTCACACATGAAAGAGTTCTGGTCTTTCTTTCTTTTCTTACATCTATGTTTTTTAAAGTAGAATTCCCATCTGTACCACTTACCACAATCGTTGCAATGAAAACGTTTCTCTAGGTGACATTTTTTATGCCTCTGCAGTTGACTTATATCTGCAAAAGACTTTCTGCACTCAGAGCAGTTGTGAGGTTTGCTTTCAGCGTGGATCCACATGTGTCTATTACAATGTCCTTTATCCTTAAACTTCTTATCACAAAAATCGCACTTAAAGCATTTTTCCTCCCTGTGGGTTTTCCTGTGCAGTCTTAAACTGTCTTCATTTTCAAACACGTCACCACACTTGCCACATGTGTGTGTTTTCAAGTGGCTCACGAGAAGACTCTCCTTCTTGAACTGCTTGTTACAAATATGACAATTAATTTTCTGTTTTTCATTATTCAGCGAAATCTGAGTCCTTACAACTTTTGGTTGTTTAGAACACTTGTTACTGAAATCCTTCTTGTTAGGGAGAAATGATGGTTTGTCAGCTGATGATTGTCCAGAAAATTCTTCACCCTTAAAGGTCTTTTCAGAAAACTGCCTTTTCTTCACTTTGATTTTAGGGTGTGACGAGTGATGAGACAACTTTAGACCAACCTGATTTGAGTTGTTCCATGTGCTACAAACATCACATTTAAAATACTCCACACCAGTGCTTGACACATTTGCATGACTGGAATCTGATACTAGTCCAAAGTTTTCACCAGCATCAGATTGCTGTACAGGTTCAGTAAGTTGGATCGTAGTTTCAACACCAGCCAAGTCAATGAAAACCTTTTTACACTGACTACAGCTGTAGCTTTTCCCAGAGCTAGATATCTCATTCTTGTGCACTACAGCATAGTGTTTATAAGCACATTTTTTGCTTTTGAATTCCTTATCACAAATTGAGCATTGATATAACTTCTCACCAGTATGTGTACTAATGTGACCTCTTAGTGTTGACCATTGAGAAAATCGTCGTTCGCAGTGAGGACAACTGTAAGGCTTTTCACCACTATGTATTCTTATATGAAAGAGAAGTGATGCTTTGGTGCGGAACTCTTTATCACAGTGAGAGCATTTGTGAGGCTTCTCACCAGTATGAAGTCTTCTGTGTTCCACAAGATGTGATTTATACAAAGTCTTGTAGTCACATGATGAACATTTGTGAGGCTTCAACCCGTCATGCCATTTTTGATGTACTTTCCATGAATTCCACCAACGGAAGCTCTTGTCACACTGGTTACAAACGTATGGCCTCTCATCACTATGTACTCGAAGGTGCGTCTTTAATTTAAAAGCAGTGTAGAAACTCTTATCACACATCGTACACTTGTGAGGCTTCTTGTTGCCATGTATTGCTTCATGTTGCTTAAGGGTCCAAGAATGTTGAAAAGTCTTGTCACAGAAAGAACAGCTGAAAGGCCTTTCCTCAGTGTGTGTAATTAAATGTTGCTTTTGCTTTGCTTGCGATGCAAATCTCTTGTCACAGGAAGGACATTCAAAAAGCCTTTCACTTGAAGCATTCATGTTTGAAAACCCTGTTTAAAGAATAGATCACTAATTAAAACCCACAAGTCAATTTTATTTTTTATTTAGAATTCTTTCATCAGGGATAGTAAAATTACAGATTTAGAAAAAAATTTTTCTCACAAAACACGAACCATGTAACCCCTAAGTGTGAATAGTATCTTGTTTCTTCCTGCAATATGATCCGTTAATCACACATTAAGGTCACAAGAGCAAAGGAAATGATCAGTAACCAAAGATACTCTTGAGTGTTAAACAAATTCCCCTTGACAGTACCTTACAAGCAAACTGATGCAAGAGTGTAAAGGGCAAAATAATAAACATTTTTTCCCAGAGAAAAGTAACACAAGGATAATAAAAAGTCATTGGAAAAAACATACATCTTGAAACTGCCACAACCATTACACCTGAGAGGCATGAACGACAAGAACCATCAGTGTAAAATGCAGACTGCAGACTGGGCGTAAAAGGCAGACTGAGGGAAGAATGCAGATTGAAGACTGCAAACCAGGGTAACATAGACATGTGTAACATGCAAGAGTTTTTTTTCTAGCTGGGCAGGTTGAGATGGGACACTTTGTGCACCTAATGTTTTCATTTTTGTAACAGAAAAAGACCATAACCTTCGAACGGACAAAAATATTGCATTACTTCACCCTTAAGAGAAAGCGTTGTGTGACAAGACCAAATGGCAGTTGCAAAAGAGACTATGGTTACTACTGTTCCTCTAACAGAGAGAAAATCAAAATTATTCGTCTAAAGTTAGTTGCCACAAAACTATAATTACAAGTAATTTTACCACAAAAAGCAAACTGAAACTCTGTTGTATCTGCAATAGACCCGAACCAAAGATATATTGCAATCTCGAATAAGTGAAAGTACACTGAACAAGAGAAAAGGATAACATTTCAAAGAGGGCTCCTTGATTGGTTGTTGCCAATCTGAACTTTACCCTCTGAGTGTGAAATACGTGCTAAAATGCATGTTCTTTACAAGTAATTAACATGTAATCATGTGCAGTCCAAGATGACACATTTAACTTAAAAATGAAACAAAAAGGTTATATGCAAAACCTTTGATATCGATCTCAATCGCAAAGGCTCTCACAAAGGCCACAAACCATTACACTTATCAAATGAGCCCAAAATTTCTGGTTAATGTCAATCTTTGCATACAGCCCCCTGATTACACAACATTATTTGCATGACAGCAATACCCAAATGCTGAGATGGCGTAAGATATCCTGATGCTGTGATATGATTGGTGTGAGACACATACCCTAATGACACAATCTGACTGGTGCAAGATACATACCCTAATGCTGAAATCTGATTGGTGTGAGATACATACCCAAATGCAGCGATCTGATTGGTGTGAGCAACATACCACTCTACAGGCTGACATAGAGTTGAGTTTTCTTTTAATTAAAAAAATTACTCAAAATTGCAGACTCAGTTCTTTAGTTGAAATTTGTGAACATTTCTGGTTTCTCTAAATGATTAGACTTAAAAGGAACCTAAGACTTCTCCTTGCTACTAATTTGTTTCAATTTAAGGAAGACTCTGCCATTTTTCCAGTGAATAAAGACATGTCACAACAAAACTAAATTTCTTTGGCAGCCCTTGTCAACCAACAAGAAGCCCGACATAGGTTAAGTTGACCATGGTAGCTGCATATTTACTTCCGGTCAATGCTGAAGTGAAACACCGAGCGGAATAAGAAAGGCAAACACCTAAGGATAATGTTTGGAGGTTTTAATTAGATCCTAATCTCGCACCCACAAATATGTATTAAATTTAAAGAATTTGCACGCCTAACTTCGCGGCGCAAAACAAAGGTATGAGAAACAGGTTGTTATTATCCAAGTAATAAAAATTGCTGATGTGTGATGAAAGTCTATCGCTACTACTTTCAAGGCCGAACAAAGTATACACGAGCTACATATTTGTTTAAGCTATCTGGTGTTGCTCAGCAGAACTGTTTATTCCTTAACAAAGAAAATGTATTTATCTGGCTGTGAACTGTGTATTCAAACACTTACGTTTCTAATCGTTCTTGCCTTAAAACACTAATTCAACGTCAAAACCATCTGAGAAAGTGAAGTTCGAAACATCAATCGCCATAACGATTATTGCCAGCCCCTCACGACACACGCGGCCTCGATCCCAACAGACTCTTGAAGTTTTCCCGGGGATGCGGGTTGTTTTAAAACAGAGTCCGCATTTTACCCCTGATATGCAGTCTTCAGTCAGCATTTCACCCTCAGTCTGCATTTTACCCCCGGTCTAAAAACTACAGTCTGCGTTCTACATTGACCACGATGAGACCGAGTTGCTTTATAGAGTGTTTGTATGAACCACGATTCTCAAAAATCGAGGTAGGTCTCTTTTCATGATAGTTCTTTTCTTCCAGTAAAGCTTGGATAGCCTCTTTTATTTACTATGTACAACTAATCGTATTGGTTAAGGTTTACTTGTTTGTATGAAAGTTCAATCAACCGTAGACATCCAGTCCGTACTCCACGGTTCTGACCGCAATTGAGCTTATATCACGTAAACCGAGCGATCAAACCACAATTAAATTTGATTTTTGTTTGCTTGTATAAATAATGCTACGTAGACCAGGAGAAATATTTCTGCCACTGAGTTTCCGAAGCTGCAATTAGAATGTCTTCATTAGGCCCTGATACTATACCTTGTGACTCGATACATTAACTTGAGAAGGGCTAATTTCTACATTTAAATACAAAAGTAAGTTATTCAAAAGTATGAATTACCTACCTTGGCTTGGATAAATTCCAGTAATTTGTCACAGACTACAAAACTTTCCAAATGAAGGTTCAAATTGGTCAAGAGGACGCTTCCAAGGTAAATGTACGAGCCTTGCACGCCCTGCTCCGTTTAATTGCAATTAGAGTGGGGGATTTGAGCCCACGATAAAGCTGTACGAGACAAACATTTTGCGTCTGAAGTGATTGTTGTTGTTGTAGAGACTGATGGCGTAACCTCAAATGTCCTTGAAATGAGTGAGTGAGTAATGGTATCAACAGAATTCCGAACAGGACCTTATTTTGACCCGATGTTTCCCCGATGTTACTTATCGTTTGTTTCGGAGTACTACAGAAGACGACAAATATCTCCGAAGCTTTTCCTTGCAAAAATATCTTAAGGTTACTTCCCACCTTCAGAGGCCGAAAACACCGTTTTTTCTTTTACTTCACTAAACTGAATTCTATCATTTAATCCAACGTTCCCATAAAAATTTTTCAGAAATCTTTAAAAGCACCCGATTTATACTGAAAAACGTATTTTCAAACCAAAGCATTATTCTGCATATTTATTCTATCACAGGACGCAAAAGAAATTTTCATACAATGGAGGAAAATTAAAAGCACAACATGACCAGCGTCAAAAAGTTTCTTTCTTTAATAACATTTGATTTCAATCAACGTTTTTAATCTCTACATGGAATAAGATAGTTCTGTTAGGAACGAACTAGCAAATGAGTTAAAAATGTCCATTGAATACATCATCCAGAAAATTGCCAAGATTTTGACCAGATTTTGGCTTTACCTTGAAAACCAACACAATGTTAACATGACATTCACCAAAGGATCTTGATTATTTTAGTCTGTCACTGCAATCAATAATTTCCGCGTTGAAGCACTGCAAAACAAAGCTGACGATCTTGAAATTAGTGAGTCAGAAGCGCATTCTTCATGGAGCCTACTTTGACAATTCGGCCATTCTATTGAGTGCAGAGCCAGCTCGAAACCACTCAAGCTGTGACTCATTCATGGTGTGATTCAGCTGGATCTCATCTTGGCTTCCATCCGCGTGTTTCAGCACAGTCTTCACAGGCTTTAGAGTGAAAGAAAGGGAGAGATACGTTGATCAATTTGTACCTCATGGTAATCTTTCAATCTTAATTTAATCATGTTCCGTTCAATGCGACTTTCGTGCATTTTCTACCAGACCAAGCCAATTATTTTCCGTGTTTCTCCGGTTTAAAGGAAGTTCTGAACGTCACTCATTTCCTTAAGATCATCTTCATTCATCAGCGTTACAGAGTACATCCTTGGTTTAGTCTTAACTGCGTGTTTGACGCGTGCGCAAAAGATAAATAAAACGGGGGCTTTTTCTTTACGACCAGAGCTCGTCAGAAGGCGCTTCTCTTCCTCCTCTTCTCTTGTTTGAAATTAAGCACAAACACTATCTTTCTATGAACGAGAAGTCGACTAATGTCCGGAGCAAAATGAGGAACAATTGTCACAAAAGCGAATTAAGCAATCACTCGATAATTCTCGTATCTACTTAAATGGTATTACAGGTAGAAGTAATTATTGGGTACGATAAATGACGCTTTAAATAGTAAACAAGCTCATGAAAAAGATGACATAACCTATTCAACTTACCTTCCCAGGTGCGAGGTCGTTCAAACCAAGCAGAGATACCTTGTCGTTAGGTTGAACTTTGTCATAATCTGACGGATTAGCAAACGTCAACGGGAGAAGTCCTGTTCCAAAAAAAACAAAAAAACAAAAAACAAAAAAGGTAAAAAAAAGTGGAGAGAAACACGGGGGAGACGTTAGTTTTGACGGCGTACCGTGCACTGTGTTATAACCAAGATATTAGTCAGAAGATCTTTAAGGAGCACCAAAAAGGCCTAGATGCTCTTTAATGCTTTTACATGAAATACAGTACAAATGGTCGTCGTATTCTCTAGAGCACAAAAATTTTGCGATTGGATATCATTTTGTTTTGCAGAACAGATTTCTGCGTTAATATAAGTGAAATTTCGGCCGGGAACTTTTGCTCCTTTAATGAAAGAAATGCAACTACCACAGAGTGGGTGAATAGTAACTTGATAATTCGAATGGATTAAAAAAGGAAGAACAGTAATTGGCGCACGGCTGGAGTGAAAGGAGTAAATTTCTAGTTTAAGTAATATTCAATGAGCGTCAGCTGAAAGAATGGTTAACAAAGCGAAAAACATTTTACCAGTCCACGAAACACGAATAAGGCACATTTGGAATTTAAACGCTTATACTACACTTGTATAACAGGGAAATCAATATTATTTTTGTCTTCAATTTTCACCCCAATTTTGTTTGCGAACAATCAAGGATGCGCAAAGACGCTTTTGATCTAAAAGTCGTTTTAAAAAAGAAAGTTTGAAAATCTTACCCTGTTTCTTCAAATTTGTTTCTGAAAGAGAACCATATGAGTTAGTTGGGAAGGTGGTTAGCTCAATGAAAGGAGTGTTTTTTGACCCTTTAATTCCCAGAAGTGATTAACATGTAACTTCTCCCTATAATATCCACACATTATCCAGCAAACAGGTATTGAGAAAAAATCCAACTTATCAGGTAGAAGTTATCTTGATCTAACACTAAATTCTCATGACGGATTTATAAGAAAATGTGTAGCAGCTAGAGGGGAGAATTAACAATCAGATCTTGGGAGTTTAAGGGTTAATATGGAGCTACGGCTCAGACGTTGTTGAGAGGTAGACAGCAATCAAAAGTTGAGAGTTCTTTCCCTTGGAACTTGCTACCGATCTTTGTTTGTACCATTTGGTAACGGGGAGAGACGGCAAGATAAGGGCTTGGCAATTGCTTGTTTATTGTCTTTAAGGAAGCTATTTAAAGACACGCCAAGAAAGATCGATAAGGCTGATTGTTTGCACGTAAGCACAGCAATGGATTAAATATCCTAAACACTAACAACACGCGACAACATACCATGAATACGAGCAAAGCTCTTGACTATGATAGCTCGTCCGCCAAGATGCCTTGGCTCTAGGGCAGCATGTTCCCTGCTGCTTCCTTCACCGTAGTTTTCATCTCCAACTACGACCCATTTTACTCCTTTTGACTACATAAGAAAAAGTCAAACAAAGTCAATACAGAACGGCGACAAAGAGATGTAAAGATCCTCAAACACAGAACCGCAACTCGCTACGGTTATTGTCGCATTGACTCGATCTAACGCTGAGATCTACAACATGCAATCAAACCAGCACTTCAATTCAGTTCGAATGTCATTCAGCAGCATGGGCAACGATTTTCACAAAAATCTTCCATTTCACACGCAACAAATTTACACTACAACCTATCACCGCGCCGAGTTGTTGTGCCTTGTCGCTTGGAGTGTCCTGAAAATAAAAGCTTCTCTGATCACTCAGGTTCTAACACCGACTGCGCAGACTATACAGGAAATGTCTTCTCGTTTTCCCATTCCCTTGCCTATTTCCACGGAAATGCCGCGCCTCCGGCCTTTTAACAGAGGTTAAACTGGTGTCGACAGTTGTCACTTCAACTGCCTATCCTTACGTCAAAAAACTTGAAAATAAAAGAATCTATACTGCCCTTGCAAAGTTATAGATTTTCATAACGATAAAATCAGAATTCATCATCATTCAAGTGTTTAAGCATATCATGGGTGAAGAAAAGACACGATCCAATCACAAACTGAGATTCTACAACGTCTTGGGGAATCTTCTCAAAACTTTCGATGATCTCCTTCCGGCATGGGAGATCCACGCGGAGTTTTACGACTCAAAGACAAAGAAAGAATTAATGCCCTCTGTGCGTAGAGTTTGGTATTCTCCGTTTCCAACGCTAGAAAAGGAAATTGTATCATTTTTGTTTCATCAATAAGGCTAATTTTCACCTTGTAGTCCCTTGCGGTGTCAGGCACGGCTCCATACTCTCCAGTCAGCAGATTCTTTACATGGTTAGCCTTTTCATTCTCACTGTTGATGGCTCTGTGAATAAAAAAATATGAGCATTTAAACGCGAGATTTAAAATTACAAGTTCAACATCAGCGAAAGCCTTTAAACTATGGCGAGATCGGAAGGCTAAAGGAATCAAACTTACTTTTATTGAATGCAACTTATCCAAACCGTGTTATAACAAGATATCTCTAGTGACCTCTCAAATTATAGAGCATTTCCTTCACCCTCTGACCCCTGGGACTGACCAGCATCTTATTTCTCCTTACAATAATCACCCCTGCATCAAACATTAAGGTCACGAGAATCAAGGAAATGATCTCCAACGAAAGAAACTCTTGATTGTTAAACAAATTCTCCTTGTCAGCACCTAAGGAAATGTATAGAGACCGGTACGGAGAATATGCATACTGATGCTGGGGCGATCAACCCCAAAAGGGAACAAAGATGGTTAAGGATGAAGCAGAGTGACAGAATCACAAATGACAAACTTGGGCTCAATTTTTTTTAAAGGTGGAATAGACGTGATGTAGGTGTATTCAAATATCTGTACTCACCCAATAAACATGTTGTTTGAGATATTATCCAAATGCCCTCTGTACTTGAGCCATGGACCTGCCGCACTATTTTACACCAAAGTACGTTTAATAGAAATACTATGGCCAACCCAGTCTGTAGCTTCTTACCACAGACAGGTTTAGTTTCATCCCCCATTTTTATGCCAAAAAAAAAGGCCTTTACAATTTAAGCAACTTTATAAGAAAAATATAAAATATAACAATAATAATAATAGTAATAATCAATCAATCAATAAATCAAAAATATTCCAACAGAGTGTCGTTCAACATTCAAGAGGCTGCGTTTGAGAAAGCTGAGTACCTCTATCGCTAGCCTACGAGCAGGCCCGCATTAACCCTTTAAACCCTAAGAGTGACCAGTTTCTAATTTCTCCTTACAATATCACCCCTGAATCACACATTAAGGTCACGAGAATCAAGGAAATGATCACCAACTTATAAAGCTCTTAATTTTTTAACAAATTCTCCTTGTCAGTGCTTCAGGAAATGTATAGAGAACAGTAAGGAGAATATGCATACTAATTTTAAGGTGCAAAGGGTTTATAGCGATTCGGCGTTGTTCGTTACGAGTGTTTCTCCACCGGCGGGAAAGCATGACTCGCCTCAACTCTCACGCGGGCGGATGGAGAAAAAGCGCGTCCAGCGAGAGCCTTCTCGCGCGCTATCCTATGGCAGTCGAGTGGTAGATAGATAAAAGGACAGGTACGTATTTTTTTTCACTGTCATAATGGGGTACAGTCTTAGTGCCTCAAGTTGATAAATCTGAACAGCAGAGTGCGCCACAAGGCTAGTCGCGAGCTTTGCTTTCCGTGAAGCACGCAATTAGTCGGAAGTCAGGGAGAGCTATAAAAAAGATACTTCACATGGATCTCTCTTTACCTGATGTGATCTGTTGTACACTTGCCCTTCACCTGACAACAAAACATCAATCCAAAAGCATTAAATAACATAATGACCAGACCGACCAGTCAACCCATAATTCACTTAAGGCCTTAGTAAGTTGGCAATGTGTCATAACTGCATAACGTCATGATTGCATAAGCAAAACTCAAAATTGAATTCTGGCGATGTTTTTGTCGTCCCCTATTTTAAAAAACACATTTCCTCATCAGTAATACTTCGCTTTAACTTTTTTTAAACCCACCTTGAGCAAAATCGTCATGTCTTCATGGTCTTTCCCGTCCCATTTGTCAAAAGGAGTAAGAAGCTGAAGGCGGTTGCTGTGAAGGAAGACATTAAACACCTGAGTAAATTTCCTAACTCATCGTGGGCCGAAATTCATCCGAATTATCGTTGTTTGGACTCTACAAAAAGCCTCACCTTTGAGGATCAACGTCTACGGCAACAGATGAACTATCAGCTGGAGGGGCCTGTGAAGTAACAGGAAGTAGTTTTTGATCATGTTCTCCCTTCTCAATTGCAAGATCTAAATATTAATTCTCCCTATTTTCTGCCATCTTCTCGCACAATTCTGGGTGGTGACAACTTTAAGTAAAAACAAGTGAACTTCACTGCAATGCAGGAAAACGTAAAAGACCAAGTCGCCTTCGCCTTCGCGTCTGATTAGCTGAAAGGGTGACGCAAGCTTTCCGAATCAATCACAGAGCAAAGTAGTAAAGAAAAACAATGCAATCTCGGATTACTTTTGCCTATAGTTGCATCAACGTAAGTCAAAAAAGAAAGTTTGTGACGTACCTGGTATGTATCCTCACCAGGATCAAAACCCTGAAGAGTAAATCAAAAGTTTTAGTGAAACCAGTACTCTTGAACGAGGTGACCTTACGCCCGATGACCACTTTTGTGAGAAGGGGGAAAATTTTCCATCGAGGTAAGATATAAAGAAAGCGGAAGTAAAAACAGGAATATTCTCATCTTTCAGTGAGCTGTATCTCCTATTTTACCAACTTATCTCACATTTATCGCTGAACAGAGTACGCCCCAGCGCTAAATTCTACTAACCTTAGGTACTGCAACAGAAAGTAAGTTTACGCTATGCGGCGGTTACATTTGTTCAAAGATATGCTTACCTTGTTGGGCAGTTCATCACCATAGGGATTTTCAAGTTTAAACGATTCACCTGGAAAGTAAAAAAACACCACCCGAATCAACTTCGCTCTGTAGCCTCTATTTAATTCTTGCATAAGTTGTGCCACAAATTGCTTCACATAAATCTCAGGTACATGCACATGAAAGCCTACCGTTTGCGCCTGTTAAAGTGTCTGTCTCAGGGTTAAAACTCAAGTCACCAGCGATGGACATTGCTGTCACCATCTGTTGATAACAGGATAAATTAAATAAAGAAATACGTCAACTTTTCATCCAAATTGGCTATCGATAACTATTAAAATAGAGAGCGCTTTTCGATTGAGTGTCGCAAAACCAAAACCAAACTAAACACTACCGCCAATCAAAGGAAAGGAAAATAGCTTTAGAGCCAATGAGAATTCAAAACTGCCTATAGCGCGGGAAAGCGCGGGAAAACGCGGGCGACCAAGTCATGGTTGGTTTTATTTTGGTATCTGATTGGTTAAGAGATTGGAACAAGTTTTCTGAACCAATCACTGAGCAAATTAAAGAAAAACTAATGTAATCTCGGATTCCTTTTGACACGCAAGTGAAATTTGCTCGAAAACAGAAACAAATTAGGGATAAAACAGCTTCGTTAAACACTGTGATTGAGTATGCCCCACCTCTGGTGAAGCAACAAATGCATGAGTTGCTGGGTTTGCATCATTGCGTCCTGTGAAATTTCGGTTGTAAGATGTCACTATTGTGTTTGGTTCTCCTTTCTTGACATCTTGTCTACAAACACAAAACATCATCATTATTGCAATGATTGCTTCAAAACGGCGTATGCATCTGGTAATTTTTAGTCTGCATATTTCAAGTACATCATCTATAGCTCATCTTCTGCATGATATAGAGTTTTGCAATAGTTAGCATAATGTTTCCTTCTTATCCTCCACAGTGGAATGCATTCTTGTGATTGGGTACACCTAGTCATTTGAGGGCAGCGTTTAATGGTGATTTTGCTTCCATGTCCGGTGTTTATGCCTTTAATTCTTATAGATGAATAACATGTAACTTCTTCCTATAATACTATACATTATTAAGCAACCAGGCAATGAGAATACTCAAACTCATCAGGTAGTTATCATGATCTATCCTCAAATTCTCATAACAAATTCAAAAGGAAATATGTAACAGCTACAAGGGAGAGTTAACAATCAGATCTTAGGAGTTGAAGAGTTGATTGGGGGCAGAGATTTTGGAAGACAGCATTTAATTGAGTAAAATCATCATGTCCCTACAACCTAAACTTCTTGAGTAGGTAGATAATAGAGAATTGGAACTGTCCTTATACCTATTCCACTGTCCAATGCAAGGTCCACACGCATTTGCCAACACTGTTCCTCCAAATTCTCTCAATGTCTCTGCCTGATGAAATAATATTTCAAGTATAAAAATTTACAATTGGCACCAATTGGAAATTCAATTAGAGTACTATAGTTTGGGAGCTGGATATCCAGTATCTGATCAATTAACTTTTTTATATTATTACTGAGGTTTTAAAGTAACTTAATGCAAAGGTAGAGCACCTCTGAGGGTGCTACTTTTTCATAGAGGTAAGAGAAAGGTTGCTATTTCATAACTGTAAAAAATACCTACAAAATGCAAAACTGGATTGAAAAGTAATAAGTACAACTCACAATTCCATCTCGTTCAATGGTAGCACGAATTTGTTCTGAACCTGGTGTGACTGTGAACAATGACCTTGGAATTGCGAAAAAGAAATTGACCATAAATCAAACACTTTTTAATTTTAAACAAAAGGAAGTTAATAGCACAAAAAAGAAATTAAAAGAGCTCATACCTGGACTTAAGTCCACGTTTAAGAGCTTGTTTTGCAATACTAGCAGCTCTTGTCATATCTTCATAACTACTATTGGTGCAACTTCCAATCAGACCTAGCATTAAAGAAAATTCTTCAATCATTTTTCCAAAATTAGAGAATTGCCTATGCAAAGATTTTAAATTCTAATTCCCTCAAAGAGATTAAATGATACTACAGTGAAAGGCTATAACTTACCAACTTTGATGTCCATGGGCCAGCCACTCTGTTTTGCTGTTGACCCAAGTTTGGAAATGGGATGGGCCAAGTCTGGTGTATAGGGACCATTCACATGTGGCTCAAGCTAAAACACAACAATAAATGCACTATTTAGACTACATTATGTGTGATACCATCATCATAAACCTATTGCATAAGTGTGGTACACAGTCAAGGTTTTTTGAGTTGAATCAACTACTACACTACTGTTCTCAATAGTTAACAGAGTAGTAGAGAGCAAACACTCACCTCACTGAGATCAATCTCCACAACTTGATCGTAGTCTGCTCCGCTGTCAGATTTCAAAAATTCAGCATGTTTGTTGGCAAGGTCAGCTATTGCTGATCTTCCAGTTGCTTTCAGGTATGACTCCATGCGGTGATTGTATGGAAATACTGATGTTGTGGCACCAATTTCTGCACCCATGTTACAAATTGTTCCCATTCCTGATCAGAAAATTCATACAGCATGAAGAAGTATCTTTTTTTATTTGGAAAAACCAATTCTGCCAGTTTTGAAAAGCCTTTTTTTCCTCTCTCTCTCTCTTTTCCTTCATACAACATATTTTCATATCTTTCCTCTCTTTTATTCGTGTTTCCAACTCATTATAAGTCCCAGGCCATCACAACACTTTTCTTCCTTCCACTCTTTCAATCAGAGGTAATGCTGCCTCAGAATGGTGTGTGGCTCACTGAGTGGGCTGCAGAATTTATAAATCATGGGTGGTATTCTACTTTGGGCCTAGCTAAAAACAATAGATACCTCAGACACCCATCTTACACAAGGTGAGTTAGCAGGTTACCAGTAAGTGGCCCTTATCAAGGAGAGTGGCAGATACACTTGGTTCCATATGAAAGATTATATACTGACTTTTCTTTTGGAATTGTGTGGCACTGCATCTATCTACATGCAGCTAAGCCTGTGCTTTGGAGAAGCTTTGGGTACCTTGTATAACTATCCAATTATGAAAGCTATTCAGAGCTGTGCAGCCCAGACTGCTGAGACAAGAACCTTCAGGCACCTTGTGATTTAAAAATTATAAGGTTTGGAAAATTGACGGTGCATACCTGTACAGGAGATAGAATCTACCCCAGGTCCAAAATATTCAATAATTGCTCCAGTTCCTCCTTTGACTGTCAAGATTCCAGCTACTTTAAGGATGATGTCTGTTAAATAGGAAACCGATTATCGCACATCAATAATCAAGAAGAAAAAAGATTGAAAGTAACTTCCTCTTTTTGTACAAATTCATTTACAGACTTCACAGAACTCATAATTAAATTAAATTTTAATCTTAACCCTTCACATCCTATCATCAGTGTCCATATTCTAGATACTCTTTCCTGTATATTTCCTATAGTGCTGACCAGTAGAATTCATTTAACAATCACAGCATCTTAGGTTCGTGATCATTTCCTTTATTCTTATGATCCTAACCCTTTACACCCTAACATCAGTATGCATATTCTCCATACTGTTCTCTATGCATTTCCTGTGGTGCTGACAAAGAGAATTTGTTTAACAATCAAGAGCTTCTTGAGTTGGTGATCATTTCCTTTATTCTCATGACCTCAATGTTTGTTTTAGGGGTGATATCGATGGGAGAAAATAGTTACTAATCACTCTTTGGGGTTAAAGGGTTAATGGATGATTCAGCAGTTTTACTGTAAAGAGAAATTAGCCGGTCACTCTTATGGTTCAAAGAGTTATAGGATGATGTACATAACACATACACACATTCGATGATTTTGGAAAAGTGTTCGCTACCTTTAGGAGATGTCCAACCCTTGAGTTCTCCAGTCAGGTTCACTCCTATCACCTGTTAAAATGAAAAATGAAGTCCAATACATTAGCCAAAAACAATTGCTTAGAGCATTGATGAGCATTAAAATTAAGATCTAGTGCTCTTCCAATCCTCAGTATCATTCAGATTTGCAATTTTTTTACACCATGTACAACAGCATATACAGTTGTAAGAGTACCACATCCAAAAACTTAATTCTTGCACGTGGGCTCTGCTTATGGAAGGCTTTGAACTATATACATGTACAAGTATATTTTGATTTGAAAAATACATCAATACATAAAATAATAATTACAATATAAATACACAATTAATATGATCCAATGTACCTTGGGGCACTTCAGTTCCCATGGTAAATCTGCCATGACGTCGACAGCATCAGCCCCGCCTACACCTATACACAGACCCCCAAGGCCGCCTGGAAAATATAAAACAATAGAGAGTGTAAGGACCACAGGAACAAAATTCCTCTGATAAACATTTCTCCAAGTTTATTTCTGCAAATTTCCTTACTTTGATTGAATATGCAGAGCAATAGCATGAAATTAACAATGTATGTATTGATAAAAAAACAACCAAACAACCATCATTACACAGATCATTCTCAGTCACAGAGGTCTGTTACTAAAAAAAATTATTAAAAAAAAAAAACAAACAAACACAATCAACATGTCAAACAGAGACTGAAAGCATTTCCTCTGCAGGAATGTTGGCCTCCAAATATTAGAATGATGTCATGGTGATCAGATATATTTCAATTCAAACCATAACAATAAAAGATTACTCAAAAGAGTACAGACATAAAGGCTGAAGGTTTGTACCATATGTTAAGGTAAATTAATTGAAAGTCAATTAAAAGTCAAAGTCAATTAATTGAACAGATACTAAGCAAGATACTCCAGACAACTTTGGAGTCTCACAAGGAGCAATCACAGAATTTTACACTTTAAACTCTTAAAAAGAGGGAAACTGCACAAACAAGACAAATAATTTTAATATAAAAACCTCCATTTGGTGTGTGACTATCAGTGCCAATCAACAGCACTCCAGGAAAACCATAATTTTCTAGAACTATTTGATGGATGATTCCACTGCCTGCTTTCCAGAAGCCAACACCATACTTGGCTGATGCTGTTGCCAAGAAGTTGTACACCTCTTGGTTGACATCCACTGCTTTTTTCAAATCCTCTTCACCTCCCACTTTTGCCTCTATCAAGTGATCACAGTGAATGGTTGTTGGAACAGCCACCTACGAAAAGAACAATTATTATAGTCATTACTTAAGAAATACATGTAAATTACAATGCACATATGCTGGAATAAATAGACTTGACCAGACGCTTTCAACTAAATACCAAGGAAATCCAAATGTCTCTATTTCTTCTATGTGAGTGGCAAAGATGATTTTGCAGTAACATTGCCGAAAGGCCTATGCAAGGGTTTTGTATACAAATGTAGTAGCAAGAATAGAGCCTAAGATAATTGGAGAATATTCTCCATGACTGAGAAATAATTGCTCAGGTCAAAGAAATCCAGCCAGAGAATTCTGCCTAGTAGCACAAGGTTTCTCCAATTTCAATACCTAACGGACACCGTGTTTGTCTAGAATGACAGAGCTACTAAATACAACTGATGTTAAGTCAGGGGTTTCAAAGTGTTTTAAAGTAGGCCTCAGATTCTGCAAAAGCAGGTGGCTGTGAAAAGGCCAAAAGGTAATTATTTTGACCAGAGTAACTGGCAACATGTTATCAAGAAGCTGTCGGAACTCTGGCGCTGGCCAGCTTGTTTTGAAACCCCTGTAAGTGATATCTAAATGCTACTTAGCACAGGAGTAATTGCAGAAATTGAACTTCCCCACTAACCTTAGGAAGTCCACTTGAGATAAACTGGAGCATAGCCATCTAAAATAAAATGAACAGAATTTAAATACTGATAGAAACTGATTTATAGCAAGGTTAAATTCAATTGCCAATGGGTATATGGATAATAATTATGATATTCTCAGCATGTTTCTGGCTAAATCGAGAAACAATTATGATTATAATTAGCTTTAATTACATCAACAGCTTTACCTAATTTCTTAGTTTCAGGTTATCTTTCCTTTACATCGATACCTGTCTTTTGCAAGTATTACACTTACCAACGAATATAAAACAACGCTTTTAAAATTTACCTGAGCTGTAGCATCTTGCATAGCAACTCGATCAGGCCTCAACTTCAAATATGATACACCTCTTTCTATATCCTGTTAAAAAATTAACAGGTTAAAAAAAATCTACAAAAGCACAAATTTGTTTAGAAACATTGTGTATACAAGGTGTATACATTAAGCTTCAGTATTGAGTGTAAAGAGAAGAACAGAGAGACCCTTATTTCTATGAGGTATAAAAATTTTTACTAAATGACAGAGGATAGTAAGCAAGATTTAGTAAGTATGGGTAAAGGAGCACAAAATCAAGGCTTTCAGATAAACCTTGCAAGAAAATCAACTCTCAGTTCATTTTTTGATGGTAAAGTTCACATGTATCAACTATACCTGGTTGGCTGGGTCATCCAAATGGGAATAAAGAATTTTTTCAGAGAGTGTCAATGGTCTGTTGAGCCTAAAAAGACAAGAAAAAAACAATGTTTACGCATAAGGTTTCATATCTTGCCTGAAAAGAGATAAGCTCATTTCCAAGTGCTTACCTATCACGGACTATTCTTATATTGTCTTCTAGGTGCTGGTAGTTAAGATGCGAGTCTGGCTCAAATTTACTCAAAGGCACCTTTAATAGAGAAGAACAACATTAACACAAGGTGGTAGAACAAAGCTTGGTTAGCATGGCTCTTGACTGTAAAAACAGAGAGTTAATTTCACTTTGAAACTAAATTCCCACAAGGTAAACAACCAACAAAGTTGAAAAAATTACTAAAATTTCCCATCTGCAAGTCTTTTTCCTTTTCTTGGTTTTCATGCAATATCATCAAAATTAAAAAAAGAGGAATTATCAACTCTTTTGAGATTTTAGTTTAGTTAGTAATAAGAATGGCTGAAGACTTATCTATTTGCAAATTTTCAGTTTGATAGGGTTTTTCATCCAGTGATAAAGCATGGATTGTAATGGTGACTGAGAAAGCTTTCACGTAGGTCAAAAAAAGTGACTTATTCACTCAGATTTTGCAATCTTAACAGTCTTTGTAGGAGAATAAGTACTCATATACAGCAGATGTGTACGAGCCCTCAGGAGACAACTACATGCTTTTAATAGAAAAACTTAATGTCTTATGTTTTTGTTAGCTTCCAGTCACCATATTTATGATCTTGTCTCCAAACAGAGTCTTGTAAATTGGAGTTAACAACTACATTGCTAAGTGGAGGTTGGGTGCCTGAAACATCCAGGAGCTTCCACTATTGGCAGCCAGCTCCTACACAGAGACTTCTTCCATGAAGGAGCTGCATATGCGCATGCAAAAAAACCACTGTCTACTAGAGAATGTCCGTGCTCTTTGTTGTTAACTCCATTTGATTGCCTTAACTCAATTTAAACATTTCTTTGAATAACTCCTGCACAAAACGTTGCACAAACCTGAATCTTTGCAAAACTGTTTAAATATTAATCTTTTCTTATCTCTTTGATTCTTGAGTTTATTTGTTTAATGGTTTTGATGATGGTGTGATAGTGAAAACCACCAATAAGCTGTGCAACTGCTCGCATTTGCTACTTCTACCTGTACATGTAGGTAGTAATCTTTTATCACACACAGTCAAGAACTTCACCTTTTGAGAAGCTGTATACGATGTTGAAAAGAGTCTGCCATGATAGACAGCTGTTCGAACAGATAACACAGCCTGAAAAAATAAAATTAATAAGTTAGAACATGTACACACAATTATTACAAAAATTAAGAAGATACATCTGTAAAAGGTTTTCTAGTACTAGAGAAGCGTTATAGTTTACACTACAGCTTGTGAAGACCTGCTGGCTTAGGGGTTAACATGCTGAACTTTGGGTTAAGATATCAGAGTTCTAGGTCTAGTGTTATGTTCTTGGGAAAGACACTCGAGTCTCACAATGTTTCTCCCAACCCAGGGGTAGAAAGGGGTACTGGGGAAGTGTCAGGGGAAGCTGACCAATGGCATGGGGGTAACCTATGATGGACTGGCATCCCATCCAGGGGAAGTAGTAATACTTCTAGTCACTTAATGCTTAAGAAAGCATGATTAAGCTCTGGAAGGACCATTCAACTCAAGTACTGACTTTCCCATTTTTATGACTCTTTCAATATATTAGCAAACACCTCTCTAACCAGCCCACAATCCTTAAACTTGTAACAATTTCTAGATCACAAAGTGATTAAAGGTATTACTAGTTCTCTGGATGCCAGTACATTATTGGATTACCCAAATCTATCAGGCTGCCCTGACTGCTTAATCAAAAGTTAAAATTTTAGTTTGTAAGTGATGTGTTACAGTGGGATAGTTATAGCACTTGTAGGACTTGTTATTCCAGTACAATAAAACTAACACTAATAATAAACAAGAGTTTCATTTTTGACATTCACATGCACTCATGTACACTCCTGAAAAGGGTTGTAGTGGAACTGTGCAAGTTCAACATCTTGCCTAAGAAAATAAAACATTGATCCAATCAAAACTGCACCAGAAAAACTGCATGTTGCCTTGAACATGACTGACTGCATGTCAGAAAAAAGTATTAGTAAAGATTTGTCATAAATTGCAACTCTCTCTGTTCTAACAACATAACGTGAAACCCACTTTTCATCAAATCAAATTCAAAAGGTATATTAAAACTTTTAGCAATACATTGTATGATCTCCTGGTTTCAATTATTTTGTTGAAGCAGACTAGATTGTGATGCTGCAAGGATTTACGGAAGGAGGTCCGGTAATGTTATAAGACATTTGGATATTTTCAATGTAAATACACCTGAGGCTGATGAAATTATTCTCAGAAAAATGTGCCGGACTTGCATCGGATATTGCCCGGAATTTGAGCTTTATAAATCTACAAATGAACTGTTCACTTCTCGCACATAAACAAAGACAGGGAGGAAGATAAAACACATAGTGCGTCATCGAGGAAACTTTTTAAATCTTTCATATATTTCGTCTACACGTATTTTGATTTCACGGAGGTTGAATTAAACGAAGAAATTTGCGTGTCACAGTGAGACTGCTTTAAATACAATATCTTTACTCCAACGGCTCTTAGTCGTGTGTATGCAAGAACAGAGTTCATATCGCCGATCGTTCAGGTGGGTTGGGGATATAGGTCACGGTTTAGTCAACTTCAAACTCGGTGAACTTAAACTATCTTTACCCTCTCTCCTAGCTATCGTCGAAACAGACCTTACCTTTCTGGTAAATACTCGTTGCATCTTTTGCAGACGGAGGAAAATACCAGTGAAAAAGGCAGAAAACGGTTCAAGCTTTTTGATCCCTCGTCCCTTATCGTTACTCTCGTAAGTTTCCACTCAACGCATGATTATCACATGATTATCCGCTTTAAGTGTTTAAAGATCGCGGGCTAAAATGCAACAAACTGAAAGAATTACGAAATATTTCATAAATATTGTAACACTGTTGACGCAAAATTGTAAGTATGTGTGTTTTTGGAAGAATATTTGAAAGCTAGCATAAACAACTTGCAACTATTGGGAACAAAGTGGTTTATTTCATTCTACAACTCCATAACAACTGACAAAAATTCAAAATGGTCTTTTACATTACAGGGCTCTGGGTTTGCAATCTCTATATGCCATTAATTTTTTTTTTTCATTACCAAGAATAAAAATTCATAGCCCCTCTAGGCTAGAAACAAGGCCAAAGGTTAATAAAGGATGTCTATATATATATTTATCTCGTTATACATACCATTTGTGTATAATTATTTATTTCTTTGTTCTCAGCTTGATCAATGATCAAGACCAGAGCCCAGTTGTTCAAGGATGGATAACACTATCCAACAGATAAATTGTTATCCAGGGGAAGACAGCTAGTGAAACATAATGCGCTATCCACCACATAGAGATTTATCCAGTGAATCAGATAGTGTTATCCAACCTTCGAACAACATGAACCAGATGTTGATTCCTGCTACATCTAGTTCTTATAAATGCTAACCTCTGGCTACATTTCTTTATTTAAATTTGTTGTTTCTGAAAAAGGACTTAGAATTTCCTGACCTCATTTTATATCTCTACCTGATATACTGTGGTCTCCTTCGTGGCTAATTTTTGGTCTTGTCACACAGCATGTTCTCACACTATGTTGCACATTACAAGTGCGTTGTGTGATGAGTCCAAACTTTGGCTGTAAAGGAGACCAGATATGCTGTTGGGTCCAGTTGTTTAAAAGATGGATAATGCTATCCAAAAGATAAATCTCCAGGTAATAAGTAATAGCAGAATGTATAGCGTTATCTACCTGATACAGATTTATCCAGTGGATAGTGTTATCCATCCTTCGAACAACTGGGGTCTGATCTATTGACATATTGAATTGGATTTTTCATCATTTCCTGAAATACACATATTTAAATTTCTTTGTACAGATGCCTTGAAATTATATCTTTACAGTGGCTTTGTATGGCAGACACATCCCATGTGTTTACATAGTAACCCAAGAGAACAAATGGAGTCAGAGAGACAGCTATTGTGGCTGACCAAAAAAAGACATTTGCTTCACTAAAACTGCAAAGTATAAACAAAACATATACAGTGTTATTTACTAAGATCCAAAGAAATCAGAACAGCCGCTCGCAACAAAGGAAAACATCAAAAGGAATCAAAGAGAGCCATATTATTATTACCCTCTGAGTCTTCTTAGCCAACAGAGCCCTAACCAGGCTATGATTATCAAAAGGCCTCCAATTTCCCTGCCAAAAAGAACAAGGCAAGGTTTTAGAGAGTACAGTTGCCTTGAGCATTAACCCTTTAACTCCCATGAGTGACCAAGACAGAATTTCTCCTTACAATATCAATACAATATCAAGCAGACAAGTGATGAGAATAAAGAAAATATCAGTCAGGAGATTATAAGTTGACCCAATACATAATTCTCCAAACTAACATCACCAGAATTGTATGGCACACAGTTTAAGGAGAATTACTAATGAGATCTTGGGAGTTGAAGGGTTAAGTGTGAGATACCCACCCAGGTTGTACCATCTAATTACTGTAAGTCCTTCAATGGAACATACCCAGAGAGGAAATCAGAGTTCCTGATTGGGATAAAACAATAACCTTTGTGGTAGAAAGACACTATTCAAGTACAACATGGAAGTCACAGATTCCTTAAATTTTATTGAGTATTCTTTCAGCCAATTAAGGGCATAAGACTGGGCACCTAAATGATGGCATTCCTGAGCACATTAAAAATCCCCCATCACACAAAAACTGAGTTTAGGAGAGATGCAAATGTTGAACCTTTTTCTTTTAAGATATGATTGAGCTAATTTTACAAACAAATTACTGTATAAAGCTTTGAAGGCTATATAGTAATGAGAATTCAGAGTTCTATCCAAAAACCAGCCCCTCCCCCACACACCTTTACATAAATAATTACATAAACTGTAGGGAGAATTTGCATCTTGGACACTCCTTGGTGTGAGAGGGCTAACTCATATCTATGTTCAGATAGTTTATAAACAATGTAACTGCTTGAACATTTTAAATCTTTTCACTCAGTTACAATGATCACTAACTCCGTTTATTTGACTTATTTTCAAATTTGTTATCCTTATTTTATAAATTAAACTTGATCTTCACTTTATTTTTCATTTGTGAACAAGATATATCTCACCTCCCTTCTTCATATTCCAGAGGATTTTTGACGCTGATCTCATTCCCAAATAGGACACTTAGCGAGTAAAAAATACCCAGATTACAGACAACAACATGAATGACTGCTGTATACCTCCATACATAATGACCTTCAAAATAAAGAGATAAAATAACATTGTTGTCTGTAAGTATAGACAAACCAAAACAGAATAGATATGAAAAAATGATTATACATTCAGTCATAGGAGATAATTAGTCATTGTTTATTTATAATTAACCTCCCTACATACACCCCTAACATCAGTAGGACCAATATCAGTATCTGGGCAACTGCCCACCTACCCCTCCCTAACCCAACATTAACCCTAACTTGTTATCAATTGACTGTTGTTGAGTTAGGGGAAGGGTGGGTGGGCAGTTGCCCAGATACTGATATTGATCCCATCAGTATGTATTTCATCTACACTGTTCTCTATACATTTTGTAAGGTGCTGACAAGGAGAATTTGTTTAATCAAGAGCCTTTTTGGTGATCATTCACTTTATTCTTGTAACCATAATATATGAATTTGGGCTGATATTGTAGGGAGAAATTAAATGTCAGTCACTCTTAGAGATCAAACTGTTAAGCTGCCATCAAAATGACAAATGTTATAACGTACATCTGAGACCTTAAAAAAGATCCACTTGCTTAATAAAGTGGCTTTTTTATTGCTTCAAGACCTGGATCTGCTGACATAAATATTGATCAAAGACATCAGTTTCCATAATCAGATTTTTTACCTTGTAATGATGAATCAATCACTAAAGCAATACACAGGAAACATGGAATGGCATAGATCAACTAGGAAGTAAATGTAAGAAGAATCATATGTTTTTAACAAAAACAGGGTGGGATTATGGTAAACTCTGAAAATTTTCACTTCACTCAAGTTTTGAACCCAGTTTCTTCATAGTTCACTCTTGGTTTCTTGTTTGACTCCATACAGTCCTCAAACATGAATCATATTTCTTTCACATGCAAATTTTACAGCTTTGAGATCATTTCATCATTTATTCAATTATTTCCCTATTGATGTATTAATAACCCTTTACACTCTAACATCAGTATGCATATTCTCCATACTGTTCTCAAATGAATACATTTCCTATGGCTCTGAAGAGGAAAATTTGTTTCACAATCTAGCTTCTTTAGTTGGTGATCATTTCCTTTATTCTCATAACCTTAATGTGTGATTCAGGGGCAATACTGTAAGGAGAAAGTAGATGCTACTCACTCTTAGGGGTCAAAGGGGTTTTAAGTAGATGTAACAACAGATATCCTTAAACAAAATATAAGTCATCCTAGTCATTGCAGCAGACCTTTCTTTTCCCTTGAGGCCTTAATATTTTGTTTTGTCTCAGAAAATTACCCACATCAAATAATTACCATCTTAAAAACCAAACATCTATTATCACTGAAAAGAAGCCTGGCCTACCATCCATATTACAGGATCAGGGTCATTGATCTGTTGTGGACAAATAAAGATTAAAAAATTCTAAGATCATAACTCAAAATCATGCATGCATTCACCAAAAATTCTTTCTGCTATCCAACAATTCAGTCACCTTAAGTCACAAAGTGTTACATTTGAGCATATGACAACAAACATTTTGTGAATAATTTCTTGTCAACTTTTAGCATTAGAATATGAATAATTTACCCCTATTTAACTTTTCTCATAGGTCGTTGAGGGCTGCTCAAATTTTTTGAGGGAATCAATTGCTAAAAATTGCTCTAATTTCTATGAAATCCTCCCAGTCTTTAGAGTTACTGGAAAAAAGAAAAGTTCTCCTAAACTTACGAGATGAATAAAACAATATTCAATCTGCAGGATGGGGATTCCCTTGTGTCTTACACTTTCATGATTCTTTTCTCGGCTCTAAACCTCTTAATCTGGCCGAGTTTTGATATCAGAAAAATCCTTTGCAGACACTACCTGTAGAGCTAACTCTTTGTGAACAAACTGTATTTATTATTCATGAAAAGAACTAGTTCCTAACCGAAATGTGCTCTAAAAGCGCTAGACGTCACGCGACTGCCTGAAAGGCTCAAAACCATCACTGAAAATTATAAAGTTCTTAATTAATAATAATAAAAAACAATATTTTCACAATTACGTAATATTTCTTTACCTCAGTCTACGTGTCGAGTGAACAAAGGAACACGTATTGTTGCTCATGAATGTAGCTTATTTTAAAAGAACTCTTTATCAGTGAGGCTTAATTTATCGTATCATAACGATAAATAAATTATGATATCGCCACAGATTCACCTTTTCTGGTGCTGAGAACATAATAAGCTCGAAATATGGTGGACTGACCTGAACATAAGAGGCGAAGGCGAAAAACAAGGCCATGAAACCATTCGCAACTCGCCACATCCATGGGTTGCAAACCTTCCCGATTAATGTTTCTTGTTTATCTTCAACAGTTACAATAGAACTCTGCTCGGTCATTTTTTCCTAATATCACTTGCTTCAACAGCTAATGGAAACTGTAGAATTGCGTGCAAAAAAGATCACCAAAACTAATAAAAGAGAAAAGATGTGATCTATCAGGAAGCTCAAATCAAAAAATTATTTGAGTGAGATGATTACTCCACAAGCACTTCATACGCTAAATCAGTCATGCATTCAACCCAACTCAAAATTACCAAACCTACTTCGATCAATATATTAATTGAAGTGAATCTTACCTTTTTGTTTTCAAACAAAAGTATCGTGTATGGTTTAATGCTTCCTTTGTGAAGAATCTTTCCTCATTCCGTTTCCAGGCAATGGTTTAAGAGATCTGTCACGTAGAATTTCTTACCTCAGCTTTATGTAAATTTGCATAATTCCGTGGGACACCTGTGGCACATCACGGTAAATTCTTTCACGTTCTATAGTACAAAGCTAGCTAATTGGAATGCGCAACATCTTTATCTATTTTACTAGTGATCACATGTAAACATTAGCGGCTGGATTGATCAAAAGGGAACAGAAATAATCCTGTGCTTTTCTGACAAAAAAACTGTGGAATTTATTTCCGCCTATCTTTAATTTCACTTAGTCAAAAAACTTTCAGTGCGTTCTGATGTATTTTCGTTCCGAGGCAGAAATCTTATCAGATAAATGCTGAACCACTGTGAGGCGAAACGCGACATAGAATTGGAAAATAGTGGAATTAGGCTTGTGCAGGCGAAGAGAGATTTGCATTGTTATTAAATGTCCAAATATCGACGAAAGCCAATAAAGTGATAGGTTGGCCAAAACGTCAGACTCTAGTTGGAGTAATTATAGCCTTACCGTTTTTCAGTTCACAACATTCCGGTGAAAATTCAGATTATGTTAGGTTGAACGTTTAAGGGTGAATTTTATAAAAATGATAATTGACGATCGATTTTCTATATTCCCCCTCTATACTCTGTTGGCAACAACTGGTCCCCACTCCACTGCTTCTGGAAAACCATTTAATCCCCTGCAAAATCCTCCACCACCCCCCTCCCCCGGGAGATAACTAATGATTGGTTATAAGATGATCTAAAACATGCAATGTTCAGATCACATGCCATCGAACAAACTTTATGATAAACCGTGTAGTCAAAGGAAGAGAAGCCAAGTGCAAAGGACAGATAAGACAGCAGCTAGGTAGCTGTACTAAGAAGCGTTGGGCAAGCTTTGTGATCATTACAAGACTTGAACAGATCTTGAGGTATTTCAGAGGTAGCCAGATTGCTGCAGTTTGAGCAAATGTGTCCCCTTTGAATACCTGTTCTAGGTCATTTAGGTGCCCTTCAAATTGTGTTTCAAAAGAAAAAGAAACAAGGAAATGTTATTTCTCCTTGTACAAAATCTTCCTTAAACAATATTTTGGTTTAAATTTCATAAGATTAAAAGTAAAGCAAGAACCAAAATCCACGGAATATAACGTACGTAAAAGGCTCAATTTTCCATGGTTTCCGGGACACTATGGTGGTGGGGAGGGGGGAGTAGAAAATTGTTGACTGGGACACATTGAAAAAGTATTTTTGCTGAAATGAGAAATAACTCCACGTGAGGAATTAAAAACATTTTTGCCGTTTGTAGAGTATCATTCCAACAATAATGAATAACACTAAATCTCAAACAGAAAGCTGACAGCAGAAGTTGGAGGAAATTAAGGATTTTATTTACCTTTGCTTCAAAGATACTTTTAAAAGAGGCCAACGGTACTTCAGAAGTTGGCAAGCTTTCAACATAGTCAAAAGTTTTTGATCTGTCAATATACATGCTTTTAATAAAGACAAATTGAGTTATCACTGCTAGGGTTCTACAGCTTCGTGTGATTGAATCGCACTACTATTCCTAGAAAACTAAGGTTTGAGTGTTGCACGTGATTTTTTTAATCCTACGCCACCAGCCTGGTGCAACACTAACACCGACGTGTGGTTTAACAGCTGTTTCATTACGCGAAACATAAAACCAACAGAGCGGTCAAACATTTTGAACGCGTGTCAAGCGTAAAGTAAGGAAAAAAATATTATTCCTAACAGTTTCAATGCGTAAGACAAATGAAAAAGGATTTTGTAGAAAGATTAAATCTTGCCTTTATTTTATTGCGAGATATCCCAACTGCTTTTAACGCGGACGCTTCGCTTTGTTGATAAGGAAAAGGACCGAACCTTTCCTCTTCTCTTGTTCTACACTCCACTGTCCGCCATAAACATAGACCTGTGATCGTCACGAATATCTTGTGTGGCTCTGGTTCTTCCTTTTTTCACACATTTCCCTCGATTTTTACCGGCAACTTCACCATGAACACAACAAAGAATAACTACAGCCTGCACGGCCAACTTTATGGATGGCTTCATCACCCCGCCGTGCAAAGCAAAAAAAATTACACGAGTGTAAACTTACACGTAGTGGGTCAAGTCCAGAAAAACAATATGTAAAAGTTTCGGCCTCAGAAACTTCGAACTTTCCTTAGAAACTGCGAGAAAAGTCCCACATCGATTCTCCATGTTTACGATAACAAATTTTCTATCATAGTGCGCATGTGCAATCATTTGACCGCTGTGTTGATAAAACCAAAGCAAAGTCATGTGTCGGTGACAGAAGATCATGCCGATTTTCCTCCGAAAGACGTGATGTGATTGAGGTATTGAAAACATAAAACCAAAGCAAAGGTAATTTCTTATCCGAAATATATTATGTTGTGAAAAGTGTAATACAGACGCAAACACTCATTAAAACAACAAGATTTATGATTGGAATTTGATAATAATCTTTTCGCTTTGCACTGAGAGCCTTTAACGGTGACTGCTGGGTCGAAATTAAACAGAAAGTAATTACGTAGTGTTTTTTCCAGGGATACGGGTACCAGTAAATGAAATCCTTTTAGGTCTTTAATAGCCTGTAGAGCAGGCGTAATTTTGGCTAGCTAGTGTTCATATTGTCTTACCGAGAATTATGGCCGCCATCTTTGATTTTAATGGCAGCGGAAGGCTGGGGAGAGAAAGAAAGTTCTGCCAAGGGGGCGGTCGACAGTCAATGATAAGGAGAGGGGTGGGGGTAGGGGAGTGACTGATTTTGCGTGGAAAGTGTTCGTGAAGTAATCATCCCAATCAAAAAATTTTTTGATTCGGGCTTCCTTTTGTGATTTCTCATCATTAGCTTTGGTGATCTTTTTTGCCGAAAACCCAACAGTTTCAATTAGCTGTTGAAGCAAGTAATCTCAGGAAAAACCGATAAACTAATCTGCATTGTTAACATACTCTTTTTTCCGCATTGCTAGCGTATTGTTAGGGTTGTCTACTTTGCCTAAACCCGAGAAAACTGAACCAAATGGCATCAGGGACGGATTCAGGGACGGATTCAAGGACGGATTCAAGGACGGATTCAAGGACGGATTCACGGAAGGATCCAAAGTTGGCTTTAACTGAATTGCCCAAAGGAGTAAAAGAGCTGTGCGATAGTTATAAAAAATTGAAAGAGTCTCTAAATAATCTTGAGAAGATGGTTGTCAAAAAACAAGACGGAGCCATAGATCAGGCAATAATGGTAACCCGGCTGGAGATGGAGACAAGTGCTAATCTGAAGTTTTATTTATCAACTTTTAAGAAAATAACTATCGAGGCAGAGTTTACAAATCTAGCCATGAATGGGAGAGGAGCGATGAATGATCTAAAAAAAGTACTGAGCAAGGGGGAGGTGTCGAAAGATTCTGAAAGCGAGGCAGAAGGCTATCAAGACAATGAGGGCGAAGATGAGAACCACAGCTTCGACAAATTTATGGAGTCTATAGTGGAAAAAACACCTGAAATTGCAAAATGCTTTTTGTGGATTTTTCAAGTTTACATCAAGGAGCAACTTAGAAAAGCTTTTGAAAGTAAGGACTGTACTAAACCAAAAGAATTAAAAGAAAAGGTTAGGGAAGTCAGAGAAAAAATGCGAGCGCTTTATTTAGCCGAAGAAAAGAATCGTTCAATTCTTGATACTTTAGTCACCACAGAATATCAGCCCACCGAAATCGACAAAAAAAATCTTAAGGATTCTTTTAAGAATTCAGAAGGTGAATTCTCTCTGACTGCGACCGCTGTGCAAGACAAATTGTAAGCCACTGGCAGTAAACTTAATAGACGGAAGAGTTCTCAATCACTGCATCTCAAAACTCTTAAAACGCTGCGGCCGCCGAAGAAAAATCTGTAACAATTACTCAGTAGAAAGTTCTACAGTAATACTTGAGATATCAGTAAAAACATAATCAATAAGTACCTAAAAACTTCACAAATCCTTCATTGTATTGTAGCAATAAGGGGTGTCTATACAGCACGGAGTAAAGCAGTTGGCGAGTGTGTAGAGGTCCTTGTAGTCCTTTAGAACTAGACGCTCGAGGAGCGTTCACTCGGGCTTCGTATCGAGCGTTTTACTTGAGCATTCACCACTGGATAGTTTGTATAATTGAGTCTTTAAGCGTGTCTCGCATACTGGGGCTCTATATTCATTTAAGGGGTCATCATTTTCTTCTTCATTACTAGTTAATTTATCATTTTCTCTTACATCAAATTCCAAAGCAGGATCACTATCTGTTGTGACATTGTTTGATGTAGCTTGTTGATGTGTATCATTATCGTCTGCATCATTTTGCAAAGTTGTGAGGTTGCTATCAATATTGTTAATATCAGCTAGTATATCTACAAATTGTACAATGGATTATGTACTTTGAGCCAGTTAAGAACTTGCTGTATTAACTCTGGTCATGATGCTTGAAAATAAACATCTCTAGATTGTAACTTTCTCTTAAGCTTAAGTATTATTATACAAGATCTATCAGGTGGATGAGGGAGTTGATTACATGTCTGATCACATTCTACAGGTACATTGCATATTGCACCCTTAATTTTTCTCTGTTGTCCTTTGTGCATGACTACAATCTTCTCAAATACTATTCGTTGAGCTATTTGTATTTGTTCTAATTTTTCTAATGAGGATAGTTTTGTGGGTATTTCATCCACATACATATTATTCACTACAGCCTGACATGGTAATTTTCCTTTTATGACCTTTTAATGACGTTGCATATACACTGTTTTCCATCAAATGACTGTTGAATATTGCAATATGTTGGCAAGGGTACTTCTCGTTTATGCATGTTATTACGGTATCTTTCCTCAGGTGATTGTTTAAGTGTTACTGGACTGCTTGGATGTTCTTAGTGACCTAAAAGAGGAAGAACGAGTATCTCGTCAAAAGTTGCTTGGCAGCAGCATCTCAAACATCATCACTTCTTCGCGAAGCAACAGATCGCGATCGTTATGCAAAGAAACACTACGACACGAGAAGCGAACCCTCCGGGATCCGACTGGGGGGACAAAGTGGGAGGGGGCTGGGGGGGCTGCGAGGGTTCTGGCATGAGACCACACCCCTCAAAGATCTTTCGCACGCTTGCCAGCTTGAAATTCGCGGGCTTAGCTGCAAGTGCCGCAGCGCGATAAATGAGACCTTGCAGCCTCGCTTTATAGGTGAATACCGTTTTTCTTTTATGGCATCTTGGCCATCGTCACTTCAACTGTTCGTTCTCGGCTCTATCTCATAACTTCTTAAGACTTTCCACTTATCACGTTATTTTACGAGACAGTACTGTAGAAAGTAGTTGTTGCCTTCTTTTCTTAGTTCTGGGTGTTCTGTGACCAATGTCATTTTGGCCACAAAACATGCATATTGGCTTGTAACCACAAGGGTGGATAAGGGGGGAGGGGAGGGGGGCAGGTAACTCATAGCAGGAGTTTATTAACATACTCGTAGGGAATGAGGGACCAGTAAGTCTCACCTCCTCAAACTTGTGAATCTGTCGAATAAAGAAATCTCCATACCGCCGTTCAACTTTCGTATCTGCGATGTGTATCATATCCTGAAAGAAGGAGGAAAGTATTTATTAAAGAAAAACGACCGTTTTTGCGAGGAGGAAAACTAATTTTTTATAGAGAACATATTTGAGATGATCTTATGAGTTGTAAATTGAGTACAGTTTAAAAAAAAAACAAACAAACAAATTCATCATCCATTACTTTATGCAATTAGAGCCATCTTCAATCGCATATACTACTTTGGTTTTGCCTATTGTAATGATTGGTCTAAAGAAAAACCTTGTGCACCCGTCTCAACCAATCAGATTTCAAAGCAAACCCAATCACGACTTGACTCCCCACGTTTTCCCGCGCTTTAAGTGATTAGCTCGTTTTGACTTTGAGTTCTCATTGGCTCCGAGGAATATTACCCAGTGATCTGATGGGTCGTCGGGGTTACTTTACATTTATTCTACGTCAAATAGTCGAACACATCTCTAACGTTCTGGGGTTGGTTACTGTCACGATAGGAATTATTTTTTTCACCTGGTCAATGTAAAAATCCACTTCAGAGGAAGACTGGAGCTCTCCCTCAAGAGCATCTGTTCCTTTCGTCCACACAAGATTCCTCTGTTTATGCTGTGAAGGGGAAGCGTCAAGGGTTACCAAGACAAGTAAAGGACAGTTTTTCGCCAAATGTTGTGAACTGCACTATACCATACTAACCCTGTGAAAATTTTGTTTAGAGGCTTACCTTGAAGCAGAGCAGTTGGGTCCTGAACTGACTCTCATCCTACACAAGGAACACAAACAATAACTTAAGTGTCAAGATTGAAACCCATTCCGTGGAGGGAACGAAGCTTTTGTTTTCCCTTCTCTTGGACCAAAAACAACAGAAGAAAAAGTGTTTTATTCACTGTGGAAGAGGTTCTTTTAACTCACCATGTCTAAAAATGCAGCAAGCTTTGCGATGGGCATTGTGGTGTACAACTTCAAATAGCTGAAAAAAACAAAAGGCAAACAAACTTTCCAGGATGGAAATGGAGGTTTACTTGCGTCTCCGACAAAACCTATAGATCACAGTTGCAGAATAGAGCATTTAATTCTATAGAATAGGGGAACTGAAACGAACTGCACTGGTTTTACTTTCATTCGCACTACGATTGGTCTAAACATCTCACGCCACTCACCTAGCCAATCAGATACAAAACTAAAGCAATCGCAACTTTGTTATGCACGTTTTCCCCACATTTGACGCTAGTTACTGTAGTGCCTGGTTTTCACTGGCTACTGGTGATCTTTACCTAGTCCTGACTTACTATGATCCTTTTGAATTTGGTTTTACGACGCTAAATCAAAAAACGGTCTAACGAATATTATAACGTTATTTAGGCGATGTTAGTTTGATTGTTGAAAGCAAGTCAAGTGAGGGCCACGCTGATTCTAAACTGACAAAAACTTCTATTTTAGACCTTACCTTCTAATCACTGGTATCAGAGACTGCTGTGACACTTCGTTCATGAAAACTTTCAGCTGAAGATTAAACGGTTCCTGGAAAAGACCAAAAAAAAGGTGCAATTGAAAGAACTGTAAAATTAACAAGAGAATCGCTAAGGATTTCACCCTTTAACCCTAACATCAGTATAACATTCTCCATACTTTTCTCTGTACATTTACTAATGTGCTGATAAGGAGAATTTGTCCAACAATTAAGACTTTCTTTAGTTGGTGATCATTTCCTTGATTCTCATGACCCTACAGCATGATTCATTGGTGGTATTGTAAGGAGAAGTTAGATGCTAGTCGCTCTTAGGGGTTAGAGGGTTACACAATTGTGATGAAGAATTCAAGAGCTCACATTTCAAAGTCTCATGCGATCCAGTTTATCTTCAAACAAATTCAAAATTCATTGAAGTAGATCACGTGTCTCTGTAACTTGACTGAAAGTGTGGAGAAATCACAACTGCTAAGCAGAGCAAATAAAACTATCTCAACTATTCAGTAAAAACTCTACAATCAAGTAGAGTTGAAGCAAAGTTGTGCAGCACCATTTGAAGATTGCCCTAAAATGTCCTTACCCTGTTAAAATTAGCTGGAGGGGCGTCAAAGTTTGGAGGGACTGGGGAGATAAACTTAGGACAAGCATATGAGAACGACTCCTCAAATGTCTGCAAATCCCTGTGTCAAGAAAATTTAAGAAATAATTGAAAAAATTAATTAGTACATACAGTTAATGCTAGTGTGCGCTCGAACTCTTGGGAAAGTCACCTTGTTCCAGTGCACAAATGAAGAATTTTCAAAACAAACAAACAAAAACACACTCAACATACCCACGCTGAAGTCGTTGCAACCTATCTGCATTTTTCTCCCTCAGTTGTGAGTGAACATTTTCATCAATTCGCTGCAACAAAAGCAAATCTTTGTAAAATCTCAAGGTTTTTTTTTAGTTTGATGAGAAAAGGTGAAAAAACCAAACAACATTAACCACAACTAAGGTTGAAAAAGGGACTTATCATAATTTATCAAGAGGGGGGGTTTACGGAGGATATCGTTTACGTCACGATAAATTTTACCTAATCCCCCAATGAGGCTCTGTAATCTTATGATCCCCTTTCATTGGCAGTTAGTTGGCTCATAATTTTTTTCAAGCCCCCCACCTCCCCCCTCATGATCTGTTGGGGAGTTATTCCCCTCCTTTCCCCCTGAAAAAAATGTGATCACCCCAAAATCCTCTGACCCCCCTCCCCCAGGAAATAGATGATGACTTATCCATAAGAATGAGAACTACATACCTGTGGACATAATGTCAGACAGATGGCCAGCAGTACATACATCTGATCATTCTTCTTCATTATCTTTAGGTTTGAAACGTTGGCAAGGTAATGCTCATTAGTATAAATACCACAAACTCTATCATCTATCTATCATGGAACAGATAGCTGCTTGTTATATATTCCATGATAGATGGTGTCAAAAGTGGGCAGCCTAAAAACCAAAATAAACTTCTTGTGAAGTTATGAATTGGAGTATGAAGTTTAGATTTATTCTAAAACAATAGGATTACTTGCTCTTGATTTCTCTGTGTGATATTTGATGAGGGCAAAAAAAATATTGACCTCAATGTTTAATTAGTAAACATCAATGCACTCTCTTATCTGATGTCTGACAGAAAGAGATCAGTGTCTGTGGAAACCCTCTTTGAAAATAATAGACTCTATTTAAGCTGATGACCCTTTGTGGGACTTCTCACCTGTTCATACTGATAGGATTTAGTTTGGAACATATTTTTGGTCCTCTGAATGTAAAGCAGAATATTGGAGAAACTGCGAATAGCATCCTAGAATAGAAACAGATCATGTTTTATAATTCTGGCTGCTTAGAGATATCCTACCCTACCCCTTCAGAAGGAAGGATTCCTGGAGTTTGTTCTTTCTTTCTTTTTTTTTAAGCCAAATTCATAATTTGACAACTTCTAATGAAGATAAAATATGCAATCTGATGATCCAAAACAAGGGGGAAAAGAGATTCTACCACCTACACATGAGTAAAGATAAGGGTTTATTCATCTTCTGGCAACAATCATAAAGGCCTTGGTTGAGAAAATTAAAATTCCTGTTACACTGTATAGTGCAAATCCTGACTTCCAAGCCCAAATTTAAATGGTCACAAGCAAATGGTCCATCAGCAATGAAATTTATGCAGTGAAAGAACTAATTTAGATTGGGCTGGACCCAAAAATATTTCACTTTAGTATGCCTTGAACACAAGCCCAATATTTTCCTGACAGACTTTTCCTGCAATCTATAACCATATGTTCATTCCTGCCTCATGCCGCTAGACCTTCCTTACCTGGTACCTCTTCATCATGAGGTAGGCAAACCCAACATAATAGTAGGTAGTGATCTGGCAAGCTGGAACTCTTGAGTATAGACTCTGTTGGAAGACAACATAAATGTCACTGATGTACAGCGAATTGGTATAGCAAGCATCTCAAAAATAAATTGTTCATCACACAGTGGGTGATTTGAAATGAAAGAGATTTACATTGAAATTCTCATCACAATATCAAGACATTATCCAAAAAACTGATGATGAGAACTGGCAAATGTATAAGCTTGTGAATGCTACCTATTCCCAGTGCTATATGTAGGTTACATAGAAATGCAGCCCCAAAAAGTCTTGTGCATGGCAAGGAAAAAAAACAGAAAAGTGAAAACAAAAAAAAGCTCCTTGCATTTGAGTAAGAGAAATTTCCACTTCAGTGTCAAGTAAACAATGCAAGACTGAAACTGACTGCGATTAAGTTACTATTATTTTCCTCAACTTTTTGTCAGTTATGGTGTTTATTTTGAGTTTTCACTTTCTCCTTCATAATGTCAACCTTTGTTACAACTAACCATTGTGATTATTATTGAAGCACTCTTAGACACCAGTATTTCTAACTATGTTATTTAACTCTTCAGTTTACCTTCTTGTTTAGCTCGACATTCTCTAAAACTTTGATGGCCTGAAAATAATCACCAAGCAGTGAATGCAGTCTCAGCAAACCTATCAGACTGAAGTAACCCAGCATCTTGTAGAGTGGATGAATTCCAAACTCACCAGCCACTGAGTCTGGGTCACCCCCTTGGTTATACCTCTCGAGCTGTGAGAACAAAACAAAACAAAAACAGTCAGATCAACATAAACTAAATCTTCAATCTTGCGTTGATAAATTTGTCATGAATTTAAATAGGAGGTAGGGTGACCTAATGGTCAGTGCACTGGACTCTGGGTCCAGAGGTCTGGCTTCAACACCTGGCCAGGTCAATGTGTTATGTTCTTGGGCAAAACACTTTATTCTCTCTACCCAGGAGTAGAAATACTAGGGAAGCCTGATAAATTGGTTGGAGGTGGAGTGGGGGGTGACCTTGTGATGGACTAGCATCCTATCCAGTGGTGAGTAGTGATACTCCTTGCAACTTCATGTTAAGGACACTGGGATAAGCTCTGGCTGGGAGGGCCATTTGGCTCAAGTTCAGAGTTAGATATAAACAACAAAAACTAACACTTAGGTCCCAGTCAGTCATTTTGTAGGATGCATACCACTAAGAAGAAAGAACCTCCATACAAGTAAGGAAACTAACCCCTAAGCTGTGGAGTTTGCACTTCAATAAAAATATATTGATGTATATAGTTGTAATCAACATTTATGGGAATCAGTTTGCAAGATTTTTTGACATCAAATAACTGAGAAGTTACAGTGAAGATGCCCCAGAAATTTATTATAAATATTTTGTAGCTACCAACCTGGTGATTAATCTTGGATTTCTCCACCAAAGAATACAGCACATTGAGCACACTGTGAACATTCCAAATCTGAAAGATAAGATCCTCTTAAAGATCAGGATAAATTAAATGATTGAATGGCAATCTGGTATAACTACAGTACTTTTCATCATCATTGTACTATCTTCTCTCTAGTGGAGAAGATCATTTTCAATCTTCAAAGCCCCTCCTAAATTGATTAATCAGCTAATCACAACTATGAAAAATTCTCAAACATGATTGGTTATCACCAGCCTGTTTTGAGCACTAACAGGACACTGTACGATCGTGCTTGTAAGCTGGAAAGTGTATGCATTATGCCTGTGAAATTGGACAGAATGCATCATGTGCATGCACTCTTGTCATGAATTTTGCTGACTAAAATGTTGCTTATTTCATGGAAACTTTAATAACCCATTAGTCACTAACCCATTAGTCACTAAAATTCTGTGACAGTCATAGTTTTGATTAAATGGACTCTTCTTGGTCCTATTAACATTACAAATAACCTCTTCAACACAATACATTTGCCCTAATTTAAGCTTCAGACTCAGCAAAAAGTACTTGTGGATCATAATTTCTATGCCCTCATTTCTCTGGATTTCCACCCTCCCCAAAACAAGCACACCAACTTCCAGTTTGATCAAAAGACAGTCTGGGATGAAACGACATCTTATCAAAGTGCCTCACTGAATCCTACAGAACTTACATGTATTTCTCTATACATTCTTTTACTTTGCATACCTTTGTATTTGCTCTAAGAGTTCCCACTTCATCTTCTCCCTTTTTCAACAACTTTGATCGGTACTGGCTAAATGCTTGGAACTGAAAATTTTTTACAAACAATAATCAAATCAAATTCCTTAGGATTTAGTGTACTCAAATTAACCAATGATTAATTATACATTCATTAAGTAAAGTTGAGTATACTGAATGTTTTAAAAGCAACCAATTCATGTAAACATCTGCCACAACATTAACAACATTAAGCACTGTTCATTTAACTTCCAGAAGTGATGAACAGGTAACTTCTTCTCTTCCTTTGATTAAATTATGAAGCAAAAAGGTAATAAGAATACAGACTTTCATGTGCTTGGACCATAAATTGTGGTCAGAAAGAGGAATTTCCTCTCAGGAGGAAAGCTTCTAACCTGGTAAATAAACTCATCAATAATATCCCACAACCACTGATTGGGCAAGCTGAGAGGTACTGGCTCATCTGTGTCTGAAAGATATTGCACATTTGTTGAGTGTTTCTATTTTTGTGTTCAAAAATAAGTTGGAATATTTTTTTACTCAAAATTGGAAATTTAGACAGTACAAAAAACAAAATTCTAAAATTCTAAACTTACTCAAAATGTAGTTGAAAAGATCACAGTAGTTGAAATAAGATTCGAAGCGATTTTCCAGTGTTGGCTGAATATATACAAAGAATAAAAATACTGTTTAGAAAAATATTTCACAATGAAATCTTAACATTATTACATAGCTAACTAATGTTTGATTGTGAGGAGCAAACAGGTAATGAGAATACTCAAACTTACCAGGTAGAAGTTTTTATCCTGACCTAACACTAAATTCTCACAAGTTATTTATGAGGAAATGTGTTCCAGCTAGAAAGGAGAAATAATAATCAGATCTTGGGAGTTACTGGGTTAAAAGCCTTACCTTGAGCTTGTTGTAGATGTGTCTGTAGTACAGCTCTTTGTAAAGGATCAAAAACACTTGGTCTACAAGAAAGAAAACATCATTATTTTATTTTTAAACCACTTCGAATTAAGTGGTAGATAGTCAAGGAGGAGAAGGTGCTGGTAATGGGTCACTGGATATGTCGAGAAATACATGCAGTATGAAAGATGTGAAAATTCGTCAAAATTGTCAAATCCACCGAGCTGATTTCGCTTTGACAAATTTGACTAAAATTCACCAAAATCATCACATCTATGAACATTCAGATGGTTAAATGAAATTTTTTCAAATCTGCCATTTTTGTGCATGTATTTCTGGACATAAATGTGGGTCACATCCATATACAGCAAGCAAATTCACTAGCTTACTTGGGGAGACAACCAAGGCAACACTGCCATAGATCAATACCCTGCTTCAAAAAGGTAACGGTCCAATTTCATTCAAGAATTAACTCACTTAGTCCTTCAAACAATTCGAATGAGAGTAGAGTGGTACAACAGTTAGCAGCAACCTGACACATGTACTAGAGATGATTCATGGTTCAGTCAGTTTGTTAGTTAGTTAGTTGCTCATAGAACTATGCAGTCATTTAAATATCAGGACAGGCAGAAAGACATACAGCAGTTCAGTAAATAAAAATGCATGTTCTTATTCTTTAACCCTTTACCCTTAAGAGTGACTAACATCCAATTTCTCCTTACAATATCACCCCTGAATCACATATTAATGGCATGAGAATAAAGGAAATGATCACCAACTAAAGAAAGTCCTGATTGTTAGACAAATTCTCCTTGTCAGCACCTTAGTAAATGAACAGAGAACAGTTTGGAGAATATGAATACTGATGTTAATAAAGAGTTAAAACACACCTCCATCCACAAGGCTTGCAACATATTCAGGTTCAGGCCAAGGAGATTTTTCAAAATATCTCTCAGTCAATTTGTTGAAACTGGATCAAAAAAGGAAAAAGATATGTTTAGAAAACTCAAAGACTTCTTATCACAAAAAGTAGAGTCTGGAGTACAACACTAATTCACTTGAAGATATATTCGACATTGCAATGAACTTACTTTGTTTCATAGATGAACTGAATGTCATAGAGATTCTGGAAGATATGATTATATAATAATTTTAACACTTTTAACCCAAGAGTGACCACAAAAGAGATTTCTTCTTCAGATATCAACACCATTGTAAGTAGCAAGGTGATAAAGAGAAAGAAAAATATGAACAAGAGAATATGGCACTACAATTACCAACTTGCCCTGGTTGATCCTTTTGACCACCAAAAAAAGGTGGTGGGATTTTTTTGCTGTGGTGAACCCCTATTCTCCCAAGATCTTAATAGTAATTCTCCTTACTGTGGGCTACAGTAAAAACCCACATATAGGAACCTAGGCTTTTTCAAGTTAGTCACCATGGGTTCTTATACAAATGGTATTTCCTGTGAAATTAACCCACTGAGGTTCATAATCCCACTCTTAATTTTTGTTGAAAAAAAAAACAAAAAACAAACAAAAAAAAAACCTGCACCGTATGCCAGCCTCATAGTGCCTTGCTTTACATGGTTAACTTGTATGTACACATTTGGATATGTTGTGCAGCTATGGATGTATTAATAGTACAGTATTGTGGTCTTACAACACTTCTGGTGTTCTGGCCATTTTTTATTATCTTTTTGTATTGCACGGGATGTACATAGTGTATCAAATTCAAACAAATTCTACATTCCAAAAATAAGAAACTGTATTAAGAATATAGCCTAGGATGGTGCTTATAAGTGCGATACTTAACTGGGAAATTTTAGCCTAACAGGTTCTTAAAATTGAAGGTTCTTATACACAGGTTTTTAATGTATGTAGTTCTTATGGTGTTACTTTGTAAAATTTGGTATTGGATCAACCAAATAATCCCCTAACTGATGTTTTTCTTCATTCCCATTAACTGTTTGCTTGATACTGTACATGCATTGATATTGTAATTAACAATTACTCACTGAAGGTGAGGTGAATATTGTTGCAAAATCCTCAAGATGAAGACAAGTGGACTATTCAACAATTTTCACTGAACCAGAAGTGAAGAATTGTTTTAGTACAATTGCTCAGGTGCTTTTGAATTCTGTTGTAAATTCTTTTTTTTTATTTGTTGATAACAATCTATTACAATTGTTTTGATTACTTGTATCAAGATAACCAGTTTCCACTAGAATTTAGCAGGTTTATTTAATTCAATCAGCAAAAATATTATTTTTTCCTTTTGAAAAGTGTGACACCAAGCTTACTAGCATCTTAAGTGTTCATTGGATTGTATTTTGTTCTATCACAGTTATCACTACCTGATGATCAAATTTGAAATACTATAATCACCTTGTACAAGATGATTATAGCAAGATATTATATAATCCTTGACCAATCAGAGAGCATGCATCTCTAAAATCACTGTAGCAATAATACTAAGGAGAAATTATTGATCACTAAAAGAAGTTTAAGAGTTGAGTGACCTCAGTAAAATGGAACTGTAATTTGTATGGTTTCATTACCAAACATTCAGTTAACCATACCAGGATAAAATCATATCAAGAAATACATGCTAACCTGGTCAGTGACATGCTGATGGAAGAAGTGAATGAATCTTCGTATTTCCTCTGGTATATGAGAATAGGACTGAGGATCTATACCTGACTCATAAAAAATAGAAATATAGTAAAGATTTTTGATACAATTTTAGGTGTGGTTTTAGCTCATATTTTTTTCGTTTCTAGTGAATACAAAATATGGTAATGAAAATAAAATTAAAGAAATCTGATTAAAGATGGAACAAAAATATTTATCGTCATTCAGATTGTGTTTATGGAACAATGGTTATTTTTAAGAGTGTCTAAGGTATATCAGTGAGAGGCTGAGCAGTTTGGTGGCTCATCAGTCAACTTTTTCCTTTTCTGGGGGAAAAAATTCAAACTAATAAGCAAGCCATCAAGCACCCTTCACCAATACACCTTGAAAATTGGCCTTGTATTCTGAAGCTAAGACAGGCTTTAACATGCTAGCTTCACCCAAATGAAACCATAGCTAATCAAATTTTAACCATCATAAAGTACTAGTAAGATTTCGGCACAGCCCCATCCTACATTACGCATTCAGTTCTTGGATAGAGAAAACAATGACAAAAAAATACATTGCCATTGGGAAAACAGATTTGTTTTACAATGGCATGGGGCTGTGTGGAAATCTAACCCTTTTCTCAAGCCAGTCAAAACATATTACAAAGTAAGATCGATGAAACAAATAATTTTCTGCTAAACAATTTTAAAAACATTTTAAAACACACGTGTGGCGTAAAAAAATGTTCCAATTCTATGCTATATGCAATGCTATCTAGGTCTCTTACCTCCTTTATCATGTATAGGAGGCTCATACTCTCCTCCTCCATAAAATTCTCCTTCTGGCGCGCCACCCTAGAATAAACAGATGAACAATAAATCGACTTTTGGGACAATTAACATCTGGTGATAAAGTGATCTGCCGTTTCTTGCTGCTATTTGTTAGAACTATAAAACAAAACGAATCCGAAGTTACATACCTGAATAACTTGTCATAAGAAACAAAAAATCCTTACCTCTCCCTCATATAATCCTTCAGATTCATACATCGTTGATTCAGTCGTTAGAATTTACTGAAAAGAAGAATTTCTCCTGAAAATTCTCACCTCGTGTCCTTTTTAACTGACTTAGCAGCCTGGCCAGAAAGATCATCTATGGCTTGTGTAAGGGACACGAAGTGTAATATTATTTTCAACGACAAACTATAATATTGTCGAAGTATACCGGTATGCCAAACAGAATTAAAAGAAAAAAAAATTGTTACTTGAAGTCTGAAAACGAAAGAGGTTTTCTACAAAATGATCTTTTTATTAGCCATATTTCTATCGCTCTAATAATGTGACCACTAGAAGGGCCGACCCTAGCGAGGGAAATTAGCGCTAAAGACCTTCGGTAAATCTCACCAAGACTTCAGCTTCAACCAGTTTCACGCCCACGATCTCATTAGCATTTCTCCATACCTTCGCCAAACAGTTCTTACGACTTAAGTTCAGAGAACTTGGTATTGGATCAAATAATAATTCCTTAGTTAAAATATTTCTTTACTCTCTTCTCTCGTCTGCCTGATTTTGTATTGATATTGTAAGGAGAAATTCTGTCTCGGTTACTCGTGAGGGTTTAAAATTTAATTCATCAGCTTGCATGAAGGCATGCATGCTGCACTTTTCAATTTCTACGGCTATAAATTACGTATAACTCACGAAACATTTCATGCATATTTACAAAGTTGCTTTGATACGTGACCTTGTTCATGCTGTTGACAACCGGAAGTCTAATGGATTGCCATCAAAACTGCCTGTGAAATGTCAAATTTCTAATCTCGAACGCACACAATTACTTATGCAGAATTCAAGAATGTTGAAAAAAAAATTCAGCAATGACAATTATCCTCAAAATTATAAGTTGGCGAAAATATCTTCCATGGAACCGGAAGCTGACATGTTCATCCAAAAATAGCGTGATAAGTGGCGTGATCGTGACCTGGACCAAACTACATCCGTTAAAGCAATCAAATGTGTGGAAAAAAAAACTCGAATATTTAGATCAGTGTCAGACAACTCCCTTTCCTTTGATTGTGAAATTAGCGAAAAGCGATGATCCTTTATTAAATCAATTATGCTCGGTTCTTGAACTGTATGTTGTGACGTCACAGGCGGCACTAAGGCAGTTCTGCATAGTGAGCCAGCGAGGTGTCAACGCACCACTGTCCGACAAAAAAAATAGTGGAACACCGGCAGAATTTCACTTTCTGGGCGAACCAAACCGTTTTTAGATACTTGAATCAAGTGACACAGTAATACCGATCTCACCGTTATTTCCTCTACCTCAGAGTAATTGCTTACAGGGCTCAAAATATGAAATTTACGCTGCTCCTTTTTTGCATATTTGCCTATCTGCTATTGTTCTTCGTCGCTGGATCAAGCAGTGGAGTTGCAAACCTTTGCGAGGAAGGAAAATTTTTTGATTCATCGAAGCAAAAGTACAAGTCATGCCTCGAGTGCAAATCCGACATGCAGGAGTGCTATTCGTGTTGTCAAACCGAGGTCCATGGTAAGAATATGAAAATCAGTTCAATGTTTGTTATGTCAAGCTAGAATTTAAATTTAAAAGTCTTGAATCTGCCGGCATCAGCAACGTCTAAAAAAGACGTGATAGCTATTCTCGTAATGACCCAACCAATATTCATTAGGAAAAAATGGTTCGAGATTGGAAAGTAGAAAGTCGCTTATGAATGCTCGTTTTAGAAAATTAATAACTGTCATTAGCTAAACCGAAGCAAATGGATTATGGTTCTTCCTTCCTAAACAAGGGAGAATTTAGTGTACACGAAATAAGTTTCATATCAATTCCTCTCCAGAAAATCTTCGTATTCTTGTGGCTTTTAATTTATCGCCCTATTAAAGGTAGTGCACATCGCTTTTCCAAATTAAGCGGTTTCTAGCAGATTTCGTGATTTTATGCATAATTAAACTGACAAAATCAAACTCATTTACATACCCCTGTATTATCCAACGGTTTTGTCTCTCTCCCCCGGTTGGTTTTTCAGATTGATCCCGAACACAATCAGCTTTTCAATTCAGATATGAAAGAACATAATCTTTTCCCATGGATTGAAAAAAAAAGAGAATAATGCAGATGTACAGATTAGAAATGTGAAGAAAACTTTTAAACCCGATTTAATGTAATGAAAACATCAGCAGGTACTGTAAACATGCAAACAGAAACAACGCTTTGCGCGCCTCTTGGAAAATCTGGATGCCCTTAAAATGCTTCCTCTTCTTTCCCAAATATGCAAAGAAATATATCCTTAATTTAAAAAGAAAAACTGACAATTTGCGAGGAAACGACCTCGTCGGAGTACTTCACGAGAGATTTTTTCGCGTCATGATAATTATTTCCTCACTGTTAACAACTATTGCCGGATTACCGACATTACTGACGCGGTACTTGGTCGATCGATATAGCTGAGTACGCACTGAGTTTAAACTTTAATTAAGGGAAACCGATAATTTGCTGGAGAAGTAATTTTTCTTGATTTGGTCAAATATCGAGCGCCTCGTGCAGGTTGGACTGCAGGAATGGACAACTGACAAGTGTTGGTTCTTGCGCGCGCGGGAAAACAGAAAAAGGATATACCCCTTCCTCTCTCTCGGTTTTTTTCTTTTTTTTAAGGTGACTAAGTCTTTTAGATTCATATGAATTGGACAGTATATCGAAGCTTCCACTATCAGACGATCTCAACACTTTTTGCCGTAGTGTCGGATTTCTACACGCTAAGTAAACATGATAATGTAACGTTGATACAGTCGCCAAAATAGCCATTTGTTCGGTGAACATTGTCCCTTAGACCCTGATCACGCATCTCTCCCAGGGTTTTTTATTCTCAAAATCTTACTGAGGCTTCAAGGTCTCTTGATCTATGGTCTGAGAAGCATGCCACTGTCCCGTGATGATTTTATCATATCCAGTCTAATTTTAGTATCCCTAAATGGCGATTTATGAATTGAAAAAAAGTACCCCTTCCGCGCCCCCCCCAAACTCCCTCCGAAGTCTAAATAATGTATAGTGTTTGTTGAAACGCGCGCGCGAAAGAAAGGACGCAATTAGCCCTAGAATATTCACTCTTTGGCGCAGGCCTGATATAGTTTCTGCGTTATAGAAATCAAGCATCGCAAACACCTCCTACGCTCTCTTTTCCAGACAGACTCTCTTACTTGAAAATACAGTCTGAGCCAAGAGGCCATGAACTCGGAGTTTTCTCTTAGGAAATATCCAAGGAAAGAAAGCCACGGGTGAAACGCGATCGAGATGAAATGCGATAGCGAGGAACATCGATCAATCTAACATAAAAATTCAAAAATTATTCCTTTCCTATAGTTTACGGACCAATCATTATTTATCATTTATTTATTAATAAATGCTGCTCTGTTACTTGAGGTGGAAATGGTAGAATGGTAAGGTGGGTCTGTTTTCCTTTTTTTGTTTTGTTTTTTTCAACGCCGGGGGTGAGGAAAAACAGCTTTTTTTAATCCTCATTCCCTAATACTTTCATTATTTCCTTTACAAATAAAGGAGGTGAAAAAAATAACTCGAGCACTCCAATCCTACGTCATCAAGTGACAGATAAACCCGGTTTGCATGATGGGAAACCTCGAGCCGCTGAAGGAGACAAGTCTCTTCCGAACATCTTCGTGGTATCCACAATTAGTGTGTTCCTTATCAGCTCCTTGTTGGTTCTCGTGCTTGTCGTTATCCGATCCTCTCTTGAACGCCGCGTTGAAGCAAGAGAAAGTACGAGCATGAGTAGACAGTCCCAGCAGTCTAGTCCAGTTATAGAGATCGTGACAACGCATGCGCAACTGCTGGTACAAAGGGATGACGCGAATGAAGGAGACGCCGCTAATGAAGGAGACGTAGCCAGTGAAGGAAATGTTCGACTGGACAATACATACTACGTGGATGCAGTTATGTGTCGATAATTTTTAAATCAGAGCCGAAAGGATATGGAAAGTAACTGATTAGAAATTATATAAGATTTGTTTTTCTTCGCTTAGGTTTGTAAGAAAACTTGCGCCATACTTCCACCTAATTTATATCCAATGAAATATTTGAAAAAACCAGTCGCAACTTGCGCGCTCGCATTTTCCCGTTTGGTGGGGATCACATGGTGTTCAGTGGGAACGAATGGGGGAATCAGTCAAGTCATCACCTATCATAGAGTACAGGGGCGATAAACAAAGGCCTGTCCCTTGGTCTGTTCTTATTTATGGTAAGTTCGCTTAATTCACCTTCGTAACTACTGTGACGAAAGATTTGGCCTTTTGGTAGTTGTCATCGGTACACAAAGTAAATTGTGTGCAGCTTTGTGGGTCGGTAACAAAGACAGCTGAAAAGATGCCCACTGGGATGATAATTCTGCATTTGAGACACTAAAGCTCAGGTTTCCTAGTATTATGATTTATGTCTTTTTGACTTTTAATACCGCAACTGCTTTTTAGCATGTCACGCAACGATGTGACTCGTGGTCGTCGTTGCGTGACATTCTAGAGAGCAGATATTAGTTACTTTATTAGTAAACACAGTATTTATACAGTCACTTTGCAAGGAATACAAACAACCTTAAAAATTAAAAAAATATCTAACAGTTTTGTAACGTAGACGGACACACCGGATTGCCGGTGTTAAACATTTTGTGTGAAATTTAAAAGAAAAAAGTTTGAGTGTACCTGAAATGCGTTTCTTTGAGTATTTCACGATATCAATATAGAAAGTTTACGCACACCTTAATACCCAACCCCCTCCCCGTTATTACAGACGGAAAATAGTAATTATCAAACACTCATGGTAGGTTCTGCAGAAAGAAAATGTTATTACTGAGCACGACTAAAACCCTGCGAAACCTGGGCCCGGAGTCTTTTCTTAGAGAGAAGAAGAGAGGACCTGGAACCTGATTTGATCGCGCTCGTTGTTGAAAGATAGCACTCGTTCATCGTTATGAAATAAACGGCTGAAATACTGCACCAGAAGAAGGAAGGCACTAAAACTGATCAGATGTAGAAACACTTCGTTGAATTCTCCAATATCCATATATTGACCGGAGGTAAGTGGGCTATTAGAAATAATATCTGGTTAATAGTATCTTGACAAATTACAAACCTCGTTTCCAAGTCTTGCTTAGATTGGTCAACACTTCGATCTGGCTTGCTCGCAAAAATAGCAGGCCTAGGGGATTCCCCAACAGTACAATATCGTATAAACACCGGTGAAAACTGTTTTTCCCCAATTGCACTGAATTGTTCCCTGACAGCGCTGCTTGCACTTCTAATTGAAATATTGATATTGTGGCTAAATCATGATTTTGATCTTCGGAGCTGTTCTTCTCTTGTCATTAGTTGATCAAAGCAGTCAGCAGCCACTGCCATGCAAGGATGGGAAGTTCTATGAAAGCAGCGTATTCGACTATTTCAACTGCAGCGTTTGTATTGAGCAACCTCACTACGAGAACTGTGATACCTGTTGTAAAAGTAAGTTTCATTTGATTACTTGAAGGCTTTTCCGTTTTCGCGTCAGTTTCTGTCAATTTTTTTTGTTTATACCTAAAAAATTTGACGTAAAATCTCCCTTCGATTCCTGCTAGTCAGCACATTTCAACGTATTATAAACTTGTCCCCTTTAACGATAAACCTCCAATGACTAGCCAAGAAAATTTGGTTGTAATGATGCGGTTCTATCAACGAAACTGCAAAATAAAAAATGAGAAAAACTCGGATTTTTCATGCGGCTTTCGACGCGCAAAAGTGTGTCGTTTTAGTAATGTGGTGGGGTCCCATTCTTTGGTAAGTCTTAAGTCTTTAAGCAATTTTATGATACTTTTGGTGTTGGTTTTGTCAAATGCTCCTTGTTTCGGCAGATGTAAGACATTCATCTTTTAAAGAAGCCTTTAAACTGAATCGCAATGAATTATTTTGAATTCCTTTCATAGGAGTAAGAGCGAGACTCTGGAAGGATAATTGTGAACGCTAAGGGGAAATTTACCGCTAGTTTTGCCTAGCGTGCACTTTCGAAACATCATGAGACTGCTGATGGGGCAGTCCACCCATTTTTGACCCTTGGGTATTGTTTTACCAAAGGAGATCATCTCGATTTATAGCCCACAGACAAATAAGTATCATATAACAATTGCGTCAGCTCATTCGCGTCGTTCCAACGCATAAAATTACTTGGCCAGATAAAAGCGCCGTGTTAGAATTTTGTCGGCGATCTTGACCTTCGTTTCGGGCATTTCTTATGCTGTCACGAACAGAATATCACAACAAAGACGCCGGAGTATTTTTTACTCGCTGTATTTGGTTTTTGGGATACTCTCAAGTCGCGGAATCTCACTCACTTGGCGTTAAATCTCGTGTGCACTGAACAAATTTGTGCTTTAGAGGTAACATTATTGGGAAGTTTTTTGTTTTTGTTTATTCGCCGGGCTAATGCTTATCTCCAATACTAATGACAGGGCCAAGATTTTTGTCTTTTGCGCGCAACACGCTCGATACTCGATCGAAAGTTATCTTCCCTTTTTCGTCAAAACATGATTAGTGTTCGGAAAACCGCAATTTCTGTGCTACTTTTATCCCGTACAATCGTTGGAGAAATAGAAAAGAGCGAATTCACTCTGTGACGAATTTTCCAGATAACGTTTCGGGTACTTTGTTTTCTAACAGAAATCACGACCACGTCAACATCAACTGTTACAGCAACGATTGAGAAAACTAAACTGCATACGAGTCCCTCAGCATCTCAATTCGTCAAGACAGAAAAAATGCTTTTCTCACCGATGGAAATGGTTATCATGGGATTCTCTTTCGGATTCGTGGCCGGTGCTGTAATAGCTTGGCTGGTTGTGATTACAGCTAGAGTCTGCTCCAAAAGGAGGAAGAAACTGGAAAAACTGATGACTTCAAGTGAGTACAATGGCTACATATAGTCTGGGGTATGACCTCCAGAATGATTTTATAAGCTATTTGTCTTGACTGTAGACTTCGACTGGTGGTCGGCATTAGTGCCACTTACAATGGAAAGTTAATGACTCTTACCCGCCAAAAATTTATCTGCGCGTACTCCCCGCGCGTACTCCCCGTGAGAGCATACCGCCAAGCCAACCAAGTAACGTATATGCGCAACAATTCGCGCGCGAGTTTTTCGCGATGTCCACGAATGAGGGAGCGAGTGGGTCGATTTAGGCTCGCAGTCCCCGACAGAGAAACTAATGAAACACATGACAGGGATTTTCTTTTCCGGAAGGAAGATTTTTTTTAATCATGTATTTGAATAGAGCCATGTTTTGATGGTTCGACTTTGTTTCGCGGAACTATAAAAAAAAATGGAGAATTAAAATTTAGTCTAACCCAGTGTTCTCCTCAATCTCTTAGAATCAATAAAAGCAACACAGGAAACCCAGCGTAACACGTCATCACCCATGGTTTGGGGCCAAAATGTTGGTATACCTCCGGCAGCGGATCCGCATGACTGTTGAGCGGAAGATGTCCTCTCCGCGTGCGATGACGAGGCGAATAAAAAATCAGGAGAAGAAACTAAATTATATTAAGCATAAGCGAGTATCTTTGTAAAATGCAATAACTTTGTTCAGTTTCTTGAATTTCCACTCCTGGGTGATTGATATCTAAAGGAAGGCTAAGGGTACTGAAAATAAGTTATACTAATCAAGTGAATCTACAAAACCAATAGTTCAGTTCAATTCTTCTTGACCTCACGCTGGCGTTTGTATCATAACTGCAAAAAGTTCATAAAAAATCGTAGACATGGAAAATGGAAACTAATTCCATTTCTCTCTCATTGGAGTAACAACTACTTAAAACAGGCTCCCTTACGAACGGAACGTTTTGTCTTCTCCTGTCAAAAGTGTTTTTGTTAATCACGTGACCTCTTTGTAACAGAACATTTAGAGGTATTCTGTAACCTAAAGTTAGCGGTTTAAGTAGCTAAAGGGAAGACGCTGAATTACTTCTATTAATATATTTTACGACTGAAAATATATTATTGATAATCTGAGCGGAAGTTGTACAGGCATTCTATTTTTGATATTAAAAGTTTCAAGATGATATCCATTTGTGCTCTGATGACGTTCGGGGGTGGGGGGTGACTCTGGGAGAATTTAGGCCGGGCATACCCTTTTTCGATACTTTTCTATGGTATTGTGTATATGGTTCCATTTGTACCAATTGCTATCAATCGCTAGTGATAAAACTCAATCGTTAGTGCTGGCAACAAATAATAATTGTAAATCAATTTAGTTTACGTTCTAAAATGGTCAATCGTTAGTGCTGAACCTCAATCGCTTGTGTTGTTGCACCAAACGCCGTTGTAAGACTCCAATTAAAAGCGCTAATTATAAATCGCTGGTGTTTTGACGCAGATCGATGGCGCTAAATATCAATTACATGTTTTCGTGTCAATCGATAGTGTTAAACCTTTATGGCTTGTGTTATTTGTAAAAGGCAGAAATTGTAATGATATCAATCGCCAGTGTTACCAATCATTGTTTGTGATGAATACAAATCGCTACCGCAAAACATAAATCATCAGTGCTAGTATCGATTTGTCATCGATTCTACCTGGAACCAGTCTCCCCCTTGTTTAGCAAAGATGAACCAATCAAATCTTGCTTACTATCTTGCTATCTGATAAAGGACATTGAAATCCAAAAACATATTTTGAATTGTATTTTTGCAGGAGCACTTTACTTGATGGGCTCCTGATTTTTGTTGAAAGATGCTTATTTAAAAGTTATTGTAAATCTGAAAAAAAATTCCAAATTCTGATCAAATCACTCTCTCCACAAATAACTTATAAAAAAACCCAAAATTAATTTGCGATCCAAGATACTTTGTGAAATCCAGAAAAAATGATTGAAATCGCAAAAAATGACCCAAGAAATCGTGTCGTCTAGATGCCTTGAGATGGACGACCTCTTTCGCAGGATTTCCCACTTGCTTTGCTCAGAATTCCGCACACGCTGGTTCAGTAATCTTGGATTGTATACTTTCTCTTGATTCAGGCTTTATTGACGACATTACACGTCCCGTTCTGCGATCTATCTCCTCTATTACAATCTAATCCTAGGGTTACAAAAATGTTACATTTATTAGCTGAGGAAATCCGCACCTAGATACGTAATTCCGTGTAGGATTCAAGATTCACTCCGTTCTACAACGATTCGTGGGCACTAATTTCCTATTAAACATGGCTTTTCTTGACAATCATGCTGCTAAGTTCTACGCACTTAAACACCCTGCAAAAACCTATTTTCATACATCACTGCTCGCAGAGCCAATTTGATTACCCTATGCCGCTCCTAATTACATGTTACTTCTAATTGTAAAGTTGACTCTGTCCTTAACGGTAACGAAATATCATCTCACTTAATACACAATTGAATTCATAATAAATCTAGGAAATCAATTTTTGCGTGGAAAAATTTCACAACATCCTCAAACAGATTCATTTATTAGCAGATTAAGGGAAGCAAATCCTGCTCCAGCTGTGAGATGATCATCTTGCATTGCGTAATATGCGTCATGGCGAAAATATAAGAGTTTGCATAGGAATATTTACTACTGCTCTTGGAGGTAAACATACAATCAAATTCTCATTAAAAAATACCTCATCTTACTTCCAAGTGGATTGCTTGTTGTCTCAATGCTTACTTTGTTGACACGAGGCCATTTTAGCGAGTTATCCATTTCTAGGTTTCCTACCCCTAAGAGAAGTTGGGGCTTGGGCCGCCGGTAGAATTTTTCGCCTCTCGGATCGGGCGTTCGGAAATGGAGTGTGCAGCCTTGTCCTTCTCTTAAGAGCCTGCTTGTTGCTTGTGTGACAACAGACAATGGCGTTTGCTGCAACAGCACAAGCGATTGAGGTTCAGCACTAACGATTGACCATTTTAGAACGGAAAGTAAATTGATTTACAATTACGACTTGTTGCTAGCTAACGATTGAGTTTTATCACTAGGGATTGATATTTTAGCACTAACGATTGAGTTTTATCACTAGCGATTGATAATTTTGGCACAAACGGTTCCCCATAGGTTTGCTTGTAAATTTGCTCGGAACTTACGGGGGCTGAGTCTCCCGTGATGGAAAGAGGATAGGTAGCTTATCAAATATTGGTACGTGTTGACAGATATGTTAATAACTTACTGTTTATTTTCTTCACATCACGGCCTCTGCGCCAAATATTTTGTCTAGAAACGATACACAAAATCAGATTTAATGGAGAGTCGGAAAATAAAAAAAAGCTGTGACTGTGTCACCGCTTGATCAGCTTTGTCAAGCCGGCTGCGATGATAAGGGCCGAAATTCATAAGTAGTTTGACCCCTAGCATTAGGTTTCAAGAAAGTGTTGAAGTGAAAGATGCTTTGTTCTACGATAACAAGGCATATCTGCCCCGATTTTATTTTTAATACGAATGTTCTGTAGCAGATTAGTGCTTCGGGCGCGCGAGCTGTTGTTAAAGCGATTCGTTTGAAAACCGGTCATCACACTTCAATACTAAACATGGTCGAGCCCGCTAAAGAGCGGTTTGGTGGAACAGCGCTGGCAACAGGCATCAGTATTATAGCCATCTTGATTTCTCTACTTTGCCTTGTCCATGTCTTCTTCCTCGCCTCGCATCAGCCACAGTGCAATTGTCCGCAAAATGGAGTGCTCGACAACTCAAGCGATAAAACAGCGCAAGAGGTAAAGAAGACATTCACTGCTAAAGAGAAAACCTCTACAAAAACACGATCAGATGCGGCTAAAACTTTTGAGCAAGTGACGGAGGGAAGAAAAGTGAGATTGCGTCGGCAGAATCAAAATAATGGACAGGTCAATGGCAACACGGCTTTTGGTGGTTACCTGCATAATGCTATTTTGCGATTGCAACAGCAAATGATTGCCGTGGAGGGAAGGTAAATTTTATGATTTGCGTTTTCTGTTTAATCATCCGTGGGATATCTTGTTACACAAGCATTTAAGGACCGGTAATTATTTCTCGCTCGCGGGGGAGAGGGGGAGTCAAATAATTTTGATTGTGACACGATAAACTTTACCTGATCCCCCCCATAGGGCTTTCTTATATTCTTCCTTATAGTCCCCCTCATTGACAGTTAATTGGAAGTCAGTTTTCTATAGCCCCCTTTAACACTCTATTGTTGACGTCTTATCCCCCCCCCCGTTCCCCCTGAAAACCATGTGATGTTCCTAAAAATCCTCCACCCCCGTCCCCGGCGATAAATAGATAAATAGAGACTGGTTCCAAATTAGAAACTGAATAAATAGAGACTGGTACCTAGATAGACACAGGACAAATAGAGACTGGTACCTAAATAGACCCCGGATAAATAGAGACTGGTTCCTACCTTTTTTTCTTTTTGAGTAGGTGCCTCTCGATGGGCTTGTTAATAAGAACTCCCCCATATGTGGATATCATAATGAAGCACATTTGAACAGCGCTGAGTGGAAATCAGTGATCTGGAACTACTTTGCAAATCCAGCTTGCATTCATTTATCTTAAGTTAACTCGAACTCCTTTTATCACAATCTGCGCTTTGCTCTCCTTGACAGTTTGATTTGTCGGGGGTTAAGTTTATAAGTTTATTGGATACAACGTAATACCAATATGAACCTAATTGAAGAAAGGGGGTTAAGTACTGTGGTGCTACGTCGGTCGGTGAGGGGAGGGGAGGGTGGGGGAAATTTGTTGTATCAACTCAGTTGAGAACTTGAATAGGCCACCGTGAGAAGTTACTAGGACTAGAGATCGACTTCTCGAACGTTAGCTCAGTGGAAGATCTCATTCACTCTAATGCTCGTAGCAACAACTTAAGAAATTCTTTATGGTGGCCAATTTGCATTTTCAACTGAATTGATAAAATCAACTAGATGAACCTGATTGCACTCTGGCTCTATGTGATTGCTGGCCCGCTAACATTTGCAAACAGTATCTCTACAACTAATTTTTCTTGCGCCTAAAAATTGCGTAATTGGCCACATTTATTAATCCTTACCAACCACATGATTTTTATCGAGGGCTCAGCATTTAAAATCTTCTGCAAAAATCACATTGCGTTGCATTGCATTGCATTGCATTGCATTTCTTGCAGAGCTCAATACTTACAGGACCAGTACTCGAAGACCGTAAATCGGGCAACACCCCGTGGGCCTCCGGGTGCGCCTGGAGTACCCGGCAGAGACGGAAGTGACGGAAGGTCAGGAATGGACGGTCCAACGGGGCTCCCTGGCAGAGATGGACCCCCAGGAAAAGATGGTTATCCCGGTTCAGCAGGGGCTGCGGGGCCTCCGGGTGTAAATGGTCTTCCAGGGCATCGTGGAGAGAGAGGTTTAAAAGGAGAGAGGGGTGATCTTGGTCTGAAAGGTGAAAAGAAAAACAAAATGCCAAAATAGTAAGAAATATTGCGTCCCCTTAGCACAGGATTACGTCTTTTGCTTGCTCTCATGCAAAAAAATTGTTTACGTGCCCTCTTAAATTTGTGTGGAGAATTATTTGACAATTTTAACGGAGCGTGAGGTGAGGGCGAGAATCTTGAGGCGGTGCGCTCAACTGAGGAAAGACATGTGTTTCGTGAGGAAGCAGAAAGAGAGAGCCTCCACCCCTCGTATCTCTGCCTTAATCAACCCCTTCACTCCCAAGACCTCACAAGTAATTCTCCTTACTGTCTCCCATACAATTCATATCATATAACTTGAGAGAATTTGGTTTTGGATCAACTGATAATCCCCTAATTGATATTTATCTTCTCATCCCTGCTTGATATTAAGAGATATTTTAATCACATTGTTTTGCTTGTTTTCTTGTAACAATAGGTGATAGAGGTTTACCTGGAATGAAGGGAGGAAGAGGAGTTCCCGGTATACCGGGAGAGGACGGCGAACCAGGACTTCCCGGTACGGTGGGGAGCAAAGGTAATAAAGGTGAACGTGGGAAGACGACTTGTTATGTCACGGAGCGGGGTCGGAGGGTGGAGAAATCGTGCTTCGAGGCTGCTTCTTATGAAGAAATTGGCCGGGATCAAAGTAAGGATGCTGGAGGGGCACTTACCTACGTTCGATGGGGAAGGACCACGTGCCCAGTGGGAGGTGCAACGATAGTGTACTCAGGTAAGGAGGTACATTCTTCCTTTGGAAAAGAGTAGACGAGGGAACAAATTAAGGGTACAAATTTAGGTACAAATTAAGCCGCCTATCCCTTGGGATAATTACTCAAATCCTTGGGATAGAGGAAAAAGTTTTCTATCGAGGGCTCGTTCTCCTGGGATGTACAGGTTAGGCTTTTAATTATATTAATCAGTAACTTTTTTTCTAATATCGGAAGTTAGCTCAGGGAGGAGGGGGGCAGCTTATTCTCCTACACCCCCTTCAGCCACGCCCTTGAGTTAACTATGAAAGCGTTCCTTTATCTTGACTTTCTTGAGCCAAAAAGTCACGTTGGGGATTTTCCTCTTTGTCTCTCAGGACAAGCTGCAGGCACACGTCATGACAAAGCTCGTACAGGGGGGTCCCCTTACATCTGCGTACCCAATCAGCCGTGGTACTTTGGTCAAGTGGATCCCAGTACTCCACTCGGCAACGTTTCCCAGGTAAACCGCGATGCGCTGAAGCAGGACGAGACACGCAGCATCTTACACGGCACTTACTTCTACTTGTCATGTGTGTTGTGCCTGGTCAGGACCCGAAGCGTGCAGATCATGCTGCCGGCTCGAAAGGAATGCTATCGAGGCTGGCATCGGGAGTATGATGGTTACCTGGTGGTGCAGTCGAACCGGAAGGACCACAAAGACGTCATCTGCTTGGACCGGGAATCCAGGAATCTACTGAAAGATGCCACATACGTCCGAGGGCTTTTTGCGAGTTGTGAGACGTTCTCCTGCCCGCCATATGTAGAAACAGAGAGACTCCCTTGTGTTGTTTGCACGATTTAGATATAATGCTAACTGTCTTGGACAGATAAAGCCCGTTCGTTTAACTCTAAAGTGTAGGCTAAGCTGGTTTTGATTAATTTTAAGCTTCACTTTCATCGCTGCTAAATTAGTGTCAGATTGAATTTTCCATCCCACCGTGAAGATCATTAGTTCTTCGTAGCGCTTTTCGAGTATTGCGCGTTATAACCAAAACCCAAGTTATTTGAACGTCCAGTCAAAGCAAAGCACAATATACCCAATAAGCAGGTGAAGTAAAATCATAATAGTCATCCTAAAGCACTGGACACAAGTGACTCAGTCAAGATTGGTTTCAGTCTAGCTTCTGATCGGTTGAGAGAGTAACGTGTAGTTTCTGAACAAATAGTATGTTAACCCTTTAAACCCTAAAATGATCAGCTTCTAATTTCTCCTTGCAATAATACTTCTGAATCCTTCGTTAAGATCACGAGAAAACAAGAAAATGATCGCGAACTAAAGAGGTTTTGATTGTCAAACAAATTCTCCTTGTCAGTACCAAAGGAAATGAACACAGAAGAGTATAGAGAATCTGGATACTGATGTTAGGAAGTAAAGGGTTAAGATGAAACCGATACAATCCAGAGTAGTTTTGTATTCCGGTTAAAATTTACTTCACAGACTTCACCCCATTAGCTCCTCTCTGCCAGTGCGTTATTATTATTAATTTTTTATATGTGTAAACTCTAAGCTCGGGTAGTAGAATTTGTTTCACTACGGAAAAAGTGCATTAAACGATAATCAAAAGGTAACTATTCACTGAAAACTATTTTGCTCCCCTTTTGTACAAATATGGAAATCTTCGATACACTTCTGTTACTCTATCGTTGATTTTGGCAGGGATCATCAGCAAAGTTTTAATTTAGGATGCTCCGTGACGTAACCTTTTTTTCCATTTTCTTTCGTATACCTTCCACTGGAAATGGTATGTTTTTCACTGATTCACTTTCTTGGGAGACTACATCTGCCCCTTACACCATGAAAAAGAAGACGTTGGGTTCATTCCCTATTTTCGAATCGCTCGTACAACAGACTTTGTTTCAACTCGCCAAATTCCGTTTCTGTGAAAAAAAAAATTAAATCCCCTCCACAATCCTTTTGCGTCATAATTCAGTCCTTGGGATGGTTCCTTTGCACCCCATATTTGGAAAGCGAAAGTCTCCTGGGAACTCTGGGTAGGAATTTGATAGGAGTGTACTGAACTTCCGCCCTTCAAACGACGCCGTTATTTAACTGGAGTTTATTTCACTTTTACATATATCTCCAATTATGGGGTGATTTAGAATCTTAACGTGAAGTATTTGTCATTGTCTGGCAAGGCCGTCAGCATGGTAGTGAGCGAAGATTCTTGAGCTGATGCAACTTTTGTCTTTTGGGCGGCTTGCGTTGTCTGTGATCTGTCTGCTGATCGAAGGTAATTCTAAAAGCTTAAGTTTGCTCGTTTCGTGGAAAGGTTCCATTTGAGGGGAGATGTCTTACTCAGTACTCGTACATCTATTCGAATTGTTTCGAATGTCCCTCGCGGGAGAACGTGTTTCAAATCACTGCTGGTTGGATCGATGATGTTTGCTAATACTGCTTTGATAAGCTAGCGTGACTTCGCCATTGTGGGCTGCAGTCGTTTCAGCAAGCTGTTTTGTCGGAAATGTCAAAGCGAAAAGCGTGAAGGCTTTTTCTAATTTAAGCCTCTTGTAGTATTTTGGAAGAACAAGAAGGTTTACACAGCACAAGAATTTCTGGGGATGTGGAATTTAAAGCTTTGACTGTTCGGTTTGATCCACTGGCAATTTGTCAGTACACTAGAAGCTATCCTTTTGTCTGCTTATTCGCATTCCATGAATTGTTTTGATTCACAAATAAATGAGAACAACAGATCAATCCAAAATATTCAGAATGACTCAAATTTTCCTTTACTTTTCAATAGTCAGTTGTAATGTTATCGCAATGTGGTCTGTGATTGTTTTTAAGGTTTGGAGAGTCAGTCACCTCACTCAGACATGTCTGGATTAACGATCCTAAACAACCCTTGCAACGGAATGTGGTAAGTTTCATGTTTTAATGATGTTTTTTTAGTTCACCGATATAAAAATATGTTAAAGTTTTAGAAAGTTATTTTGTAGCAACCACTAATATGCAATAATCAGAGAAGAGTTCATTAAATGGATGTCAAACAGATTTCCAAGCGCAACCGCCTTTTTGTAACCCAGATCACAAATTGTCGGCCAGAGATAAAACTTTGCTTGTTAAGAACCAAAGACCCTTTGCGCTGAAGTGCATGACATATTTTCTACTGTTTTACTTCGAAATTATCGTTTTTACTGGCAATATTGTGATCAGAGAATTCATTGACATCTTTTGGGCTTGTTCATCAAACAACCAAAGAGAAAGAGGAAAATTTATTGTTTAGAAAACAATGGAACATTGACTCAAGTACTTTATGCAAATGCTATACATCACCTTCAAACAGCTTGTTACCTTGAACGGCATATGACGCACCTCAAATCAACTGGAACTTGAACCATAAACACAAAGCATTAAAAATAGGCTGTCAGGACTGTATGTAACTACTAATATAGAACAATTTTCATAGCATTGAACAGAACTAGAGGTTGTATAATGATGCTAGAAGGTAGTGTTGCAGAAGATTTCTCTCACATGAAAAACAGAAAGACCTGTTGCATCCTGCATATTCATGAGTACCATGTTCACAAGAAAAAGATGATTCAACAGGAAAAATTGAAAGAAGCATAATGTAATCATTATTGGAACCTTGAGGATGGAAAAACCGTGAGGTTTTCAAGCTAGTCCCTCTTAATTATTACTATTTCTATCATTTTCATTATTGTTAATACGATTATTTGTTATCATTAAGTTACTGGTTGAATGTCAACTAGTCACTGTATTCTTGAATCATCTTTCTCTTGTGAACCAGGGTACCCATGAATATATGAGATGTGGCAGGATTTCTTGCTTTGCATGTTAATAAAAATCTTTTGCAACACTACCTTTTAGGTTCACTATGCAATCTCAATTTCTGTTTAATGCCATATCAGTAGCCACCTGCAGTCTCAGACTGCCTGTTATGTGAATATGCATCCTAAAAGCCTTTATTTGTGTTGAGGGAAGTGAAGTTAATTTAGACATTGTAATTTTTTCTTTTCAGCAGCTGCATTCAATATTAAAGGTTTCCTGTGATGTCTGGGCCATCAAAGGTAAAATTAATAACTCATAAATTTAATTATGAAGCTATGAGAATGAGATTTTAGTGCAAATGGAACCCTTTTCCTTTAAAGTTAGGCACAACATTTACACCTTTGTTTGTCATTGTGTATCTTGAAACTCAGTCCTTGCAGATTCTTGACCAAGGACAAACTATTCATTGTTGTCAGGGTCTTACAATGTTTAATTGTACAGTTATTCAATGAAAAACTCACTTTAAGTATTTTAATTAAAAAGGAACATTTTTCTGTCAACATTCGCTGCAGATATTTATGTCCCAAGCAGGTGTGAGTGGCCTAATTACTCCTGTAACTTTCTACTTTGTCAGTTTATCTCTGCATGGATGTCCTTATCAAAACTTAATCACAAAGTCACAAAGTTGTCAATCACAGTGTTCTTCCATTTCAATGAATTTTAGTGATTTAAATGATCAGTTCATCATTGCAAGACAAATTGCTGGCGTGCCAGGCACTGTTGCTCCATTAATTACAAGATCTGAACAGATGGGAACTGCCTTGTTTCCATTCCACACACTTGTGTTAATGGGGTATTCTTTGAAGGAGGTTCATGCACCAGAGTGGTGGGTGCCAAGGGTATTAATTCACTTGCAGCTCAACCTGGTTTTGTTGAAGGTGCTCTAATTTTGTCTGGCTGACAGATTGTGTTTCATGTGTAGATGAAGGATTACCTTTCCCAAATTTCTCCACATGGGAAGTATTTCTTGAGCACTGGGTCCCACTTGGAGTTTTTATAACAGTACTGTTGCCAGTCTTGCTAACCACTTGGGATTACATTGTATTGAATGGTGTGGAGAATTTGTCATTTTGTCTTTCACTAGCACTCGATCGCCAACTTGAATATCAGATTGGTTTTGTTGTTTTAGCCTTGTCTGTACATGCTTTGGTCTTTTCTTTTACCTTAACAAGTCTGTATGTGGCAATCAGCATGCAGCTCAGGCAATTTTGCTCTCATCTTCCTTTTAACCCTTTAACTCCAAGAAGTGACTAACATGTAATTTCTCCCTATGATATCCGTATGTTTTCTGGCAAACAGTTCATGAGAATACTCAAACTTATCAGGAAGAAGTTTTTAATCTTGATTTTACACCAAATTCTCTTAACTAATTTACAGGGAATTGTGTAGCAGCAAGAGGAGAGAATTGACAATCAGATCTTGGGAGTTTAATCAATACCTCACTACATACTCACCTATCTTCTTTATGCTTCATCCAGTCAACTGCTACAGTTTGGTCAATGCAATTCTCTTCATTAGGATGGCTTTTTGTCTTTCAAGTTCCCTATTGGCCTAGGGTGGTTTTGATGTGGTCTTAAGATGCACAATGCCATTCTGCTTGCAGTATCCTCAGAATTGTCTTGATCAGAATTATAGTCCACTGTCTGATGTGGTAGTTATGGGAAGACCATGGCTGCTGAGGATCTCCTCTAGGTTGTCGATTACTTCCACTTACTCATGATAATGGCCTTAGTAGTTGATGACAAGTAGTATGGATGGTCCAGATGGGAGTGGCTGTAGAAGGTCTATAGCTTGGTCTTGCTAAGGACCCTTTAGCAATGTCATTGATGTCAGCAGCTCAAGGAGATATGGATGTGCAACCAGTTGACATTCATAACAAGATTTGCAGACTTTCTCTGCTGCCTTATCCATACAAGGCCACCATACTTTGCTTCTCAAATTTTGTTTTGTTCTAACAATAATTGTTACAACATGTAAGTGTCCTTTATGAGCTAAGGCATTTGTTTTGGGCCTTAGCTTGCTGGTTAGCACAATACAGGTACCACATAGGACTATTCACTGATCACACACAGTTCATGAGCAGCTGGTGCATAAGCCTGGCATTTATCAAATCAAACTTACAGTTTTATTTGACTCTCTCAGAGCTTTTAACTCTTCATCCATTGCAGATACTTCTTCAATTTCTCTTGTGGTGTAGTGCTGATGGTTGCAAATCAAAGATACTCTTTATCTATGTGTTGATGATTTGTGGCTTTGTTCTGACTCAGGAAATGTGAAAGAGGGTTGGCTGTAGTAGGTAGATTACCGAACAATTAATGCAGGAACAGGATTTGGAACAGGCCCATAGATCTACTTGGTTCTGCATTAACACCTGGCTCTGAGGCCAGCAAGACTCACATCTGTAACAACCCTGGTTGATGTATTCTTGTCAACGTATGGAAATGTTCCAGCCACGGCCATGTTCTACTTTAGCTGCCCTTGTTAAGTTAACCTATTTGCCCCCCTTTCCCCAAAAACAATTTTGTATCCTGATTCCACAAACTTCTAGCTACATACAGGTAACATTGAATGGGGTAGTGGGGGGGTTGTGTCAATGATTAAGAGTGTAGTGGACATAGTAGTGTCATTCTACACATAACTAGAACTTTGCAAAAAAAACATGTTGACTAACTTTGGCACTGATTAATAGCTTGCTAAAAACCTTACAGCCATTCTTGTTGTGTGACAGCCCATTTACTGTTGGTATGGGGTAGTGACTATGCACATCTATGCAGAGCCA